GATGCGGCCCCCAATGAAAATGAGTTTGACACCCCTGCTCTAGAGACTATCGTAGAAGCGCTGGTTCTTAAAAGTTCTTAAAGCTGTCAGTCCCAGACATCTAAGGTTCTATGAAGCATCTCTAGGGATTTCCTAAAAGACAATGTAGCCCTGGCTGGTGTAGCTCAGTGGATTGAGCGCCGGCCTGCAAATCAAAGGATCACAGTTCGATTCCCAGCCAGGGCACATGCCTGGGTTGCAGGCCAGTTCCCAGCAGGGGATACACGAGAGGCAACCGTACATTGATATTTCTCTCCCTCTCTCCTTTCCTTCCCCTCTAAAGATAAATAAATAAAAATATTTTTAAAAAAAGACAATGTATTCGTATGTTTGATTGGGGATTGCCTCTGACTGCCCAGGGTTTGTCTCCAATAACCTTGGAATTCTGTGTCAGGAGAAACAGTTTTAGAGCTTTAGGGCAGAGTCAACGTCTCACTCATTTTTATAACCCCATTACCTTCTCAAGTGCCCAGCAAACGGTACATACAAAATAAACACTTACGTTAAATGAATGAATGGATGAAATAGTCATCTCATGAACTCAGGTTCTAAAGTAACTTCTACTAATATTCTGGGGCCACTGAAAAAATCCCACTTCAATAGCTTATTCAAGTTACTATTAAAGAATACTGACTGCCTTATGTATGTGGCTAGTGTCTTCAGCAGAAAAGACTACACTTGATTTTACATTTCAAATAATACTAATGCCTCCAACTCCTCTGAGAAAAACAACTTGTATGAAGATAGCATATGTTCCATTTTTGAAATGTCTGTAAAAGACTTCAGTTACTGCATGTTAACTTACTCAGTGTTTTGACATTTTGGGTTAGAGAACTTTATGTAGTGGAAGCTACCCTGCACATTGCCACAGCATCTCTAGCCCCTCCTCTTCCCCATTGTGACAATCAAAATGTCCCCAGACACTGCCAAGTGTCCCCTGGAAGTGGAGTGAGGCAAAATTGCCCAAGTTGAGGATCACTGCTATCACTCAGTATTAAAATGGAAGAGTCATTTCCCTGCATTTTATTCAAAGCTATAGAAACAGGCTTCAAGAAAGAGCGTTACGTCCCACGTTTCTCTTTAGCTCATTGTTGAGAACTTGGGCAGGGACAGCTCTCTCCCTTTGAAATGCTTTGCTTAACAAATCCTCGGCATTTTAGGCCACTTTTCTCTTAGGAACAACTTTATCTTTGGAGATGCAAAATCACAACCTCTAAGCATTTTTTACACTTATTGTGATCTTCTACACTGATTCAGCACTGAATTCCATTACAAGGCATTTTTCTTTAATAATTTCTAAATAATATAGCATGAACTAGCTAAAGAAACTCTGTGAGTTCATAATACAATGTTAGCACTAATGGAAGGGTTTTTATCTACTTTATTACAATTTTTTTAAATTAAGTAAAACCTGCAGCAAAATCAAATGCAATAATAACCTTTATTATATCCTACCTCAAGATTCAGTCCCTGGAAAAAGAATCATTATTGCTTCTGAAATTTACTTCCTGGTACCTAAGAATACATTAAAAATTGTATTTCTTGATTTATGTTAGATGTTATCTGTTTTCTTGCTGTTAGTGTGTGAGGATTTAGCAATAATATTTCAACATCTCACTTCTGCTTCTCCATATTCTCCATATATATACATATTACAATTTTTACTTAAATTGCCAATGTTTAATGATGAGTGATGGCATACCCTGACATCCTTGTTGAGATCCTCATGCTAATATCCCCTTTCTCATTGTCCTTGCAGATATATACTTTAAACATTTCTCTCCTTTCCCCCATTTAATGGTGTTTTGAGAGGGAAAGGAGATAAAAGCATATGGCCATTACACATTTAACAGGAAACTAAAACTATTCTTGAAAACTTAAAAGATTACATAAAAAATTGAAACATTTTATAGTTAGAAGGTAGACTCCTTATCTCACCCTTACCTCTTGCATTGACCATAAATGAAAGCTAGGCACTTTTTAAAATTTAAGAAAAAAGTGATGGTAGCTAAACTTACTGTGGTGATCATTTATATATAATAATTGTATTGTACATCTGAAAATAGCATAATGTTACATGTCAATTATATCCCAATAAAAATGAAATGGAAGGCAAGTTACCAAATATACTTCAGTTCCTCCCCTTCTGTACACGTGGGACAAGGTTATCTTTCCTACTTGAGGACAAATCTGGTCTCTCTTCTGACATTGTTGAGTTTTCCTTTACCCACCAGGGCCATTGAAACCAGAAACATCAGGCAGCCTTGCAGCAAGAAACTACATGTTCTTTTTCCATGAAAAATGGTTATGTAATAAAGGTCTGTTGCACAAAAAAAATAAAAATAAAAAAAGAAACAAGTACAAAACCTGAGTATTTTACTTTTCATAAAAAATAATTTTTGGACCACCATTAACAACAAAGAAATCAGGACTACCCACATAAAAAAAGCAGAAGATAGAAAAAGATACCCTACTAACATGACAGATGAAGAACTTGCTAGGTAAGAAGAAACATGTGTATAACAAAGCCCACTCTGAAAGGGGATATTAGCATGAGGATCTCAACAAGGATGTCAGGGTATGCCATCACTCATCATTAAACATTGGCAATTTAAGTAAAAATTGTAATATGTATATATATGGAGAATATGGAGAAGCAGAAGTGAGATGTTGAAATATTATTGCAATTTAAAAATTGTAGGAATCAAAGTCAAGTGATTAATTACTAACAAAGATAGTAACAGCTTCTTTTGTCTTTCACGGTGAATGCGCAATTAGCACTTAATACTAAGACTGAGGAATAAACCATCTATAATCTACTGAAAAAGACCATCTGCTTCTATAAATTTTGTTCTTATACACTTGCCAAAAGAAGCGACCATACTAACAAAATAACGGGCTCTGTGTTGTTAATTGCTAGGTTGTTTGCATTTGTGCTGTTGCTATTAGAATTTAATAAGCCATTCCTTCTGCTAAATTAATAAGCAGCCAAGATTATGTAATAGCTGCTTTCAGTTGCTAATTATTTTTCCCATAATTCCTTCTCCTCTCTACCTCCAGCCCCCACCTCTTCTTGGCTAGGAACACCGGAGACTGCTAATGTGTCATGAGCAAGTCTCCCGTCCCTATTTTCAGAACAACAGACCAACATTAGGAGCATAACCAATGAGTTTAAACTTGGAGATGGTTATCTGAGGAGCCTTCAGGATATACATATTCTGTAGTGAAAAAGAAAAAGGCAATTTGGATTTAGAGGGCAAGTTTTCATGGCATGGCATCTGTTTTGTGTAGTAAGGGAGAAATGGGACATTAACATGTACCTTTGGGGCATGATTAGTTGAACAGAGAAATTTGGGCAGGGGACCTAAAGACCTACAGAAAGCCAGCCCTGTGCTTGGAGTAGCACAATACTCCAGTATACATTAATCATACATGTTAGCAGGAAATTTTCCAAGCAACGTAATAGTGCTTAAAAGAGGAGGTATTACACACACACACACACACACATTTTTGCCAAATAAGAGCATTAAAATCCCTATTATATACTATCTTAAATACACAAAATAACAGTCCCTAATAAAGGATTCCTTTAGGTTGATTAAATTTACCTTCATGAAAAACTTAACATTTCTTTTTTCACTTTGGGCCATTAAAAAATTCTGGCGACTGTTTGGGAACCTCTGCAAAAAAGGGCATAACTCAACAAAAACAATTTTCCAGCTTCTTTTGTAAGAACCTAGGTGATAGGTAATGAATAACATTTAGCATGAGAATCCTGTGTTTGCTCAAACAAGGCCATTTAATCCTGTGGGGCTCCTCTTTCCTCAGCTGTAAAAGATGAGTTGAACTAGATGATTCATCCATTCCTTCATTCAAAAAAAAAAAATATGGACATCCATAATGTGCTAGGCACGATACTCAGCACTAAGGCTCTTAACAAACCTATCATTTTATAGTGCTTATCAGTCAACTCACACTTATTAGTTGTTATATATACCAGGTATTGAACTAGGTCAGGATGGAAAATGAGTAAAATTCAGGATGAGCTAAACAGAGGCTTAATGGGCATGTGGGTGAAAGAGGGATTTGTTCTTACAGGGTTCGAGGGTGAGGCTTCCTAAGAGATGTGACATTTGAGAGGAAGGACATGGCAGGCAGAGCAAGCCGTCAGCAAGGCTAAACTGGAACCCAGCTGGGCAGGGGAAGGGGGCGTCTCCATGTACAGGAAGCGGCATCTCGAAGATGAGCTGCTGTATGTAGAGAACAGACAGCAGCTGCTTTTCCGTAGAGAACGGGCAGTAAGTCATCAGGGCCACAGCACTGAGGATGGGCGAAGAAAGCCCAGGGCTAACACTTGTACAGACTGGGGTGAAAAGTGTCTAGGAATGTAGCAGTGCGATGGGAAACAGGGGCCGGATTCCACACAGTTTTAGTGCCAGATTAATTGCAGAAGGCCCTCTGAAGGCATGCACAAGCTCCACGAAGGGGCTGACTTGTTTTCCCCACAGTTGGCAGCACTCCTTCTCCCCTCATTACCATCACTGGCTGTCACGCCTCCCCGTTCCACCCTCTTGGGACACGGGAGTTATCTGAGCTCGAACTAGGCTCTTCGCGGTCCAGATCTTGCTTACCCCACACATTGGGGTCAACAAAGGACACCACGGAACCCTGCCTTCCCGACACCGAATAGCAGGGGCAGCCGCCCGCGCGCATCCCAAAGGCATGCGCAGGAGTGCACAGGCTCGAAGATTCCTGCAACCGCCACTTCCGGGTCACGTGGCCTGGCTTCCGGTCCAGACCACCCCTCTTGGTAGAGACCTGGCCAATCGGCTTCGTCGGACTGGGCGGTCAGCTGGGCTGTCTTCGGCATTGTGGGCGACGGCAGATTTCCTTCCCGCGCGCCGCCCGGCCCGCCCCTGCGCTCGCCGCATCCCCAGCTCCTCCTCCGTCCGGCCCCCGGGGCGGGGTCTGTCGACTCGCCCTCCCCTAGCCGCCTAAGCCTTCCCTCCACTAACCGGGTCCCCTCCTCACAAGCAACACGGCTTCTGCTTCTCAGCTCTGCGACAGGGGCTTCCCCTCAACCTCAGCCGCCGCCGGCCAAGCACCGCCGCACCAGCGGCCCGCAGCCGCCGTAAGTCCCGAGGGAAGAGCCGGGATGCCGGGGACCGGGAGTGGGGTGGGAGCGTTGGGCGCGCCCCCTGTCCCCCGCGCGCGTCCCAGCGACCCTACCCCACCCCGTGTCCGGCCGGCCCGCCGCTGGGGCGCGGCGCCTGGCAACTCACTTCTTCCAGCGTCCGCGTCCCGGGATGGGGGGTGTCACAGCCCCAGACTCCGCGGCGGTCCCGCGGCACCTGTGGTCCGGGAATCCCCTCAAGTTTTGTGGGGCATTTTCGGGAGGGGCCCGCGGTCCGGGGCGGTGGCGGCGGAGGACCCTTGGCGCCCCCTGCTCGGCGGCGGATGCCATTGTCTGCCCCAATCCTTGCCTGTCACCTCACCGGGGCTGGATCGGTGATGGAGTACCGCCCCGTGGGGCAGTGGAGAGGCATCAGAGACGGCGGACGGAGGACCGTTGGCCCCGAGCCTGCTCCTGCTCCACGGCGGAGCCCCGTTGCTTTTAATACTAGTCTGGAGGAATCGAGGTGCCCTGTGATTGGCGGTAAAATCAAAGCATTGTTTTTAACAAGAGGGAGAGGATACTTGTGCCTTGCTATTCGTCCCGTGTTAGCACATCATTTAGGGTATTTTAAAGAGTGAGTTATTTGTTCGTGCTAGAAAGTGGGGGGGGGGGGCGAGGTATATAGGACCACGCTGCAGACAGCTTTGAAGCCCATACTCCTTTGAAAGCAACCCCCCACCCCTCCTGGTGACCAAGATCCTGGAATACGGGTCTGTTCTTTTCCAAGTTGTAGTATGGGCTTATATTAAATGTTGTCCAAGCTTTACTTGCTGTGCTCTTCGAATGCCGCTGTCTTAACATTAACAGGACTTGTATGGGAGGCACTTAGATACCACGAATATTATCCGTTAATTTTGTGCCAGTAAAGTGTTTTTTAAGTAAGGTGCGATAAGCCAGGTTTAAACTGCCGCATTATAAATTTCTAAATACCTTGCTGCTGTCTGTTTGGATTAGTACAAAAAGTGGCAATAATTTTTGAGCGAGATTCAGGGCCCATGTTATTCTAAACTGGTTGTGTAAATTCTCCTGCCCCATGTTCAAATTCGAGATGGTGTGGTGAATGTTAAGAATCATGCTGGAATCTTATTTGCAGTAACACTATTTAAAGGAACTGTAGTTAAAAGAAAAAAATTTCGGTCTGGATTCCACATTTAAATTACCTTCGTAGAAACAATGCTTATCTGTTTGCACTTAAGACCAGTCGAATTACAAGAAGCTTTTCTTGAAAATCAAACATGTAATCACCAGATTAGCAGATTCCAAATAAATGTATACAAAATAGCGTAAGTGTAAAAAATACCTCAGAATTCAGCATCCACTTCATCTGTAAATGCTGCGTTTTAAAATTTTAAATGAAGTGTTTTGTGGAATGTCTCTGAATGTGTGTAGGTCTTATTTTGGCTTTTTAAAGGTTTATATTCTCATAATAAATTACCACTTTATTGTGTGCATATTTGTGTTGGAATTTTTTAAAAGTGAGGTGAGAAGAGGTACTTAAAAATTAGCCTTTTATTGAGAAAAATGTGCATTTATAGGATTTTTTGGTTAGTATTTTAGGTCTTTTGTTTAAAATATGTAATTATGAAAATAATATCGAATGCAAACTGTAATTGAAAAAAATATGTAAGCATAAACTGAAGAGAGCATTCTAAGTGATAGCAGCCTGCCTACAAGTAGTTCTTCCTGGGACAAGAACAGCCTCAGGGTGAAAAATAGCAGGTCTTCAGTTTCTTTCAAATGTGCCTAAACCAGTTGGTGTTAACAATTCTTTTTTGATACATATAGAGAGTGTGGAATGTATAGCACAGATAGACAACGGTTTCTTAAATTGCAAGAGTTGTCTTTTACCTGAAGATTTTCATTTCAACTTAATGCCTGTTTTTCTTTTTGTTCTGCAGACTCCAAACGTCCAAGGAACTGGGTGGGGTGGGGAGATTTGCATCTGGTTGGAAGATCGTTCTACAAGAATGCCCTGCTATTTTAGCTGGCATAGAAATATTGACGGCTACTAATCATTGGTCATTTAAACGCTGTGTCCCCCAAAGCTTCACTGTGAGACGTATCATCTGAATCCTAACTTGATTGTGTCAAAGTATTGCGTGTAATTTTGATTTGTTTATCTTAACAGATGCAGTTTATGTTGCTTTTTAGTCGTCAGGGAAAGCTTCGACTGCAGAAGTGGTATGTCCCATTATCAGACAAAGAGAAGAAAAAGATCACAAGGGAACTTGTTCAAACTGTTTTAGCACGGAAACCTAAAATGTGCAGCTTTCTTGAGTGGCGAGATCTGAAGATTGTTTACAAGAGGTATAATGTTTCTTTTTCAGAAAGGTGAAATAGCAGAAGCAAATGTTTGGTCATTTCTGATGTAGAAATTACAGACTTTTGAGAGAAAACATTTGTAGGTCATGATTAACAAAGTATGGATGGTAAAGGTATTAAGATAAAGCTTTGTATTTTTTAAATAACTTGTTCTGATTGATTACCGAGTTTCAAGATAAAATGGGGAAGTTGTTTTGCAACTAATTATATAATTAATGGCTTCATTAGCTTTTCAGAAAAATTCAAAGAATTCATTCCTTTGCAGGGGGAATTAGGATCAGTATTTTTAATTGTGTGAGTAATTCTCTGAATTTAGACAAGCAATTCCCCCAACCCCATCCCCAAAAATCTATAAATGACTGACAGATGACATACCTTTTATCCGACTTTTAGAATCTTACCCACTTATAAACACCTTGAGTACATAGACCATTTTTTGTGTCTATACAGGGTGTATTGTAGTGTTTATTAATTTGATGTACACTTGTTGCTGTGGTGGTAGTGTGATTAGATCTGATAGATAATTTTCCCAAGAATCGATTTAAAAATTTTTGAAGAACACTAAGCTTTTGTGAAAATGCCATATATCTTAATTAGTATCTGAAATTTTTAATACCTTAAATAAATTTCTCAAGTTCATTCTAGTCATCTTAAAATGAATATATTTACTTTTTTTTTTTACCTATTTCTGTACCCTTAGGAATAACATACAGTTTTTAACATACAATTTCACGGTTTCTGCATGTGAAAAATTCTCTTCTATGGGGGATGTGTAGGGAACTAACAATTTTGGCTGCCAAGAGGGTTGCGGAGAAATCCAGGTTTTATCTCAGCTCTCCTGTATTGCACTCCAAGTGTGGATCATGGATGGTGTATTTTGTGGGGGAAATGGCATAGGAAGTAATGGAGGTTGTAGGACATTGACAATTTTTAAAAGATTGTAGACTCCTGTTTCCAATAAAGTGAATTTAGTCATCTTTGGATGATTCTGTATCCAGTGTTTAGTTTAGTACTTGATGAGAAAAATCATAGCATTTTAGAGCAGGGAGATGTCTTAAAATATCCAGTTAAGTGATTTAAGTGACTTTTTAAAAATTGAGGTAAAATTGGTGTATAACATTATATTACTTTTCAGGTGAGTTTTCATAAAAATGCTTTTTGCCCCAAGGAATAGAACCGTAAATGAAGCAATTGGAAGTGAGGTTGCTCTTGTGAAATAGAGTGGACTCCGGTACCCCTGCTCACTTGGCCTCTACCCTCTGCATAGGAGGTGGTTCCTGAGTTTGAAAATCACTGCTGTTAGTCATACTTCAATTTTATTTTTTAAAAAGAACAAACAAACCAAGAATTTGGAAGGAAGTGACTTGTCCAAGGTCATATGCTAGTTAGTAACTGACTTGGGAGCCACATCTCAGATTTTAAGCATAGAAACAAAAGATTTAAACAGGGATGGAGAAAGAACAGATTTGTCTTAACGGATCCTTGTAATTGGAGAGAATGGGTGGGGAGGGGCTGAGACTGGATCCTGAGGGATCTGTTAGGAGATCTGATGAGTTCCTGAAGGAAGACCTCTTACCGTGTTCTCGGCCCCTTGCGGAGGGGTGGGGAGAGCCTGGTACCCAGGTAAATTTTACAAGATTTGGTCACTGCTAGAAGCGGGGAGGGCAGGAAAGAAAGGGAGGAGTGGGGGGATTCTACATTTCTGGTTCCACTGGCAGGCTGAATGGTGAGGTGGTAGATAAGTTGAATTAGACATGCCTGTGTGACTTCCATGTGGAGATGCTTAGTTTTCTTGCGCAGGCATAGGTATGGAAGTCTGGGGGGAAATGAGGCGTAACGTGTTAGATCACCCAGGTGCAAGATGGAAGAAAAGCGGGAGAAGGTAAGCATATAGGGTGAGTAACATGGGGATGAGGAGAGAGTTGCCAGTGCCAAGTGTTACATAAAGTCCAATTAAAGCGAGGAAAGAATCGATGAGATTTTTACCGTGAGCATTTCATAAAATGCCCTTTGTGGGAACATTTTCAGTAGAATAGTAGAATCAGAACTCTTGAAGAAATATGGTGAAGAGGTGGAGACAATCAAACAGAAAGTGTGGATTGTTTGGGGAGCTCTGGTCTCCAAGGACAGAAGAGGTACTAACCAACCGTTGACCTAGGAGTGGGGGACAGGGTTTTAAAAAAAGGTATGAGAAACTTAAGCTTATTAGATAGGGCAAGGAGTCCCCCGTGTGGAGGATGAAAATACCAGCAAGGGAATGAATCCCAGGAATGGAGATTCCTGCAGCGGAAGGAAATGGCCCGTTAAATGGAATAGGAAGCACCAGTTGCTGTTCCTATGTGCAGCTTTCAGCCCACCCATGTTGGGCCACTGCTTTTCTTTTAAAGATTATGAAGGTTAATGTAACCCGACTCTGATACTTGCATCAAGCTCCTATAAATAAAAGGTGCACTTAAAAAAACAGCTTTATTGAGATAAAATGCACCTACAAAAGTTAGAATTTAATCATTCTTTCCATGCATCCCCTCATTTCATAGTGAAAATCTCACCTATTGTACTAAGGATATATTTATTTGTTGATATGAACAGGTGACTGACCCTATCCAGCTGGAAGACAAGACCTTTTAAGTAAAAGAATTACTGCTTAGCTCTGGAGAAATCTGAACTAGAACTACGGTTGTCCCCGGAATAGCAAGTGATCTGCCCCGGTCTTCCACTCAGCCGTCTCCCACTTTTCTTCCTCCTGAGCATTTTGCATAACAATTCCCCCCTCGCCTGAGGGAGTGGTGGGAAGGGAGCGAGGATAAAATTAGTATAGCTGAAAAAATACAGAGTCTGGAGACTTAGAGTTCTATTCCATTTGTACTACTAGCTAGCTTTATGATCGGGAACAAGTCATTTGGCCTTTGTTTCCTCGTCTCTAATATAAATGCTCTTGAGATTCTTTGAAGACAGAATACTGCATGCTTTTTATTCCTAATGTGCAGCATGTTATGGAAGAGGCATTGGATTAAAGTCTTAAAATTTAAAAAAAAATCCATGCGTCTCCAAATTACTAACTTGAGAATTTGTCAAAGAGTACTGTACTGATTTTCTTTACTAACAAAAGACTTTTTTAATGCCTCCTTGGGTATTGAGAACAGTTTAGCCACATTCACCCACCGTCAGCTGATATTTAGCTGACTGTGGAGAAGTCATGTGTTTTGAATATAAGAATAGGAACTTTCAGATGTTCTCTGAGTGCCAGTAATGAGAGTAAGCCTTAATCCGCTCTGCTAAAAATAACCAAACATACCTTTCTTCTTACTAGTCTACTATTAATTTTACTTCAGAGTTAGACTTACAAATATGCACTAAGAGAACAAAATGAACTCGTTATTCAATTTTTAAAAGCCATTTCTAAAAATAGGGAGTATACTTCACGTTCTCTTGGTAATCTTTTACTAAATCAGTATAACAGATTTTATCTCTCCCAATTCAAACCTGTTAAAGTATTGCTTTTAATATATTTTAATTTTTTCCAGGTGCAGGATTACTGTATTTAATACAGTTCCTGGCTAGTTTTTAATTGAAAATTTGGGCTCTGAAGTCAAATCACTTCCTGGGGAGGTTGTTCAATTAAGCCTGGGTCTCTTAAATGCAAGTGATAATGATATCTCTCTGGAAGGGTTGTTGTGAGAATTAAAATGGTAAAAGATGAGGACTCAATGAGTGTTACCTGTTCTTGTTCTTCTATTTCTTCCCTAAGCTCTTTGGAAAGAGGTACCATCTTATAAGCCTGATAAGTAGATGTTCACTTACAATGAAGAATTTATTTAATTTGAGGGCTCTTTTTCCATTCTGAGCGGGTGCAAACATTTAGATATGTGCCTTAAAATATATGTATATATACATAGATCTATATCTGTAGATCTAGATATAGAGAGAGAGAGACATTACCAGCCGGATCCGTGTTTAGACGCATCAGTCCTGGTGATATTTAAATTATTTCCGAGTGAGTCATATAATTGAGGTCCTTAAACTAATGTTTAAGTGCTATTTATTTGTAAGTTAAAGAGGCAGTATGGCGGATAAGGAACAAGGATGCTGCAAGTATTCGATTACTTACCAGTAACATTGAAAACATCTTTAAATCATTGAGTCCAATTTGATGCAATGGATATATGAAGCAAACAAGACAAAAGGGAGGAAAAAATAACAAATGTGTATTCTGGAGACTTTAAACACCTTTTAAACTATGGAATGTTCCAAGATTATGTCTGTAAGTGGCTATATGATGTCTTCGTGGAAGACATAGTCATGTAGGGAGCTGGAGCTATTTACTTTATTTGGAAATTATGACAAACCAAAAAACACTAAATTGGAAAGGCTCATATCCTTTTAACAGAAGGTAACTGTTCTTGTTGTACACAAACTAGGCAGATCATTCCTTCTGAAGTTGATGCCGTGTAGTACATTCTGTAAAACAATGGCTGCTATTTTATTCACAGCTGAATAAAATGAAAACTTCAGTTAATTATGGATTTGATCAGATTGCATTTGTTTTTGTTTTAAATTCCTATCTACTGTCAATATACTGGTAGCTGTAGGGTATTACCAGATGAAATTTAGTTTTTAAAAAATATTTTATTGTTGTCCAAGTACAGTTGTCTGCATTTACCCCCACCACTCCCCTGAAGTTTAGTTTTAAAAGTCCTTTTGGCCAAATACTTACATTGTATTGATTTAAATATTGCACTTTTACTATTTTTGCATTTTGGGGTGGGGGGGTACAAAGAATTTGTACATTTTGAAGCTTAGAAAATAAACTGATTAAAGTGAAAAAACAAAAACACCAAAAAATCTTAAAAGGAATTTTACCTGAAACTCTTAGTGAATTCTTTCTAACGGAATCATTTAGCACCCTGTTCATGTTAGCTATGTCTGGTTTTTAATCTACCATTTTTAATATCAGTACCTTTAGTCTTTAGTTTTCTTAATTCAGGGCATCCTAACATGTCATTTGTATCAGTTTTCCTAAATTCAAAACTCTCTTTGGTGAGCATGGCTTTGGGAGCATGGGGAGTTGTAATATTCCATTGCCTTTGAAACAGATAAACAAAAACAAGTTAGTGCTGGGAGAAAGAGGAAGCTCTTTGCTAAAGCTGGAGCTGGTCCCCTGCCGTGTTCTTTATGATGAATGAATTCCTTCAACTGCCTCCTCTCTAGGACTGCAGGAGACTCACCGTTTTCAATAACTTAGTAAACCGTACAAATCAGGTAGCATGGACATGGGAAAAAGTCACGCTGTGTCTGACAAGGGATGTTGGTGTGGTAGAAGGCAAGGCCTGGAGTTAAGGTCTGAAGGTCCGATGGCTTGTCCCAGTACAACCAGTTGGCAGGCCCTGTCCTCTTGGGCTTCTTTTTCTCTTCTGTAATCAAGGATGATGGTGCTTGCTGTTGGAAAGCTCACATCAGATGAAATGTTTTTGATAATGTTGAAATTAGTGGATTGTTATGGAAATGGTCATTATTCTCATACTGAAGAACAGGAACTCATTGAATCGAGATTGTGTGCGTTTAAATATTTTACGTTAATGCTGTGAGCAGTAATTGCCCATTGTGTTTTCTAAAAATCACTTAAACGCTCAGTGAAAATTACAATCTCAACTGAAATTTGTTTAGACTGCCTGAGGTTTTTATTTTTTTCCTAAAGCCTTAAATAAACTTAAACCATTTAAAAATACTTTTTTAATCCTCCTAAAAGGACCTGGTCACCATTTGCTATGATTTGAAGAGTTGTATATTAATAAATTTTGGCTTCCTTTGGTTAAGTACCACTATATGCTAAAATCCTAATTTGGTGTAGGATATGAGTTTTCCAACCTTATTTCTTCTTCAAGGGTGAGAACCTAAACTTCAACAGGATAGAACTTGGAAATTTTGAGGAGAGGCCTTCGATTTCTCTGTTCTCTTTCTCTACCTTCTGTGATAACTTGGAGCTCTTGTTTTTTTCTTGGGGTCTTTTCCACAATCCTAGAAGCCTCCTTTTAAAAAATAATAGTTTTTTTTCTTTTTTTTTATTAAATTTTATTTAGTTACTTTTCAAGTACATTTTTTTTTATCTATCTCTCCCATCCCACCCCCCTCACCCCCACCCCCCCCACCCCCGGCCAGTCTCCCCCCTCCCTCCCATTCCCCCCCCCCAGTCCTCATCTCTGTGTCTTTCATACTTGTTCCTCAAAATCCCTCCCCCTTTTTCCCCTTAAGTTCCCTTCCCTCTCCCCTCTGGTCGCTGCCCACTTGTTCTCTATTTCAGCGTCTTTGTTTAAAATAATAGTTTTACGCTGTGAGAAAAGATACTGATTCCCTGTGAGGGTGGGAGTTTGTGACCTTGAGAGGCTAGGAGAGGGGTTTCAGGGGCTCAGTAATCTGCTTCTTGATCTGGGTGCTGGTACAGATAGGTTCCCTTTGAAAACACATTAAGCTACCCTGGCTGGTGTGGCTCAGTGGATTGAGTGCTGGCCTGCTAGCGGAGGGGTCGCCAATTTGATTCCCAATAGGGGCACATGCCTGGGTTGCAGAGCAGGTCCCTGGTGGGGGGGGGCACAAAAAAGGCAACCACACATTGATGTTTCCTTTCTTTCTCCTTTCCCTTCTCTAAAAATGAATACATAAAATCTTTTTTTAAAGAAAACTAATTAAACTACACATTTATGACTTGTGTTCTTTGTGTGTATATTACACTTCAGTAAAACATTTTAGAACATTGACTTCACGTTGACAATACTTTTGATAACTCCTTCAATTGGAGAGTTTATTTTCTTTGTTTACTTGTAGCTTGAATTAGTCATACAGTGTATTTTATTTAATTAAGTAAACGTCAGAACAAGCTGAGTCATTTATGTTTTAGAATCTATATAGAAAGGAGCCAGAAAGGAAGAACAAAATAGTTACTTTTTCTAGAGGTGTGATTGAATGATTTTTTTCTTTTTTGCTTGCCTGTATACTTTTCTAAATTTCTCTTATTCATTTATTTCTTTTGTAACCTAGGATAAAAATGATCTGTACTGTTAAAAAAGGGAAATCAATTGTACAAACATGGTGTCTTTCACAAGAGGATATGAAAATATATTTAAGGAACCACGATTATAGGATAAAATGTTTTTCACATTTGTTTTTTGTTTCAGATATGCTAGTCTGTATTTTTGCTGTGCTATTGAGGATCAGGACAATGAACTAATTACCCTGGAAATAATTCATCGTTATGTGGAATTACTTGACAAGTATTTTGGCAGTGTGAGTAATATTTTGTTTTAGGGAATTGATTGTCACATTTTTTTTTAAATTTTTTTCTGTAACAAGTTTATTACGTGATTGTCTTGGATTCTGACTATTTGAAATTAACTGTGGGAGGGGGAAAGAATGACTTTTTTTTTGTCAGTGTGCCTAGTCAGTTAACTGCCAAAATTGCTTGACCCCACAGTCCTACGCATTTAATTATGGTGGTGACAGTGAGGTTCAAAATAGTGGAATAGAAAGGAGTCCAACTGCAAAGAGTAATATTCTAGAAGTGCTTAATGAAGAATTTAGATTTTGTTGGCAGTTATAATCTCACTATCCAGGAAAGAGGTATTTTCAAAGATTAGTTTTTATGAGTAGAAAAGGTGCCAGTGTTGGGAGCTTGTGGAGTTGGGTCTTAGTGTGAAGGGATTGTGTTTTCAAGTACTTGAGATTTGAAAATTAAGCCGACTAAATCAATGATGCTTGGCAAGATTGCCCTTTTTAGAAAGAATGTAGACGGATTCACTCTGGTCATATTTATTCACTACCCGATAGTTGAGAGGTACCTTTTGCTTTTTATTATTATTGTTATTTTTGTGTTTGTCTTTCAGGTGTGTGAACTTGATATCATCTTTAATTTTGAGAAGGCTTATTTTATTTTGGATGAGTTTCTTTTGGGAGGGGAAGTTCAGGAGACATCCAAGAAAAATGTCCTTAAAGCAATTGAGCAGGCTGATCTACTGCAGGAGGTAAGCTTGGAGTTCTCCAGACACTAGCATGTTTTGCTCTTCTTAGGAAGTGTCAGTCATCTTCCCTCATTCCTACAGTTGCAGAAATTACTCTGAAGCATGCTTGGCATGGGTGTTCGTGTTCAGTTTATTGATTGGAATATGTGTCGGTCCCATCAACTCCATTATCTACGGATGGATCATTGGCTTTGAAGATGGTCTGTCTTATTGATGGTCCATTTTGGACCCCAAAACACTACAGTCTAAACCTCTAGAGGACAGACTACTGTAAAAAGGGCAAAGATTCATCAAAAGTTAACAATAATTTGAGAACTCTCCATCCATTGTTCCTAATTACATAAGATAACCCCTTTTCTCATTAATGTAGATAATCAGGAGTTGACGGAGATTATGGTATTTTCGTTCCCAATTTTATTTTCACCTCATGTCCATTAAGCGCAAATGTAACCAAGCAAATGATAGTGTTATAATTGTAGTTTTTGTAGAACCCTCTAGTTTTGCATTAGAAAAACTAACTAAAAAGTATTTTTCCTTTTCCTTGATCTTAGGTAACAAACCATGTTCTGTCAAATGACTGATTACATTCTTATCTTCCCTTGGTATCACCAGAGTCATTAATAAACCCCCTTCCCTTTCTAATTTCTGCAGTTCTTCTGGGTTAATTGTATATTTGATGCTTCCATACCTTTGATTTCTGACATTTAAAACTTCATAGATAAGGCTACCTTTTTCTAAAAACTTAATGATACCTTACTTCAGGTACCAAGTTGAATTATGCTTTAGTGATAATTGTTTTAATCAAAGTTTATAGCATAAGAAGGGACTAGTCAATATAAAAATATAGTATGTTTTCATTAAGGTAAGTGCTTTTTTATTTTATTAAAGGAAGCTTTAAATCCCTCCCCTTTGGCGGTCATCGACTGTTCTCTATGTGTGTGGATGTTTTATTTTGTTTATTCATTTGTTTTATTTAAATCCAATTTTTCAGCACTTCTGTTGGGAAGAAGAGTAAATCTCTTCTCCATTGTAACTTAACCATTGGCCTCTGTAGGGAGAGGGAGGTGCTGTCTGTAATCCCTCTGCATTATTCACTGACTGGGTCAGTTGTGGGGACTGCTCAAAGTTGGGGTGATGTCATCTGGGCCATACATCTATAAAATAGGAGACAGTGCATTGTACATGTAGTGATCTTGAGTTACCAAGACAATGGTTAAGTACCTGCAAAAGTGAAGCATTTTGTTGGCTGCCCTGATGCCACAGCAGTGAACTGAGCTTAGCCCCTTTACCTCATATGTAGTTTGCTGCGGTAGTTTGTTCATTGATTGCAAACGTCATTGGGGAGAATTTTTTTACACATCAGATATGCTGACTACAAGCTCATAGTCCACTCCTATAATGTTGGTTTTAAAGTTAGCGGCTCCTTGTTTTGCTGTTCACTAATCAGACTTTTTAAAAAATTAGGTCCAAACCAGAATCAGGAATTGGGAATTTTCCATATTTTGTCCCTTTCAGTGATCACTTTTATATTGCATTACTGTGGCACTATAGTCTGTTCTATCATATCCTGGTATTTCCTTCAAGTTCATTTCCTAATTGATTGTATTTGCCTTAAAACATTTCTAAAAGTATTGAAGCTCAACTTTTAATTTTAATGTTTTTTTCTGGAGAGTTATATTTAGGGTATTGATATCTCCTTGTGTCTGGATTGCTTTGAAAACTTGACTGGGAGCCCTGACCAGTGTGGCTCAATTGGTTGGGCATCATCCCACATAGCCAAAGATTGCTGGTTCGATTCCCAGTCAGGGCACATACCTGTGTTGCGGGTTTGGTTCCCGGTTGCTCTCACATTGATCAGTGTCTCTATCCTTCTCTCTCCCTTCCTCTATGTCTAAAAAGCAATGAGAAAAATGCCATCAGGTGAGAATTAAAAAGAAAAGAAAAAACTACTAGGTAATTGTTAGACTTTGCAGTATGACATACATGCTAAGTTCACTTTATAGCATGTGTTGTGAGTATTTAATGTACTAGGGGATAAAAGTTATTACAGGTTCATATTTATTTGTGAGACACTGTGTGTGTACCCCTCCTATTGAAGTATTATAATAGTTAAGTAATGTCTCCCTTTTTGAAGTAGTATTTTTATATCTTTAACTGGGAAAGAGGAATGGAGAGAGAATCATAGGATGTCTATGATTCTGATCTCCTCTCATGCTAGTTTAAAAAAATTGACCATTAATAACAATTCCTTGTTTTTAGAAGAGAGCTTTTGTCCTATTTCTCATCAGTGACTACCTTTACGTTGTTTTTTACATAAACCAAAATGATAGTACATTAAGACATTTTCTACTCAGCGGTCTGAGTGAACCATTTTTCTTTTTTTGGGGGGTGGGTTATTTTTTTATGATAAAATTTTATTGTTCATCATTTTTCAATTTTTTTAAAATTTTATTTAAGAGTGAACCATTTTTCTTAATTTAACCATTCAGTTCTTGGAAGGCAGAAGGTGACTGGTCCATTATGAATTTAGAGTAAGTTAAAATACATTGCAGGTTAAGGCCTTTTTATGAAGCCGAGCTAGTCTGTATGCAGCAGTAAGGCTTCAGGTTAACAAGCTAACCTGTTATTCAGGTTATTCACCAACACACTGTCACATGAAATCCAAGGGAGACAAAGCACTTGTTTCCCAAAATGCATTTATTTATTAGTTGACACATGAATCATGATTACATCTCTAGAAGAATCTTTGAATATTTTGTTCATATAATGGTGGGATAAGATGCAAAAAGCATCCCACAAACTACTAAAAAAAAGTTTGTAGGCCCTGGCTGGTGTAGCTCAATGGATTGAGCGCAGGCCTGCGAACCAAAGGGTCGCAGTTCAATTCCCAGTCAGGGCACATGCCTGGGTTGCAGGCCAGTTCCCTGCAGGGGATGCACGTGAGGCAAGCATACATTGATATTTCTCTCCCTCTCTCCTTCCCTTCCCCTCTAAAGATAAATAAATAAAATCTTCAATAAAAAAAAAAAGTTTTGTGTGTGGACACCATGACAGCAAAAGAGAACTATGATGATAGCTAATGTTTATTGAGCACCTAGATAGGAGGCAACCTTGCTAATCCTCAGGATGCCCCGAGGAAGCATCATGAGAGCCTTTGTAACAAATGAACTAGAGGCTTGGTGAGGGCCTAGGTAGCAGTTGCAAAACCAGGATACCAAACCCAGGTCTGTGAGACTCCGGAGCTGTGTGAAATCTTAAACCCTGCTCTTGTTGTTCCACCAGCCCCGCTGCTTGTGTATTGTCTTCATATGTGTATTTTAAACATTCTGTTGTAGATACCAACTTCTGTGTTTCTCAGTAATACAGTAAAAAGAAACTATCATTCTCCTGGAGTTTTCTTTATATTGAACAGAATAGATTTCCTAAGGCTGATAGCCATCTTTTACTTTTTGGACTGGAACTTTTCATTTTCCAAATGATCAATAGTTGGAATTTTTTAATTGTATATATAGATATAGATCATATATTTCAAATTATTTCTTGTTGGATTTTTCAAAACACCAAGATCTATAGTAGCTTTTCTGGTCTTATAATTTGGGATAAGTATTACTTGGTGTATGTCACAAAATGATTTTGCTGGCAAAATTGTAAATATAGTTGTAAAGACACTTATTTAAATGCAGCCTTAAATTTATAAAAGTTTTAATTAATTAACATTTACCTAGTTTTTCACGTACAGCTTACCCCGAACAACATGGGTTTGAACTATGCAGGTTCACTTAAATGCACATTTTTAATTTCAATAAATATCATAACTGTTTTCGACCCTCCAATGGGGAGTCAGTGGCTGCAGAGGGCTGACTGTGTGCAGTGAACTACATCATTTTATATAAGGACTTGACCATCCTCAGATTTGGGTATCCACAAAGGATCTTGGAATGAATTGCCTGAGGATACTGAGGCACAACGTAAGTTTTGGGGGAGTCAGAAGTTACACGTAGGTTTTTGGGTGCATGGTGTTGCTGGTCCCAACACTGCCACACATACACTGAGTTGTTCAAGGGTCAGCTGTGTTGTGATTTTTTTTTTCCAGTGTCAGGTTTTTTGCTTGAATCACTTACTTCTAAACATCAAAGGTGGCTTTAAATTTATAATGAAAATATCTGTTGGCTTAAAGATACATGTAGATCACACAATGATTTTGATTTTAGGCCTTAAAATTTGTAAAGTATACATTTCTATCCTTAAGAATGTTTATTTTCTTTAGATCAATTTCTTTAAAGTTTCCCTTTTACCTAGTTTGTGTAAATGTCATGTAGTTTGTTTCAGTAATCCTTGTTTTCTGTAAGTAATCCTTCATTTTATCCCCAAACAGGGCAGACAGTCGTGGCTAAAGTAGATTTTCTATTAGCATATAATAGTAATGAGACCTTAACATAACTGTATACTCAATAATCATTAAAATATCAGACAAAGTGATTATGTAATAAAGATATCTTTTACTTAATTTCTTGGTAAACAAGGGTTTTAGTTTTGACATTTCTAGATCAAGCTCTGTTTATTCCTTTTGGTATTCATTTATATGAATACATAATTCGATTTGGGGGTAAAGCCCAGAAAAATCTGTCCATTATCCAATTTTTAATATTTGTCTTAATTTAAAACATTTTATTAACATGCCACTGATACTTAACTTGATTCTTAAGGAATTAAAGTGCAACATGCTGAGATTACTAAACTGACATTCTTTGCTGTAGTTGGAACACTTCTCTCCCCCCACACCACTTGAATACCTATTTTCAGCGAGTCTTTTTTGGCAGGGGGTGTGCAAGGGGGAGTGACACAGTTGGATTTATTTTATGCACATATATAACAAAGGAGTATAGAGTACATTTTCTTTGTAAAGTAAGGTACTTAACAGTTTTTCTTTGCTCCTTAATTTTATAGAGCCAGAATGAAGAATGGGGAGGTTTGTCTGAGGATGTCTTATGATAAAGAACAGTTTAAGACTTTAGTCTCTTTGAGCCCCAACTTATTTATTGGTAACTACTACATTTACCATTTTTGTGGCATGGATACAATGGGGTGTTATGCAAAGACTGTTGCACGTGAGATGATAATCAACTCCTCGCTTGATTCTGTGAAGATCAAGTAGTTAACTACTGGGCTTTGGGCTTTAACCCTCAGCTGTGGATGCATGATGGTGTTGACCAGTGCTTTCTGAGATGTGGCGGCCTTTTTTATTTTTTATACTAATAGCATCGTTTTGAAGTGTGGGGGTTTCCTTTGGAAGTTTGTTTGCTATTGCTATTGTCTCTCACTAAAGCAATCTGAGAAATGAAAATAAGTGAGGTACCAAGAGCAAGCATGACATTCATGAATTTGTTTCTACTTCAGTATGATCCACTTTAGGAACAGATTTACTGGAGTTGTGACTGTTAATCTGCCTTGTCTAGAAAGTGCTGCTGAAACTGGTTTCTTTTAGTTCTGGGGCTACATGATATATCTTAATACTATGCAGTATCTTTGTAGAAATAGTCCTCTGTTAGACTGCAAGGTAAAGGTAACAGTCTTAGTAGACAAACTGATTTCTTTAAAAAATAAATCTTTGGTAATTTAAAATTACTTTAGTAAGTATTTCTTGAATTTAACCATTCATGTCTTTTAATAAGTTTCAGGTTTTTAAAATTAAGACCTTGCTAATTAAGAATATTTGGGCATGCTAGTCAAACTCAAGAATCTTACATTGTTTTAAAACAGATGCTGCCCTGGCTGGTGTGGCTCAGTGGATTCAGTGCCACTAGCCTGCAAACCAAAGGGTCACTGGTTCAATTCCCAGTCTGGGCACAAGCCTGGGTTGCAGGTTGGGGCTGCTCTAGAGAATGCACGAGAGGCAACCACACATTGATGTCTTTCTTCTTCCCTTCCCCTCTCTAAAAATAAATAAATAAAATAAAATAAATAAGGCAGATGCTTTCAAATACATAAAATATTATTAAACAGGAAAAAGTATTTTGATACAAATCCTTAGACAAACTCCTATAATTCCTTTGCAGTGACCACTGCTTATGTTAAAACCTTTAAGCCTAAACCCTTTACTTTTAAATTGGGTTGAAAGTTAACCAGGCCATATAGTCTTTTATGCCAGCATATTTAAATTTTTTTAGGTAGCCCTGGCTGCTGTAGCTCAGTGGGTTGAATTGAGGACGTGTGAACCAAAGGGTTGCCAGTTTGATTCCCGGTTGGGGCTCGTGCCTTGGTTGTGGGTCAAGTCCCCAGTAGGGGTCATGTGAGAGGCAACCACACATTGATGTTTCTCTCTCTCTCTCTCTCTCTCCCCCCCTCTCTCCCCCTCTCCCTCCCTCCCTTCTCTCTAAACATAAATAAATAAAATCTTTAAAAAAATTTTTTAGGTAACTTGATTTGAGTCTGCTAGAACAAATTCTGGATAAGTGAGGTTTGGTTACATTAATGTTTGAAATGGAAAATACAGAAGGGTAGATACAGAAAAAAAAAAAACCACAAGCGAGAACAAATCTTGCCTGTCCCTTTACATTTAATAAGAAACAATTTGGCCAGTGTCCCTGGTCACTGGTTTTCAGGTTGTAATCATTTTGCTGTATGTTTATGCGTTTTGGTTGTTGTTTTTTTTTTAGTTTCCCATTTTATTTATTTTTCTTTTTCTATCATTTCTTTTATTAATGTTCAAATACAGTTGACTCCATTTTCCCACCACCACTTTCCCCCACCTCCCACCCTCAATTCTACCCCCTTTGGCCTTGTCCGTGGGTCCTTTTACCTGTTCCTTGATGACCCTTCCCCTTCTTTCCCCTGTTATCTCCCTCCCACTCCCCTCTGGTTACTGTCAGTTTGTTCTTTATTTCCATGTCTCTTTATTTGTCTGCTTCTCAGAATTTTGAGGCTCCCCCTCCCTGGTGTTTGATTTTTAACTCATTTTGAACCAATTCTTGCCACTCTGGCCTATTTGTAATAAGGAAAAGTTGGAATAACCTGAAATATTCAGTAACTGTAAATCTGATTTTCAAAAGCATTTGATAAGAACCCACAGTAATAAGTACATTTTATATCACAATAGTTACATACAGATACACCAAAAAAAACTTTTGTTAAGTATATTCTTATTTTGCAGTCTCACATTTTCTCTTTTATTCTTCCTTTTTTTCTGTCCTGATCCTGATTTACTAAATTGCTTGCCTGAGCGCTAGGATTGGGGCCTGCAAAAAGAGTATACTGTTAGCTGTGGTGATGATGTTTTTCTTTACAAAGTACTTTCCGGAAAATTTTAGGGTTTGGGTTCTTTTTCGTTCTACTGACACATTCTTTTTAGTTTTTTTCTATTGTTTCTTCTGTTGCCTTTTTAAAACAATAAAAATTCCCATTATGGGAAAATTAACAAATACAGGCAAGCACAGTAGGACATAATCTTACCCATCAACCAGAGACTATTAGATTTACTTACTCATTAGTTCTCATCTGGGGTGGCAGGGGCAATTGTACCTCCTCAGGGGACACTTGGCAGTGTCTGGACACATTTTTGATCGTCACAACTGGCAGGGGGGTGGGTGCTACTGGCATCTAGTAGGTTAAGACCAAAGATGCTTCTAAGCATCCAACAGTGACCAGGACAGCCCTCCCATACCGGGGATTATCTAGCCTGGAGTGTCGACAGTGCTGAAGTTGAGAAATCCTGGTTTAATTTAATACCACGCAACATAAAAAGATTCCATTTATAGATCACATTTACATAAAAGACTGCTACATCTTTTCAGTATAATACAGGGTGAGGCAAAAGTAGGTTTATAGTTGTTTGTATGGAAAATAATACACAGATACTAGTAAACTGTTGCATGCTCAGCACAGTAAACCTACTTTTTACCCCACCCTGTATATAGTCCAGTGTATAAATGAATAGATAGAAATGAATTAGAGTAGGAGAGGAAAAACAACGGAAAAAACCCTAAATATTAGGAAAGGAGGACAAGTACCCTTAGGAACACGTAAATTCCTGGAAAAATTACCTCTGAGTCACTGAAATTACTTTTACTCAATAACCAGTGCCTGGGGAGATAATCTATGGTTGGCTTCAGCATGTAACCCACAACAAAGCTTGTGGGATGTCACTATATAATTTAATTTCCTCAGCAACCACCAAATCTGTTAACATCTATTAAGGTAATTGAGTTTTTACCAGGAAACAGAATTGAATATATCCTCCAGGCAGTTAGAACACTTAAATTTTCTGCCCATTTCCTCATCCACCTTAGGGATTTGATCATTTCGTAAAGGAGGAATAGTTTAAATGGTCGGAATCTGCATATACAGATTTATTGTGTAGAGACATGTTGGGGTGTGTTTGGTTGGGGGTGGGGAGTGCCCAATTAGCCTTAAAGAAATTACTCAGTAAAGATATTTAGAGTTTGATTGAATAGTTGAAATTCAGTGATTCCAAGAAGTCTTTTGTTGGGGAAATCCCAATTAAATTTAGGACATTTCACGTTATGATCCAAATGGAAGATCAAAGCAAATATCTGCCTGTAAAAGAAATGAGATCAGTTCCTATGTAATGATATAGAAAAAATACTTCAGGTACGTCAAGTGAGAAAAAATTTAGGAGCCAGCCCAGACCAGCGTGGCTCCGTGGGTTGGGCGTCGTCCTGCAAACCAAAAGACCGCCCCTTTGAGTCAGGGCACAGGCCTGTGTTGTGGGCCAGGTCTCTGGTTGGGGGCATGCAAGAGGCAGCCAGTCGTTTCTCTCCCTCTCTTCCTCCCTTCCACTCTGTCTGAAAATAAATAAAAGATTTATTTTAAAAAAAAGATTTAGGAGCCAGACATTAACTTAATGGCATTAACTCTGAAAATGTTTGAGGACTCCCCCTCTTTCTAGAAGTGAAAAATAAGCATGTATTATAAGTACATTTAAAAGTATAAAATATTCTGATTTATAATTTTTTTTAATGACAGTGCTGTGTGAATGGAAGAGTATACATTGTGGTTACTCTATCAGGTAAAACTTAGAGTAGCTTTTGCTAAAAAGAAAGTTTCAGCACGTACAGTGAAGCATTTGTCTGCTTTTTACCGTTTTACCATTTCCACCACCTGGAGCAATTATTGTTCTTGCCACTCATTACTAATTTAATGTAAAAAAACCACTTGGCTTTCCTAGTGCCTCACAATTGGTTGTAAAATAGCACTGACACTGTGAGCCTTGTCATCTAAAAGATACTTTAAAAGTGCCAGTAATTCTCTTTTTTATTCATTGCTAAAAATAGATCTCAGTGAGTTTGCATACTTTCTGGTTCTTTGGCCTTTTGACCTTCACCCTAGGCAATTGGGTTCCAGAGTTAGTAAGGACTTTGCTACAGAATTCAGTGAGGGGTAATCAAAAGGACCACTGTATTTCTAGAACACGAAGGACAAAGGACACTACTTTGTATGGCAAGGAATAAATGAAGCCCCTTTGCAAGAAAAAGTGGAGTCGAGCTGTAACTTCAAATTACACTTACGTATTTTTTATTAAATGTGAATTCTTTTCTCTGACTACATTGTGTACTAGAAAGAAAATCAGAGACTAGGTTTTCCATTTTAGATTCACTACCACTAGTTTACCTAGGCAGTTCTCTTTATCAACAGGACTGAAGCCTTCGGGTAATGGCTAGCTTTACCAGTTTTTGTTGTAGTTTTCCCAGATCACTTTGCGTCGTGTAACCCATATTGTATGGTGAATGCCTGGGGATTTTTAAGGTAATGAGTTTGTCTTTTTTAAGGAACGTGGGTGATTTTTGAGAACAGGTGTAACTCAGTTCCTCAAAATGTTTGTTATCCTACACTTCGCACTACATCTGGTCCTTTTTGTAGGGGGTGATAAAAAGATTATTCTTAGTATGGAAGAAACTTGAACATAAGCATACTAAGGAGAAGGAACTAATGCAGAGAGTGATGAAAAACAGTAATAGAATAAAGGGAAAAGTACCTATATTGAAGATGAATGGGAATGGAATCAAACATTGGTCTTGGGCAAGATGAGTTTTTCCTCCATTCTTGAGGAAATAATGTTGGGAAAGCTGTAGATTGGTTTGTTTTTTTTTTTTTCCTCCTGAGCTGGGCAAGTGGAATTGAGAGTGTTGTCATTTTCTTGGCTTTGAGAAGCTACATGAGCTAGTGGAGAGCCGCTGGGAACTGAAGAGGAAAGAAAGGTAGCAAACTTGAGGGAAATGTTGAGGATTTGGAACACACGTAATGGAGCAAATCAGCGGTGAGCAAAAGGATTGGCCAGGATTGAAGGCCCATTTCAGATTGAAGAGAATAAATGTCTATCTTTATTCAAAAAAGCTCTCTAAGAGTCTGTACTAAGGGAAACTTGTGATCTGTATTTTTATAATATAACTTGGAGTAAAAATGTTTTTCTATTTTCATTCTGGCCTATACACGTAATTGACATCACTGACCTTTTAATGTATTTAAAAACTCAGTTGACTGGGTGGTAGAAGATAGCAGCTCGAGTTCTACACAGGGCCTCTTATATGTTATGACAGTTTACTTTCACCCTCCTCAATTCTAAATACAGTTACTCCATGATTCTTAAGAGGTACTGGTGGTACAGGGCCCAGAATACTAGAGTTATGTTTAATAGTTGGGTAATTATCTGCATATCTATCATTTAGTTAAAAATTGAGCCCTGGCTGGTGTAGCTCAGTGGCTTGAGCGCAGGCCTGCTAACCAGAGGATCACGGTTCCATTTCCAGTCGGGGCACATGCCTGGGTTGCAGGCCAGTTCCTTGCAAGCTAGTTCCCAGCAGGGGAAGCACTAGAGGTAAACCATACATTGATGTTTCTCTCCCTCTCTCCTTCCCCTCTAAAGAAAAATAAATAAAATCTTTAAAAAAAAAATTGATCTTAGCCCTGGCCGGTATGGCTCAGTTGGTTGGAGCATCATCCCATAAACCAAAAGGTTGAGGGTTCCCAGTCAGGGCACATACCTGGGTTGCAGGTTCTGTCCGTAGTCGGGGGACATGCAAGAGGCAACTGATTGATGTTTCTCTCCCCCTCTCTCTTTTCCTTCCCCTCTCTAAAATCAATAAACATGGTGAAATCAACCTTAAATATTAAGTGGTCATTGAAGCATTTGTTTATAGTGTAACATTTTCAGGCCTATCAGTCTAAACTGGAAAGTTATTTAAAATATGTTATAGCACCCTGGCTGATGTGGCCCAATGGATTGAGCAAACAGCCTGCAAACCAAAAGGTCATTGGTTTGGTTCCCAGTCAGGGCACATACCCAGGTTGCAGGCCGGGTACCCAGTCGATGTTTCTCTCTCACATTAATGTTTCCCCCTCTCCCTTCCTTCCCATCTCTCTAAAAATAAATAAATAAAATCTTTAAAATATAGCAACTTGAACAGTGAAAGGACAACAAACTCACAGTTATTAACAACCACACCTAAAATGAAAGCAAACTAAAAGGACACCTAGATCAGGAGTGGAAACATAGAAATGAAGATCTCAAGGAGGGTTAGCAACAGGGGAGTGGGAGGAGGAGAAGAGGGGAGAAGGTACAGAAAATAAGAAGCATAGACAGTAGATAGAAAATAGAAGGGGGGGCAAGAATAGCATGGGAAATATAGAATCTAAAGGACTTGAGACACATGGACATAAACTAAAGGGGGGGGGTAATGGTGGGGATGGGGGGTAGGGTGGAGGGGAATGAAAGGGGGAATAGAACAACTGTAACAGCATAATCAATAAAAAAATTTTAAAAAAATATAGTAACTTGAAAGTAGTAAAAGAATTAATTTATTTTTAGGGTTTTTTTTTTCTCAAAGGATGTTTTCCCAATACACTGTTTTCTCTCTCTGAAGACTATTCTTCCTAATTGATGAATGCTATTTTCTTGTTCAAGTACAATCTGGATCATTGGCTGTAAAAAAAGTAGTTTGGTGTGTCATCAACCATTTCCTAAGAGTAGTGAAAGGTCTACCACCGTTGAGAAATGTTCCTATAGAATTATTTAAGTCTCCTCTGGGGAGGAATGGCTGTGTACTATTTAGGAAACTGCTTTTAATGGGCGTATGCTCTCTATGGTATAAAATTAAGAGAGAAAACAAAAGGATTAAAAGCTATAATATATAAATGCTCAAAGATTTGGTATTATATAGGTGAAAGATTATTTGACAGACTTAAACTTTTCTTATTCTCTCTCCAGAAAATAGAATGAACATGTATCACAACGAGAGTTGCATGAGGTGTAAGAAAGCATACTAGAATACGTGCTGGAATACTGACATGCATCAAAATGTAGTAGGATATATAATTCAGTTTGTAATTAAAAGTTTGTTAAGTTTATTATTTATAGTTTAGCATTACGTGAAAAGTCTAATTACATTAAATCCCAAGGGATAGTCCCAATTATTTCATTTAACTGATATTAGCAAATTTTGCTCTTGTAATGACCCATGATTTGTTTTGTTTTACACAGAAAATGCTTAAAGAAGTTCATTGACAAAAAGTGTTATTAAATACTGTGACTCACTGATGCCATTGATACAGATAGAGAATTCCCCGTGGAAAATGAGCTCCTAGAAGAAATGAAGCATTTGGGGGTTTAATTTATTATAATTATTTTAATGTGCTACTTCATTCCACTATAATCTATTCTGGGTGGGGGGAAAAGGAAGTTACCTCTTTAAACTGTTTAGGAATTTCCCCCTGGAGTGAAATTTAAATGGCTTTTTTTCTCTTCAGATACTTTTGTTTTTAATGGTTATTGTATAAGAATCTGTTACTTATTTTACTGGGATAGTTTACATGACTTTGTAGTCTATCATTTTTAAAAGCACCAAGCTGAATAGAGACTAAAAGGAGGATATTTTTAAAGCTCTCAAATAAGCAGTTTTAAACTTCTTTCAAAATTTTTGAGTTCACAAGCCTTTTATTATTATAATCCCATGGGTCCTCTTCTTGGGAAATCTGCACATAATTTTGCCTCTAGTTTCAGGAGGTTCTTGGAGTCCCTAGAAATTCATCTCCGGACACTCTAAGGTCAGTTTAAAACCTCCCCTCAGGTTATCTCATTGATGTGAGAAACATCTTTTTAGATGCATTTGTAGGTGTAGACCTTTAACAGATCTGTTTGGACAGTTCTTTAAAGGATTGTTTAATAAGAAATATATTCCTAGACTCAAAGGCAGTCTTTGGGTGTATGCATGTGTGTGTGTTTAAGCAAGGGTACCGCTAAAAACGTCTATTGCTACTTAAAATACCAGATGGGTGATTACTTTTTCACTTTTTCTTGGGACAGATTCTCCTTTAAGATCCTGTAAAAGGGTTTATGGTTGTCTTAGGATGTAATGATTTTTATTGAGGGATTAAATTTTTTGACTTGGTGTAACAAAATCCTGATGAACTTGAACATGCTGGGGGGGGCGGGGCGCGGGAGTATTCTGCTTGAATTTTCAGTTAACTCAGCATTGACCAGATGACTTCCACTGAAAACATTGTAGGATCCTCTAGGATGTAGGTCATTTTGACTTTATATATAAATATAGTAAAGTTCATAAAAGATGAACCTGAACTCCTCCTGGGCATTGTTGAGAAGTTAAACTATTCATACATAACCAAACAACAACAAAAATTTGTTTTCATTGAAATTTTCTTTACTGTGCACTAGGCCTTCTAGAAATCTGATTGTTAGTTTGTATACTGTGTGTAAGAACATGTACATTTCTTTTGTAGCCACGTCATGAATATTTTAATGTCCCAGTGTACTAAATGACTACTCGACGTGTACGCAGAGTCTCACAGAGGAAATAGAAAGCTGATATACTTATGAAAGAAAATATCCTCAGCTTGGTGACCATCTTATAATAATAGAATGTTTCAGAATCAATACCTTTACCATTGTAATTGTTTCCTGTTCTTATTCCTCTTTTCTGTTTTATTTTCATTCTATATGTGATCTTGAGACAGCTTACTCCTGCTTGCAGCTGGCTTAATTTTCTTCTGAAAAAATGTGACCTATGAATGTTTTAGTAATATTTCATCTTAAACACATCCATGTCATTTGTGAACCATTTGTGATTAATCTTGTAAGAGGCAAGCCTAGCAGTTGTTACAATGTTTGCCAAAGAAAATACAGCTGAAATGCTAGGTTTAAATAAGCAGTGCCATAATATATAGTGTGGTTTGGTCTTCAAATGTTGGGGGCAAAAACTATATTTACTGTGACTATATTATAGTCTATATGAACTAATGTGTTTTAATGTATCACATTACAATTGTGTTCGGAAATGCTAGTAAAATCTGTACAATGACATCATTTAAGTAAAAGATGCACAGTTTTTCAGAGATTTGTAATGCCACATTTATTGAATCACATGTGTTCTGTATAATAATACCAAACGATCCCTTTAAGAACCATCAGAAAGCTATGTCAGGAAAATCTTACCTGCAATATCTAATAGTAAGTAACTTTTTCAACATATTAATACTGAGTTGATAGAGTCAATTTCAAATATTTGAATAAGTTTAAATACTTACATCTTACCAGTTACGGTTTTATCATATAGTATTCATTTAAAATACTTAATGACTTGTTAACTATGGTTTTATATTTCTGAATATTAAAACCTTTTGAATTGATCATTATTGTGTATACATTTAGTAAAACATGCAACATACTTGATTATAAAAGGAAAGTACCGAATAATTCATTGTTTATACCTGCAGAGTTTAAAGCCTGAGTTCAGTAAGCTGTCATTAAACAGTAAATTCAAAAGATGCTTACACTGGCTTACCACTGAAAGACCTATGAAAATGTATATAAGGCAGGCATGCAAAGCAGTGCTCACCATTCACCATAGCACCTAGACGGGCTATCAAATGAGGAATTTAGCATTATACATTGAAAGTGTTGGAAAACATTGGTCTTTCATTTCCATTTTTCCCCTCCATCCCTCTCCCTGCCCTGCAATATATTATTTACCTGGTTTTAATGCTGCATAAATATGCATTGTCTCATGCCTGTTTGTTTTGGATGCTGTGTGTTGAGCTGTTGTAACAAGATGTTGCTTGTTTTGTTTTCTGTATACAGCTGCTTGCTTTGAATTCGTAGATTCTGAAATAGCTTTCCTTGCATGTCTAAAATAAAAATATTGCATGTACTTTGTCTCATGTGAATGACTTTCTTCTCCATCGCTTTTGATAATGTATTTCACATTTTCGTTTTTCCAGATAATGTTTTTAGTCGTGGTAAAAAAACACACACACACACACACACACATAACAGAATTTACTAGCTTCACTCTTTTTAAGTGCACAGTTCAGTAGTGTTAAGCATATTTGCATTGTTGTGATAAATCTCCAGAAATTTTTCATGTTGCAAAACCGAAACTCTGTACCCATTAAACGACTCTCCATTTCCCTCTTCCCCCAGCCCTTGGTAACCACCATTCTTCTTTCTATGTATTTAGGAATTTGACTCTTGGGTAATGGTTTTCCTAGGCAGTTTTGAGCTACAGTTTCGGTGTGAACATGTGAAAATTACACTTTATATTATAAACACAATTTGAAAAAAACTGCTATACTATCTATACAAATCTCAAAGGAATAAAATGTGTAAATAACTCTAGGTCTTTTTAAAAAGACAGTATTTTAAATAATGCATATTTGAAAAGCAACATGGTTCTCCACAAGAAATGCAATATAAGATTGATTGGCATAGACAGTGAGCACATAGAAATCAGCTCCAGGGAGTAGGATTGGGGACATTTTTACATGGGTAAGCTTAAGACTATTTATTAAATGTATAGAATTTGGTGTAGGCAACCTTTTAAATAATACACTGAAGTTGTATAATATTTTAAAAAGTAACATTAAATGAGGGTTTTTAAATAGTTTTATTTTACTATGAATGTGATTCAGTGTATTTTATGTTTAAGGCTAGACATTAAAAATGAAAGAGACTGGTTTACATCACTCCTGGGAGCATTATATCATTTCAATTAGACTTTATTTAAAAATTATATCATGAAAACTGAAACATGCAAATAGAATAGTATGAGGAATCCTCATGTATATACATCACTCAACTTCAATAACCATCAGCTCAGTACTCTGATTTGATTACTAATTTCATCAGCCACCACCATCCCATTTTGCCTCAGTATTTTAGAGCAAGCCCTAGACATATCATTTCATCTTTAAAGCTAAAGTATGTGTCCCTAAAAGATAAGTACCACATCCCATGAAATTAACAATGATTCTGGTTCAATTTTTCATAACTGAAAAAGCCTGCCTCCTTAGTGCAGCAGTTACTGCATCACTCATAATCTGAAAAATATATTTTTAGAATTGGTTCATCAGAACCAGATTCCAAACAAGGTTCACATTGTATGTAGCTGATGTCTCAAGCCTCTCTTCATTTTTCACAACTCCTTTGCTTTCTCCCCCTTACCTTTTTGTTAACCAAGTCACCTATGCTGTAAAATTCCCTCCATTCTGTACTTGGCTCATTATAATCTTGTGGTGATGTTGAACTTGTGTTCTTATTGTCCATATCTATTTAGATCTGTACTCTGGCTAGGTTGAGGTTCAAGTTTGGGGGGGGGCAAGAATACTTCATAAAAAATAGCCTATGTCACCAAGGCTGATTTTTACCCATTTTCATTAGTATACAAACATACTGAAAGGTTAGCATATGACCTTTATAGAGACTTGGTTTACAGTACTTCATTTACTATTCACTGCTCAGTAACTTCATTTAGATTGCAACTGTGTAATGCCATCAGCCAACATTTTGAGCAATTTCATGAGAAAGGTACTAAGCCTTATCCCTTAATTTCTATACATGAAGGTAAGTACTATGATCCTTGTTCTCCCAATAAGGAAACAGACCACAGCGTTTAAATGTAACTTAGATTATTCCATATAGTGCTTTGCCTACAATTTAATATTATGGACTTATGGTTTAATGTATTTTTCCCCTTGTTTTGTGCTTTACCACAATCAGGATGCAAAAGTAAGTTAATTTATTATTGGATACTAAAAGTTACATTGTTTTTTTTTTTCATTAAAATATACCATGCCTTTTAATTATAAAATTGTTTCTAGTAATACCTGAAATTTTAAGTACTCGGTCCCTTTTTATTTTGTGAAGTGCAAAATCAGCCACTTTGGGAAAATTTGAAATAATTTTTTTCTTGATATATACCTGCTTTGTCTTCCTTTAATGTTTCAAGTCAGTATTGGTTGTTACATGGGACAGAAATGTCTTTTATCCCAGAGCATTCTTTATGTACGTTGCTTCCACTGAAGCCATTGGTTGCCCTGGGAAGGTCTGGGGGAGGTAAGTTTCTGAAGCCTTGCTACTGGGACAGTTAAGTCAAAAACAGTAAAAACTCACAGGAAGACGTTTCTCTAAATACATGTGACCCCTCCCCCCCCAAAGCACAGAAATAAAAATTAAGTGAAGAATCGGGAGAACTCGGAGTTTCTCCTGTTTTTGTTTGGGGTGGGGGGCGTTTGAATTGTAACACTAACAGAACCTTTCCTGGAGACAGGCAGTGATTCCGTAAATCGCCTGTGGGTTTGGCTGCTTTTTGTGTTAGAGCAACAGTGTCCGGCACATTGGTCAGGAGTCAGCAGATATTTAATGCATGCTGAAAATATCCTGTGGCTCCCACACAAAACCGGAAATAACCTCTGGCTCACAGTAGTAGAATCCGCCCATCCCAATGAACCGCTCGCTTCTTCTCTGAAACTTGCACGTCCTTCTGTGTCAGTTTCACCCTCTCAAGCCACCCAGGTCTGCTTACCAGTCTCACATTTTCCCTCCACAGGAAGCCGAAACCCCACGTAGTGTTCTTGAAGAGATTGGACTGACATAACTCTCCTCCCTTGTTGATGACTTCTTGTGGCATTTCACACACTGTAGATGGTCACTGCCTTCATGTCCATGTTAGCTAATGGTGTAAGATGACGTCTTGTCAGTATTAACTGTTATGCTAAGCTGCTTCATTCAGGCCTACACAATTTTTTTTTGTTGTTAACCATAACTTAGGAGACTTAAACACGATTGTGAGTGATACAGAAAAAGAAAGGTACCTGGTATCTTAAGTTTTATAGGTCTGTTTCTCGTAATCTGATTATATCTATGAAAATGACAATCAGGCAATATACATGTATTAAATACTGTCTTTGGCAAAAAAAAAAAAAACCAACTTATGAAACCAAAGACCAGAACACTTCAGTTTATATGAGAATAAAGGGAATTGGCATCCTATAACAAATGAATACAAATCTAACTCTTAATTATTGTTGAAACTTGAAAAACCAAATTATACCAAAGACCCTTACTGGAAACTACATACCTGGAAACAAAGGGAAAACACATGACTAAATTAGAATTATATTTACACTAAAAATGATTTCTTTGGCATTCCAAACGTGGGATGAACACAGATTGACTATTTCATAATAGCATGCTATTTTTAAGGCTAAGTAATATTTGACTCCTGAGCTAAATTTTTGGTGGTTATAATCATGTAGCCCTTTCATTGGATTGTTTCTGATGTCCCCAAATAAAATGGAAATATCGATTTACCAGGAATTCTTCATGATGGTCTTACAGAAAATGCGTTCCTCACTTCACAAAGCATTGCCTAAGTCGTTTAAAGCACTAACGCTCCTTCTGGGGTGCTTGTTGCAGCCAAATTTACTTCACTCACCCTTATTGCTTCCCTCCACTTAGAAGTGCTGCACACTTTAGGGGCAGCTTCCTGCCCTTCCATGGCATTCTCTAGTTATGGGAAATCTTATAGAAATAAAAACATTACCACCTTCCATGCAAAAGTGAGAGCTGAGTGAGGTAAAATGGCATTAGTGGGCCCTATGTTTTTAAAAGCTGTATCAATGTCACTTTTATACATATGCCATATATAAACGTCCTCATGGTTTACACTTTCATTTGTATCTGCTGGGCTGGATTAAGCTTTGTTGTGATTGTGACCAGTATTCAGGCCACCTGTGCACTGTCTTATCCCATTGCCGATTAGTTGTAATAAATGTTCAATGTACACCACTATAGTGTGTTTTTATCTCTTTCCAAAAGCTTGTCAAACTATGAAGAGCTGCTAACAGGAGAAGTTTAACTTTTTTTCCTCAGTAAAATGTTGAAAATTCACTTCCATTTGAATGTGATAGTTGTTAAAAGCACACATACTTCAAGTCTATTAAAAAGTAATGTGGATTCCGTGCGACTGAGAGCTTATCTACACATTTATTTTCAATCAATAAATGCTGCTTTTAAAACCCGATGCACTTGACTTTTCTACTCTTTCTGAATGAGCAACTGGACTGCAGGTAATCGAAGGTATTCCAAATCAAGTGGGTCCCCCCATGAACTGGAGGTGGCAGCACACTATGGAACAGGCTGCTTTTGCCATCTAGTGTCTCATCAGGAAATCCAAATTTAGTTAAGGGACCTCCTATTGACCACAGATGGGAAGTATTACAAAACTGAAACGATATTTAAGACGAGGAAACAACTACTATCAAAGTAAGTTGCTCGTTTGCCGGAAGAAAAGGAAAGTTGCAATGTTGGAATTGTAAGAAGTCATCAGGTTGTAAGTTTAAAAAACATGAATACATTTAAGTTTGAGACGAACATTTGTCAGGATAATGAACCAGTCAGTGCTTTAAAAATTGCTGCTTCTCTCCCCTCCGTAGCACGCTGCCCATTAACACTTGGGAAAGTCACCAACATCTCATAACAACCTTGAGCACAAGCTGGTGATTGTCCTCCATGACATTTTCCTCTCCATGATCTACTAGACTATTCAATTTTGAGTAACTTGGCTGTCCTTAGGAAAGTATTGAAAAATACTGAATTTAGTGATAATTATTTAGCATTAGTGAATCCTGTAGATAATTACAGAACATTTTCAGTCATTTTAGGGCATTTAATGCTGGAACAAGTCCATTTTTTTAATGTATTCTGGACCACATACTTCCTTTAATAGACTACTGAATAAATGACTCATTTTCAACAGCTATCACTCAGAAGTCCCAGTCTTGAAATTTCTATTTATTTCTGTTACCTTCACTATTTTTTTGTGTGTTCTTAAATCTCTATTTCCAAATCTCCAAGTTGCCAAATTCCATATACTCTGAAAATCAAGGAAAGGAGGTTAATAAGGGAATTAAAAATTTATAAGGAAGCATGACAGCATTTTTTAATGCTCTGAAATCTAAGAACAATATTTTATCAAGCATTTTAAATAGCATGTTCTCCAATCACTTTACCAGAATTGCTGTAACACTAGGCATATTCAGTGGCAATGACCTGTATATAAAGAACTCTCCATTACACTATAAAAAAGGTTACCCTAATGGGAAATCTCTAGCTGAGGAAGGACTACAAATATGGGGTAGGAGAGGGGAAAACTGACTACCCTTTTTTAAAACTGAGAGACTGAATTTTACAGTAAAAAAAGGTATTCAGCTATTGTACGCAGGAAAATCCAATACATTGCTAATAAAGGACAAACAACCAAATTTAATGGCCACTAAATATAGAAAAACTGAGTTAGCCAATGGATGCAAACAGTTAAACACATAAAACTTCCCAAATTAGCAAAGAGAAAAGTGATGTGGGGTGTAGGAATAGCAACATTTATCATTGACAGTGGTTTTGTAGTTTTTCTCAAGGGCAATTTGGAAATACTTAAGTATTTATATGTCTTGATGTAATTTATCCTCAGGAAATATAATCAGAGGTGTGTGAAAGTAAGGAAATCCACCACAGGACTGTTTGTTTACAGCACACGATTCTTTAATAGTTTAAAATAAGTTAAAATCCAACAAGAGGGATATAGTTGAATAAATTGATCCACACTATTCAGTGAGTAAAAATAACATTAAGAATAGGGTTTGAAGAAATATGATGCTATTTTGTGTGAGAAAAAGCATATTCAACTGCAGACATTTCTAAAAAAATGGTTACACACCCATAGGAAAAGAAAAAAGACTAAAGTAATGTTCCAGTGTTAAGTGAGGGTTTTTTTTTTAGTGAGAGAGTGGAAGGGAGGGAGAAGGGGGGGAAGTATTGATGTGGAAGAGAAACATCGATCAGTTGTCTCTAGCACGCCCCAGCTAGAACTGGGCCCACAACCCAGGCATGTGCCCCAATCGGGCATTGAACTGGTGATCTTTCAGTTTGCAGCACACCCAACCAACTGAGCCACGGCAGCCAGGGCTTAACCGCTTATCTGTAAGGTTTAGAATTACAAGTAGTATTCGTGTTGTTTATACATTTCAGCTTTTCTGAAAGAGGGCACATAAATTACCAAAGAATAAGAGTATTTTTAAGATTTGCAGATGACATAGGGTTCTGCCAGACTTGCTAACCCATTTGAACTCAGAGCCCTCTACCCAGGTATGCAGCAGCTGTAATAAATAAGATATGCAATCATTTCCAAAGAAAATCAGTTTATTTGGATTTGGGACTATGAATAGTTCTGTCTCTACTACCTGACCTCCTCCGGCCGCGACTCCTGGACCTAGTGGGGCTGGGGCTCCGGCTCCGGGTCCGACTCCGGCTCCGGCGGCTTCTGCTCTGGCTGCCCCGGCCCCGGCTGCGGTCCCTTTTGCTTTCTCTACTTCGTGAACTGTGCCTTTCGTGACTTTTTGCCGTGTGTTTGTGAGATTTCTTCTCCCTGTGGCTACTTCTCCTTTTCCTCTCAGCTTCCCCATTCCTTTTGTAGGAACGGGATGGACTGGGGCTTCTCCTCCTCCTGGGCCTGCCATAGTACTCATCATGGTGGCCCATCCTCTCTCTCCTCTCTGAGTTCTTGCCAAAGGAAGAGCCGGACCGATCTGGAGACAGGTAGATGTCCCTATTCGCTTCCCAAAATTCATTGTTGGGATTTCTGAACACGTGAAGAAAGTTGCAGTGTTTTCCTCTTGGGCATTGTTGTATTTCAAATAAACCTGCAATGGCACAGTGAGGAAACAGCATTTATGGCTGGTACTTTCTCCTTCTTAGAAAATACATTTCTCATGTTGGATGTGACAGAACTATTTTTCTCCTGTGTATTATTTAAAAGGGGCTGACATAAGTGGATGTCACCGTTTTGGTTCCCAGAATTTCAAATATATTCTAATGCTCTGACAAATGGCACTGTGAAAAGTAACAAATCAGTAGTCTTAGCCGGGATATTCTGCTCGCCTGCTGGAGTACAGTGTGCAGTGCCACGGAACAAGTGGGGCCACAATTCTTTCTAGGGTTTCACCATCCCATTCACTGACAGTGTAAATCCCGAATTAACACTCTAAGAAGATGGTAAACACTGGCTTACTGCTTTTAAATGCACCAAGTGCTTTTAATATGGAAGGTTCTTGTCAAAAGTGAAATCTACCTGAACTCAGAGATCCTCTTGGGGTTGTCAAACTTTCTTTTTAAAAGCGGCAAATTCTCCAAATGTGTAAAACAGTTAAAAGTGAAATACCTCCATACCACACACTATATACAAAAACAAAGTCAGAATGGATCACAGTCCTAAATGTAAGACACGAGACTATAAAACTGTAAAGCAAACACACGAGTAAAATCTTAGTGACATTGGGCTAAGCAATGGGTTGTTAGATATGACAGCAAAAGCACAAGCAAAAACCAGAAAAAAATACATAAATGGGATTTCAGCAACAACAACAAAAAAAACTTTTGTGCTTCAAAGGACACCACGAAAGTGAAATAACGATCCACGTAATGGGAGAAAATATCGACAAGTCATATCTCTGATAAGGGACTTGTCTGTAGAATAAATCGTGAATTCATACTACAACTCAATAATCAAAAGATATATAACCTAATTAAAAATGGGCAAAGGATCTGAATAGACAGCTCTGCAAAGACGATACACAAATGGCCAATAACAAGGACATGAAAAAATGCTCAACATCATGAGTAACTAGGAAAAATAACCAAGCTGTTATTTTGAAGAAAGACAAGTGAAAGAGCCCCCTGCTTTGGGGGAGTCGGTCACACTCAGAAGCACCCCACTGAAATCATACTGGGTTGCCAGGAACTGACGGAAGGAACCGCTTCTAAAAAGAAAACAGTTCTACTTCTTTCAGTCCCCAAGCCTTTCAACTCAAGCTATAAAATTGTTCTTTGGTTTTCCAAAGCAAGGGATTCCCAAATCCTTTTTTCTCTTGAATAAATGGTCTTTAAGTGGCAGCATCCATTAAGACCAGGTTGCCAAAGATTCAGACTTTCTAAATTATAGATTTTTAAATAAGACGTGTTAAGCCGACAAGTGTAAAGCAAAACAAAGGGTCAGAGACGTGCTCCCTTAAGGCATGGACGGCTCCGTGTGTTTGCTGACAGGTAGCTCAGCACTACAATTTGCCTGAGCCCATCCAATACAAATCAAACAAGAACCAGGCTGTCCAAATTGCTGGCTATTTGAAGGAACTGACTCATTTCCTGATTTGGGGCCACTGTCAATGAGTCAGTCTGACAAAATGTACCCTTACCACGTCCTACAGTTAGAATCAACCTATTGCAGAAAAGCATGTCTTTCAAGTAAGACAGGCAAGGTTATAGGTAATGTTTTAGGTGGCAAAGATGACCAAAGAGTCATTAGGGATAAAGAAGGGGAAAACGATGTAACTCAAGTCAGGGGAGCAAATGAATAGCAAAAAGCTCTGCAACTGTGGTAAGGGAAGGTAGCTTCCCATGGACACAACTTCCCAGGCTTCCTAACGTTTCAGACACACAGCCCAGGGCTGAGAATGAGAAGATCCAATTCAGCTCCACCTCTGCCACCAATACACTGTGACTACAATCATCTCACGCATATACAGACCCCAAGGTCTGTCACAGATCTAAAATGTGATGTCCTTTATGTAATGATCGTGGTTCACCTGCAGTGTGAGGTCAAAGCTATGATTCACCCCTTTAAAAGACTGTGTGCTTTTTTTTCCCCACTAAGAATGTCCTTTTATGCAAGTGTAGAACAACTGGGGGAAATCATCACATATTTTACCACAAATTGCCATTTTCCACCGGGTCACTGGGCAGAATTCGCACTGAAGCTGTCGTCCTGCATACCATCGTCCATTGAACAGAGAAAGGGCTGCTTGGCATTCTTCTTCCCTTCAAACCACAAATTAAAGGATGCATTTTATAGTAACATTCTAATATGTATATGAATCCTGTTGTTAATTAACCCTTTTATTAGTTGATTGTAGGATCACCGATCTCACTGCTTTTGTACTACTGGAAGAGTGCTGGTTAGAACCTTCAAGTTCCTGAAGCTCACAATGTATCCAGGAACTCATTTTACTAGCCCTCTGAGAGGTTCTGACGCCTGGAAATTGGCTTGAGTCAAAGCTCCTTAAATCAAAAGGCTGGACCATTAAAAATGCAGAAGCATTTTCCATTGTCACAGCCCATTGTTTCTCAGCTAAGACTGTTGTTCTTCTTATTACAATTGTTACTTTAACCCATTAGCCACAGCACCGCCCAGGCGAAAAGCGAAACAAGCAGACATGATACACTAACTGCACACTAAGTTACTTGGGGCTTCAATTCCCAATTTATACTCTTGATTTACACTTTTCTATTGTCTATTCCAGCTATCCCTTTCAGTTTGCATTTTCATTATTAAAATTATCTGAAGTAAAAAAACTGCAATTATAAAAGATCTAAAACTATGTACTTATACAAAGATTGAAATCCAAATCTATTATTTTCAAATCCCTTCATCTTTCTATACCAGTTCTTACTATCTACATTTTAAAAAATACCATGCATACGAAAGTTATAAATGCAGTGGAAACAACTGCAGACCTCAACATAATCACAACACTGATGACAAAACGTGACACTTATGTTCAGAATACTTACGATTGGTACTGAACATACACATTGCCCCGCAGATGAGGTTCCAAGTTGCAGCTGACCTAAGGAGCAATGAAGAATTCCATCGTTAAACAAAACCCCAAAACACTAAGAAAAAGAAGCCCTTCAGTCACCAAATGCGCTTTGTCCAGGTCAATACTACCAAAAGTAGTTACCAAGTGTCAACTGAAGAATCCAAACTCGAGGTACTGCCCCACTCACACGTCTATTTAAGCTATACTTCAGCACACAGCAGTAATGCAGACCCCAATGATCTTATCTCTGTTCATCCAGATCCTTTTCTTCCCCAGAGATATGAAATGTTTCACATAGGCATAAGAATCCAGAGATCAGAAATCAGCCCATCCACACACCAGCCAGACTTAACACTAACCCCCTTCCTTTTTGACTGAGAATGTTTACATACGTGAAACATGAAAGACCCAGTTGAAGCTCTTCCATCTTATTCTCCCTCCTCCATCAGGTACATGAGCACTGTATCCTGAGGTTGGGTGTATCCTTCACATTCCAAACATAAATACACACCACACACACACACACACACACACACACACACAAAGATCTATAGCCACCCCCTGACACAGATATAAAATACACACACACATAAAACATATACATGTCTACTGTATATATGGATATACACATTTTTATGTGTACATATGCCAAGAAACATGTATATATATTGACAATGTATAGCATTGCTTTGTACATTTTCAAATTTTATATAGACAGTATTTATTCCACATTCTTGTTGCAAGACATAATCCCATAAACTTAAGGACTCATTTTTACCACTGTATACTGGATATATCAAATTATCAAGTTAATATTTCTGCTCCTCTCATGACACATATCCAAGGTGCTTCCAATTTTGCATCAACAAACAGTGCAGCGGCTAGCACCCTGCAGCACGTGTCTGTGGGTGTACAGACCTGTCCAGTGTGCACGCCCACAAGCAGCGTGCGGATTGGTGCGCCTGCGTCTCCACTGGGTACTGGCGAACTCCTGCCCTCTGAAGTGGTTTTACTAATTCGCACATCCTTGCCCTTTCTTGGTATTAAGAGAATTTAAATTTTTTTACCTGATAGGTGTGAAAAATCTCTCATTTCAATATGCACTGTTCCTATTACTAGTTAAGTTGAACATTTGATTATAGCCTTCAATAATGACACATCTGATTTGGTTTTATGTAACGGTAGAAAAAGGCCCTCAAATATTCATAGCATTGTTTAGCTTTTATTTCCAAAAATAAATGTTTAATTTTACAAATTTGTTCCAGCGTATTTGTATTAGAGCATCCAAAAATAGGCCAAATCCATATGGACCAACAAGTTTATACCTTGGGAAGCCACATCACCTGAGCCAGGGACCTTAGAGATCACTCAAGCCAGTGGTTCCCAAGACCTTGTTATTAATTTTCCATGATAAATGTGAGGTTTTGGAAATTTTCCTAAACAAACAACTTTCCATTTATAACTGCCAATGTGGTTGGCATGAGCTTGGCTGACAGAATTCTAAACGAAATAAAAAGAATACACCGTGGTTAGTAGGTGGCCTGTTGCAGCCAATGGTGTGATTTCCACTAATGGGTCTGAAATTTTGCAAGTGGCCCCAGCACTGAGCTTGTGGAACAGTATAATGTCGGGACCTTGCAACGGAAACTGCTGATGTTGCCCAATCCCCTCACTTTGGGGGTGAGGAAAAGTTACAGAGGTCAGGTGACCTGTTGCAGAATGCATACGCAACAGAAAAAGAAGGCAAAAGGGAAAGAAAATGTTTTAAAGAATTTTAAAAACCTTGAAATCGGTAAAAAGAATCATAACCTGAATTTCGCGAGTGTTGCTGGTTAGCAGTTGTTCTGCTCGTGGCTGTTGCAACTGTCATTTCCAATGAGCAGGAAAATCAACAGCTCTATTCCTATCTTTTTCCAAATTATGGGACATTTTCCCTGCCCTAACATAAAAAAATCCTTCTGGATTGGATCTGATCAAATCACAAAGTAGGAGGCTTCACTGTGGGAGGATTCGACTGCTGGGTCCCACGAGCAGTGGGTAGTGCATCTGACTTTACTCTTGCCTTAAGGAATGTGTCAGAATAATTCAGTGCAATCTGGACGCCTCTTTTCCATCCCAAATGCTGTACCAAAATGTAACTCTGGGAATACTATGTTCAGTATTAAAATTATCCAGTGAATAAAAACAACATAAAAAAGGGAATCCAGATCCACGTTCTAGGATAGCTCCAGAAGGAAGAAAGAACGTGCACCTGGGGTGGCACCTTCAACGTAATGCAACAATGTGACAGCAAACTCAGTAAGTGGAGTGGTTCACATTGTGTGCACTGCAGCTGTTGGTGACACCCGCTACAGACAGCCAGAGGGAGGGAAGGAGGGAGGGAGGAGAGAGGGAGGGAGGGAGGGAAGGACAGAGGGCATTGACCATCATAGGTGGCCTCTAACTAACTGAATGCTGGGACGGCTGTCTGTAGGGATCTTCTGCAGAGAATTTACTGGCTGGAAGAGGTAGACCACAAAGATACTAAAGAGATCAAAAGAGCCTTTCCCATCTACTCCTTGGCACCCAGGAACTTTCACGCTTGTACATGTAAGCAGTACCTCTACCTAGAGAAGGAAGTTACATTCACCGAGTGGCTGGGTGGCGGACACTGGGCCAGGCACTGAGCCATCGCACATGCGCCCGCCTAGATGGACAGCCCTTACTCCCCCGTCCCGTCAGGTACTTCAGTAGACAGTGAACCCATCCCCTTCAGGCACACTGCATGCCCACCTTGAACTGGATCACCTTCCCCACGTTCTTGAACTCAGGGAGCACGTCCTCGTAGAAGTCCAGGAACTGCTGGTAGGTCTCCTCTTCGCTGTACTCCAGGCTGGCGTCGGGGTCATAGTCATCCCTTCTGCACTGCTCCATTCCAAACGTTGTGAACATGCTTCTAATGAGGAGCGTGGGACTCGATGTGGGGAAATTGTGTTTACGTGAACACCTGCATAAGAAGCAAAAGTTTACACTCAGCAGCCTAATAGTTACACATTACATATAAAGAGCTTGCTTTACGTTTGGAGATAGAGACCTGGCTGGTGTGGCTCAGTGGACTGAGTGCTGGCCTGTGAACCAAAGGGTCACTGTCAGGGCACATGCCTGGGTTGTGGACCAGGTGCCCAGTAGGGGGTGTGAGAGAGGCAACCACACATCAATGTTTCCCTCTCTCCCCTTCCCTTCCCATCTCTCTAAAAAGAAATATTAAAAAATAAATAAATTTGGAGATAGAGACTCAAGTAACTTGATAGTTTCCACTTAACTGTTAATAAAACCCATTCAGACATGAAATTTCAACACTTACGGAAACTGTTCTAAGACTGACCAATATATGTTATTAAAATGGGAAGTTGGAAATTATTTGTCAAGTTCTTTTGCCATTCAGATACCTTATGTAGGACTTAGGAGGAAGGTGAAAATGACATAATCATGATTCTATACAATCTTCAACTAACCTGATGCTTAGAGAATAGGGTAATCTAAGTTTCCAACTAATGGAGTATTTGAATCTCATACATGTATAGCATTTCATAGTTTTCATGGCATTTTTACATTTTTCCCCCTCTCACCCTTGCAACCTGTTAGGACAGCTGGGCTTGGGGCCAGTATTTGCCCCCACTTTGCAAACAAGGGAGCAGAGGCCCAGAGAAGCACACTTACCCAACTCACACGGGTGGTAGGTAAGACAGGATTCAAGAAATCTGAGTTAACCTACAGTCTCCTATGGCCTGTTCATTATATGGTGTACTAAAAGTAATTAATTTTTATTTCATTGCAGGCTAACCATTATGAAGAATATTTTCATAGTGTCAAATGGACCAAGCCATACCTGGGTAATTTTTTTAAAAAATCTTTTATATGAGTTTATTTTCTTATTTATTCCTTCTCCTAAAATAAAATGAGGTGGGGGGAATGTAGTTCAAGATTCCAAATCATCAAAATTTTCCTGATTAGGTTTCTAGTTTAAAAATTGGTAAAGAAAAAATTTTTAGAAAAAAAAATCCCCAGAACGTAGGAAGAAAAAAAATGTTGAAGAACTAGGCATGTGTTAGAGAAGATAACGGCCCTGAAATGATGAAATGGTTTTAACCTCCTCACTTTTCCTGTCTGTAATATACATCCGTACACCCAGTGAGGTAAGCGCACACAGAATACCCTGCACGTACTGTGCCCAGCTCGGAAATGTGCAATCGGTGTTCACTAATGTGAAATTTTCCTTCGCAGTGAATCAGAATTTTGCAGGTACGAAGCACATGCAGAATTAAATAAGAAACCAAGTTAACAAGGTTAACATTCTGCTCATGGGCTTATTACATCTGAATGAACTTGACTGTAGTTCCCAGAGTGTTAAAAGAACATTTGTAAGTTCTGAAACAGAGCCAAAGTCCCCGTTCAGGGCAAAATCCCCCGGCCTGGAGAGAGGATATACGGTGTGAGTATATTCAAGGCCGACCCTATAGTTCCTACTGATAAGTCAGCTAAGACCAGAGAGAATTGAGAAGGCAGTCTAATCCTGTGGTACGATGCCTGTGTGATTCTAAGAATCACGTGGGGAAAACTGAGATTTCTCAGTTCCTGCCCCAAACCATCTGTTCACACCTCAAAGAATGGGAGGCCCATTTTAACTCCCCACCTGGTCCTGAAGGTCAGCCAAGTTTGAGAACCTCTTGTTTAGGAGACATTATTTACCTATTATTACCCAGATACTCAAATCAAGTAAGACTGGCACAAAATCACCTACTTAAACATTACCTTACCCCCAGGACAGCCAACAAATGGTGTGGGGCTCCAAATGCCCCCCTAGGTAAAGGGAACTGACTGTACCTCCTTTTCTCTTTTTGAGGGAACACATCAGGTACCCCCACCCTTATCCTCAGATATATAGTGCAGTTAGGCTCAATCACTTATTGATGGTCTTTTGTAAGAAATTCTCGTGAAAATTATATATGCAAGGTAAAAAACATTTATTAAAGTTATTGTCCACCTTCTTACTCAGTGTCTTTATAGAGTTATTTCATGGGAGAAATATTTAGAATCTGATACCAGCAAAATCTCTGGCTTTCCAGAGATACTGCTCATTCTTCCTTTTTGATAAGAACTATATAGTTCATCATACTTCTGGGATATATTCAAATCCAGGGCCAAATGTACTGCACATTCATGATCCACTTTCTCCTTCTTTCCTTGATTTGTTTTACTTTAATATACTGCAGGAGACTGTGAGTTTTCTTTAAATCACTTCCGGAAATAGGTAAGGTATAAATGACTACTCTGATAAATAAGTTTTACCTTTCATCAGTAAGTATATTCTTCGAAGAGAAAAAAAAATAACTGCCCTCAAAGCTATGACTCCAAAAGATATATCAACTCCAGAAAGGTTCTAGAATTGAACTCTACTACTGACAAAAACAAAACAACCACAGAAATGCTTAAGCTAGGGACATGTTCATCTGATGATGTCACAGACCGCAACAGAAAAGAACAGTTACGTGATCTGGAGCAGGTCCCAGCAGGTCCCTGCAGCTCCCTGTAAAAGGGGCACAGTGTTTTTGTCTGAAGGGACGGTGCTAGATTTTCTAACTGCTACTTTCATTGAATTTGATTTCACAACACAACACAATGAAAATATCCAAAATCACTCCTACTTTTTTTAAAAAAGATTTTGTTTATTGATCTTTAGAGGGGAAGGGAAGGAGAGAGGGAGAGAAATGTCAAAATGTCAATGTGTGGTTGCCTCTCATACATACACTGCTGGGAACTGGCCCACAACCCAGGCATGTGCCCTGACTGGGAACCAAACTGTAGTCCTTTGGTTCGCGGGCCTGCACTCAATCCACTGAGCTATACTAGCCAGGGCCTACTTTTTTTCTTTTTATTTTTTTACAGTTTTGATGGTGAAATTGCACAGGGCTATCAAAATATTTAGAAATGTTCACAAATTAATTTGACCACTATCAGTATTTCCTTGAAACAACTCTCAGGGGTGACTTTTAAGAGCCTCACAGGCCATTTCCCTTTCCGCAAATCAGCACTGTCAACCGATTTCCTGAAACCATTGAAGGTATCTCCCCTTCCATCTTATGCCCAGCAGGAGAATCCAAAATCAGATGACCACAAGTCTTAAAATTCAAGGAAACATTAGAGATTATATCATCAGTGAGGAACCCCGCAAATGCAATCTCGTTCAACCACCCACACAAATGTGAACTCAGATTGAGTCTCTATTGTCTTTCAAAGGTAATTTCACTATAAGTTTTTTCTTTGGTGGAGAGGTGTTTTACATCAGTCATTACTGATGTAAATTTCCATAAATTTGGAAAACACCTGTAAAAGTACAAAGGAAAATAAAGTTTCATTAGTTTCCACTTCCTCAAGAGGAAGCTTTCACTATTGACCAGATCCTGTAAATGGTTTCACAGACCTTCTGGGAATACAGACCTACTGTAAATTATAAAAGGAGTCCTGGCTGGTGTGGCTCAGTGGACTCAGTGCCAGCTTGTGAACCAAAGTCAGGGCACATGCCTGGGATGTGGGCTGGCTCCCCAGTAGGGGGCACTGGAGAGGCAGCCACACACTGATGTAAAATATAAAAGGAGTTACACACCCTACACTGGGGACTGTCAATCCTGGGGTACATTAGAAATACCTGAGGGCATTTCAACTAAGGCTGCCCAAGTCTTAGAGACTCTGATTTACTCAATTTGAGGTAGGACAGATTTTTTTTAAAGCTTTCTAGATGATTCTAATGCACATCTAAGGTTGAGGACCGCTGTTCTTAAAAAATATAAAATAGTATTAAGGTTTAAATTTTAAAAGAAGAAAAAGGATAGAGAAGGTTCATGTTTTCAAAGAAGCAAATGAACTTACAGCATGGATAATTGTATGAATAAGATAAACATGAGAGACAACATACAATTTTCCTGAATACATCTTAAATTGCCTATTCATACCCCTTTTTGGAATTAAAAGGACACTAAGATGTGATTAGATCTTTTCTTTTGCAGAACGCATACTAATAATTAGGTTTTGCCTCGGATGGATTCATTCGCCATTGAGAATTATTTACCTAATTTGAGTTATTCATTCATAAACAGGCCATATTATAAAAATCGCCATTGCCTGGCACATAGTTGGTACAAATAAATATTTGCTAAATGAATGAGGACCTCAACACTTAGTTTTGCACATGAACGTCTTGTGGAAACAGTGATGCAACAGAAGCAGGGAATGAGAGTGTCTCAGAGAGTAAGGGCAATGAAAACAAAAACCACCCTGTTCTACCATTCACTCATTTCAGCCACACAACCCCTTATAACCCCTGGGGACTATTTTTAATCCCCATCTTGAAGATGAGGGAATGAAGGCACAGGGTGCTTAAGTAACTTTTCCGAAGTGACAGCCACTAAAGCCAGTTTTTGAACCTGGCGTCTGTTCCTGAGTCAGAGCTGACTGAGAATAAATTAGAATACTTTTCCTCCCCTCACTTGCATCCTGTCTTTCACAGCTACCCCTTTAGGCATGCCAATTTTGTAAAGCCCCTTTTGTGCACAGTGTTTGCCATTCAGAAAAATAAAGCCAGGCCGCTCCGGTCCCTTGGAATAGTTGGTTTCCCTATCCAAGTTGTCCCATGTGAACTAATGCAAGCACAGGGAGAAAACAAAAAGCAAAAGGTCTTCATAAAGCTGTGGAAAGAATGCAAAGGACGCCCTCCGTCTCCCTGAAACCGGCTCTGGGTGAGCGGTGCAGGGGGAGCAGAGGACAGAAAGACTGGGATGTGGAGAAGCAGCAAGAACACAGCAGATGCCTGACTCTGAACACCTCAAGTTCAATCCTAGTTAACCCCCAAAACAGAACTCAAATGCCTCAACATTCTGATGCACTTAATTCTGCCATGATAAAACAAATGAGTTACCTGTCTCCGAATCTGCAAGCTCCCGTTTTACTGTAGAATGGACAGTTAGCTCGGTCTTTCTCCATTATTCTTAAGTCCGTGGGTGGTTCTGGGTTTTGCCATGTGGCAGCATTTTCCAACTGTTGAAAATAACCATGACTTTACTGGTGGTTTAAAAATCCGTAAAGAATTAAATGTTTCAAATATTTTGGTCCAAAGTAAAACTGATTCTTTCAACAACATACACACTTAAGTTGTACCATGCAATTGAGACTTTACAAACAACTGTGCTGAGACACTCAGCTCCCAGTCATTGCCCATCATCAGGTATCAGTATGGCAACCAAGAGCAGTCACCAAGATTTCCCTTTGTACATCCACTCAGAAAAGGGTTGAAAGACTTGATAGAGAAGCACCACTGAGAGAAATCAAGGTTACTCTGAAGCAGGTTAGATAGATCATCGTGGACTAAGAGTGTGTGCTGTTGCTCATCTGTACATTAAGGACTAGAAACAAGTACAGCCCATAGCGGCGATTGGATACCACTTACTTTTGTTCATTGATAAGTTTTGTGGCTCTTGTTGCATAAGCCACAGAGCCACAAAAGTGACCCCAGGTATTTCAGACATGATCTAAACAGTCAACTGCAAAATTAACATTGCAGGAAGTATTATTTTTAAAGAAATGCTCATCAGTCTCAAATGCTTAATGGAAGGTTGTGGAAATACCTCATTTTCAGCCCGCTCCAGCATCTTCTGCACAGCCTCCTACAAATGGTGTAAACATAAGACTTATGAAAATCTGGAAGTCAGGTAAGTCACATCTGGTTCCTCTGGTTAAGAATCTCATGTGTAACAATTTTTAACAACCCACACATACAAAAAGCTTCAATTTTTCATTTGCTTTCTAAAGCACACACCTTCTGAAAAGATTTCAAAGGATATACATTTCAGTTTTTATTCTAATAGGACATGTAATGGTTCAAAATGCAAAATATTGAAAATATCATCTTATAATAGTAACAATCATATTTAGTATATTTGAGCATATATATCAGGTTCTAGTTTTTGAGATGAGGTATTATGAATATTATAAAACACAATGCTGTGCCCTCAGTGGATCGAACACTGTGCTGCAAAGCAAAAGGTTGCCAGTTTGATTCCCACTTAGGGCACATGCCTGAGTTGAGGGCCAGGTCCCAACTGGGGGTGTGCAAGGGGCAACCAATCGGTGTTTCTCTTGCCCATCGATATTTCTCTCCCTCTCTTTCTACCTCCCTTCCTGTCTCTCAGAAAATACATATAATATTTCTAAAAAAAATAAATAAAACACAATGTTAGTGGAAACACCATAAAAATTTAACAGAGGCTAAAATATCACAGGAGCAGTTAGTAATAAGGATCATGGAAAATCTCAAACTTTTCAATAAGGCAGAGGAAGTCCTGCCATCAGCCAGTAGATGAGATCTCACTGGCATTTAAACAAGTTTTGAAATTATGGTCAAAAGACTTCTCTTCCCTAGCCCCTTAAAGTATTACATAAAGGACTCATCTGTCTAGCTGCTTACTTCATAACTCTATCTGGCCATGTAGGGGTCCTCAGTAACTTAAATGCTCAAATGAAAACTCTACTTCCTTCCCTATTCCTTACCCTTCTAAATGCTCCATTTCAATTCAATCTAAAAACCTACGAGTGTATACTTGAATTCCCTTCTCTTTCTTTCCCCTCCCTGTACATTCAGTTTGCCAGCTAGAGTCCCGTTAACTCTGCCTCGATACGCCCCAGATCTGTGTACTTCTCTATATGAAGCACTACTCTCATCCAAACAGCTGCCACGTCCTATCTGGAAGAGCTGCCTTCTAAATGGTCACCTATTTCCTTTCTTGCCTCCTTCATCATCACTCCCAACCCTCCACCCAACCCCCCTTCTTCATAAAAAAAGCCAGAATGATCTGTTAAAGGTAAAGATATAAATTACATGAAGTCGCTCCTGCTTAAAAACACTTCAATGGCTTCCTATTACCTTTAACATAGAGAATCCACATTCCTCCTTCCAGTCCAGGAGGCCTTACATGATCTGGCCCTGCCTTCCTTCCTGACATCTTCCCCTGCCACTCTCTTCTTTGGTCTCTAGGATTAAGGCACCATGACCTTCTTTCAGACTCATGGTCAGGCCTCTTCCCCCTGCCTAGACCCATTTTTCTCCCCAAGATCTCTGCACTCAGAGATCAGCTCCTCAGAGAAGTCTTCCTTGACCAGGCAATGTAAAGAAGTACCTCTGTACCCCAGTTACTCTATCACATGACTCTGCTTTATTTCTTTATAGCACTTAACATGCGTGGTCTTATAGCACTTAAATGAGATTTGTTTGCTTACTTATCATCTGCTTTTTCCTGTAGAAAACTAACTCCATAAGAGCAGAAACTGTATTTTTTGATGATTTATGTTTCACTCACCAGAGAATTATCTAGCACATAGTAGGAAAACAGGTTGGATATCCCTTTATACATGCTTGGAATCTGCTTCGTTTTATCTGCTTCTCCTTAATGTCTCATCAGACTTCCTTTGAAAAAAAAGCCTTAGTTTTTTTTAAAAGAAGCTTTAGCTTTTTTTAAAAAAAGATTTTATTTATTTTTAGAGAGTGGAAGGGAGGGAGAAAGAGGAAAAGAAACACCAATGTGTGGTTACCTGATGCGTCCCTAACTGGGGACCCGGCCCACAACCCAGGTATGTGCCCTCACTGGGAATCAAACTGGTGACCCTTTGGTTCACAGGCCAGCGCTCAATCCACTGAGTCACATCAGTCAGGGCAGAAGCCTTAGCTTTTATCTAATACCAGAAAGACCTCAATTGAAGAACATTCTGTTGCTAAAATGAGAATTAACTACTCTCTATTAAAAAATGACAAGCTCCAAACAACTGCCGTGCCCCTACAAACCTAGCGTAGTCTTGCCTTGTATGGAAAGCAGTGCTCAAATAAGGGTGTTTAAAAACTTGCACTAGAATTAACTGATAGTCTAAGACACAAGAAACAAATGTCATAGAGGCTGCATCTACCCTGTCATGACCAAGAGGTAAATAAATGCATTTTTCCCAATGATAAAATGATTAGCTACCCAATTTCATGCTATTCAAACTCAGCAATATAAAGAAAAGATACATCCTGACAAATGAGTCAAGGAAAGATGAGCTGTGATATCTTTGAAATAAATACACTGTTAAAGAACAGCAACAAAATATACCAAATCAGTCTTTCAAAAGAATCCTGAAGATACAGGAGATACGTACATACAACCTTACAGATTTTTTTTAAATGAGCAACTATGTGTTAGCTACCATTGTGGTATAGCCCAAGTTGGAAAGGAAGTCAAGATTTAATAACCCAAAACTTTCCTAATTTCTCAATATGAGAGTTCCTGATTTCTTTCAATCACCCAATTCTTGCTGACATGCCATAAGGAGTTAACTCTCATAAATTAAATAAATGTGCAAACTATACAAAATATTATTCTCTAAGTCAACCCACAGACAACAGAACCTCAGAAAACCACCACTTGCTCTAGAGCGGTACACAGTGCAAAGCAGAGGCCAGCTGTCTGTTTTTGTAAATAAAACAATACAGTTTTATTGGAACACAGCCACAACCATTCATTTACAGATCATCTATCACACTGGCAGAGCTGAGTGTTTGCGACAGAGGCCGTACAGACCATAAAGCCTAAAATGTTTACGCTCTGGCCCTTTACAGGAACAGTTTGCCAATCCTTGGCATAAAGGGTAAGATGAGGAAAGCTGAAGAAAAGCCTTAATTTAAGGTCCACCACCACACAGGTAAAAACAAGAGCACCAAAAGGACACTCTAGTACATACTTGACTAAAAACTTGACTCTTTCTAGACAGAAACAACAACAACAACAAAAAAACCATCCCACGGCCCGCTATGCCTAAAGCTTATTCTCCAGCCCCATCACTTGCCCCGTCTGCTCACTAAGAGGATGTGCAGTGCGTTTATCCTCCTGTGACAGGAATCACCTCTCTTTCTCTCTTCTCTTGCAGCTTCTGCGCCTCCTCTTCTTTCTCTCTTCTTTGCTGTTCTTCCCATTCTTCCTTTAACTTTCTCTTCACGGGGCGGGAGGGAGGGGAGGAAGGAAAAGCAATATTTTTTCAGACTCGTGTTTTAAAACATTTAACATACAGGGTAAATAAATGAAAAACTTTAACGGCATTGGTCAAATGGACGATACCCATTTTTTCAAGTTCAAGATACCTAACTCTGAGTGAGTTTGGGTGAACTAGTTAGTCCCCTGGCTACCTGATTAATACCGTACCTCCTGTTCTTCCTGCCGTTTTCTAGCTGCCTCTTCCTTTTCCTTCTTGATTCTGAATTCTTCTTGTGCCTTCTGCTCCCGTAGCAACCACTCCTCGTGTAACTTTTGCCTATGAATGTGACAATGTATTCAAAGAGAAGAAATGGGCATTAATCTACAAATACACACACACACATAATAGTAAAATTGACATGTCTGGGAATGATTCAACTATCATGAAAGACATATTCTAGAAAGCAGTTAAGTGGGAGTAAGAGGGTCAGAGAACATGAGTAATAGTCTTAGAAAAGTACTACGTTTCAGCTTAAAATCACCACTTCTACGTTTTGTGTCTGTGACATCTTTTACACACAACAGTGACATGACAATTTTCCCCATAGGTTGACCATAGTGATGTTTAGGTGCCAATAAAGTGAGTAATGAGGTTCAAAGCCACATCGGCTTTTCGCATTCAGAAACAATTACCCTTCCTATTCTGTATGTTTTAAAAGTGTTCAATACAAGATTGCAGCACTAGGAAAAACTGGCATCTTCAGCCATAAACTCTTGCACTGCTTTTTATACACTTAAGAGACTCCTGTGGTTTGCCTTGAGCACTGAAACTGCTGAAAGAAAAATGAAACCACATCACGATCTTGTCTTTCAACTAAAGAAAGCTATAGGTTTTAAGATGACAAGCAGTTATAACAATACATCAGCCGGTGCCTAGTTTAAATGACCAATTACAGAGTAATGTTCTCTTAAAATGGTGTCTTGTACCTCTAATATCACAAGTTTCTAATTTAAAGATGGGTTACATTTCAAAAATGTACAACCAAAACATGTTTAGAGACTAGACTGCATTTTCTCACTGAACCTGGAAATGGAAATGAAGTATAAGAAATTGTTCTGTATCTCTTTAGCGACATTACGAGCCAAATAAGGTTTTATGTTGAGCGTGAGGACCTAACCACAATTTCAAATACTCTACAGGCAAAACATATTCCATTTCCAACTGCAGATTCTAGGAACATGTCTTTTAACCATGGTAGAGAATGGCGTATCGCAAATATCAAAACTTACACATGAATTTCTGACTAGCAGAGAGTCAGTGCCCCTAACCCTCACAGTGTTCAAGGGTCAGTTGTGTAACTATAATCTAGGAAAATCTATAATAATAAGAACCAGAGTTATCACAGCACCTCCTATCTGCTAACAGTATGCTAAGCACTATGCACTTACCATCTCATCTAATTGCCCTAAACCTATGAGGTAGGTATGATGATTGACTGACTCATTTCCATATTTAAGGCAAGAAAATTAAAGCTTAGAGAGATTAAGCAACTTGAACACAGCTAGTAAGTAGCAGGGCCGGCACTGGAATCCACTTCCATGTGCCCAATCACTATCACATTTTTTTCTTTTTGGCATTTTGATCATTTCACTTACTTATGTGCTTGGGTAGATAAATTAATTATAAGAAGCAACATTCCCAGTGAACACACTGAATAGCTAGAGAGTATCTATAAAGTTTTTTCTCCTTTAAAAAAATTTTGTCTTTTATTGTGGCAAAATATACATACCATAAAATTGATCATTTTAACCACTTTTAAGTATACGAGTGAGTAGCATTAAGCACATTCCCATCACTGTGTTTAAGTTAAAAAAAATAAAAATAATGAGAGAAAAAACAAAATATTTTGTTATCTTGGGATGGGGGAGGCCTTTATAAGTCAGATACCAAGGCCAGATACCATGATGAAAGTTGATGACATTAAAATCAAATTATGGTACTTAATGCTGTAAGCCAAGTTAGGAGTGAGGGCAAATGAGAAAAAATACACATCACACATATGACAGATAAAGAATTAATATCCTTAATCAAGTAACAACATTGTTACGAACAAACTTTAAAAAAATCCCAAAAGAGAATGATGCAAGACTGAAGCAATCTACAAATAGGTAAGAAAATAAATAAAGAGATATTCGACTCTGCTAATTGAGAAATGTACATTGGAAACTTCTGACTATAGGAGTTTATAAAATTGATAATACCTAGTGTGAGTGAAGGTATAGGGAGATGGGCACTTTGATTCACTGTTGGAAGGGCTGCAGACTGCAAACTGGGATGCCCTTCCTACCTGCCCATCTACACTGTATGTGTATTTATCCTTTGATCCCAACCATTTCACTTCCGGACATTTTCCTAAGGAAATAATAGAACAATTACCAAGGACAGACAATCATGGATGGTCATTGCAACTTTGTACACGAGAGTAACAAAGTAACATTGCTACTCTCGTAACATTGTAACATTGTTACGATGTCAATTAGTAACGTTGTGTTACTTAGTAGTAAATAACCTAAATGTCCATTGGTAAACTATAAATTAGGAATAGAGAATAAATTATGCTATATCTACACAATGGATACTATGTTGCCAATGAAATGCTCGAATTAAATCTGCATCAACACTGAAAGAAATGGCCCACATATTTAGCAAAAAAGCAATTCATCAAAAGATACACATGTCATCCTATTATATTAATAAAGAAGTACAGTACATCTACACTTTCTTTCTAACATTCTTAACAGTGACTATCTGAGTGTGTTGAATTCATTAAAGGTCTTTCACTTTTTACACTTCTTAATTATTTGGATTTTTTGAAAAGGTTTTATTTATTTATTCTTAGAGAAGGGAAGGGACGGAGAGAAAAATCAATGTGTGGTTGCTTCTCACATGCTCCCTACTGAGGAGCTGGCCTGGAACCCAGGCATGTGCCCTGGCTGGGAATTGAACTGGCGACCCTTTGGTTTGCAGGTTGGCACTCAATCCACTGAGCCACACCAGCCAGGGCTATTTCGATTTTTATTAGTAAAAATCAGTGAAAACTATTTCCATTAAAAGCAAAAGACAACATCTAGTTTTAGCCTGTCAGCTAGAGACTGAAATAGTTTATCCAGGGTATTTTATAAGACCTACTTTGAACAAGGTCTTACACAGAAGACCCATACTTATTAGTAGAGACATAATACTCAGATAAAAAAACAGGCTTCACGAGAAGGGTTTCAGTCAGTGCTGACCTCTGTATCTCCAACAGATTCTCTTCTTCTTGTTGTTGTTGCTCAATAATAGCTTCCTTCTCTTCTTCCTCCTTCTTCTGTGAGAGACCTGAGGGAATTGAAATGATTTATTAAATGAAGTACTACAAAACCTTAGTCAATAATTCAGGAAAATATCTAGGTACACTTAGGGTATGGTCCTGTCTTTAAAACTTTCGAATAAGGCTCCAACTGCCCAAATTTGGTACAATGTGAGCATTGACGATGACAATATTGGTAGTTGATAACACATGTAAACTAGATATGGAATCCCACCAGTTTTACAACTTACTGACAAGACAGCCCATTTCAGGTTATTTTAAGTAGACTAGGATGCTAAAGAGGCTAACCTGTAATTGACAGGTTGACATTCCAGAAGTTTCTACCAATTATTTGTCAATTCATTCTTATAGCCATTCTTTAGAATATCTGTTATTGCACCCTTCGAGGTAATGTTTACCCACCCAATATATGCTGCAATGAACAGCAGTGTTTAGTAGGCTATAGTATTCATGAATAACAATTTAGCAAAGAATTGTGAAGCTGGAGTGGACAAAAGTAGGAGCAGTAATCCAGAGACAAGTACTTAAATCTTAGATCCACAATTAGCCATATAATTCTGAACAAACCTGTGACTTGCATCCTTCAACTGACTAAACTGCCAAAGGACATGATACATCTGCCTCTCCACAAAGGTTCACTCCGAACACACTTCGCAAAGTCAAAGGGGAAAAAAAAAATCAATGCAATACAAACAGTTACGGGATTTAAAATGGAAAGACAAAAGTATGAGTTTTTTAAAAAAAGTATTAGGAGAAAACAGGTTGATGAACAAAGGTAGCTGAGAACTTTAAGAGGGTGAGGGACTCACTATGAGAATCATTAACTCCAACCTACCCAGTTTTTCTTTTTATCCCTGATGATGTCTCCTGCCTCTACTGGACCACTTTTGAATGCATAAAAAAGAAGGAGATGCTAACAAAGGCTGCAGTTAAAAACATTGCTCTTTCCATTCTAAATACTGCAAGCATTGCCACTAAAATAATTACTAAGCAACTCCACTGGTATATAAAACCTTTATGGCTATGTTTCTCAAGGCCTGAGAATCCCAGTTACTTGAGGCCATGATCTGTGGTCTTCAAGAATTGTCAGGAAAACTGAATAAGGATTTCCTGGATAATCGGGATGGCAATCACTATAACCCAGCATTCCAGGGTAATTTCAATGCTTCTGCCCGCATTTATAACTACAATATAATTTTATAGCTAAGTTAGTAGTACTGATTTCATTCTATTAAACAGGCAGGCTTAATATATAAATATTAGATTGTGCCATGTGAAGGATAGGTGATCCCATGGCCAGTACAGATGAATGTTCCAAAGTAGTTGAACAGAAAATTTAAAAAGTTGTAAATAACCCCAGGGCAATGGTAATAGTAGCAGTATTTCAAACTCCAATCAGCACCGTATTCATGCTGTGAGCATCTGTCTCCCATCATTTGTAACACTGAGTAGTTATTGGAGGTCTGACTTTTACTGAATATGTAATTTCACTTATTTTTGTAATTTGTAAATACATTGTTTTACAGTTAAATTTCATAACTAGTTTTATGCTTATATACTTCAATAATAACTTGAGTCTACAAAGGGTTTCATATTACTCAAGTTCGGGGAAACTTGCAAAATATCTAAAATCCTCAACTGCTGCTGGTTTTGCAAAGAAAAGTGTCCACCGAATACTTACTATGTGCAAGGGCTGTACTAGCTGCTGTAATTCATGATGCCTGCACCTGTAATATTAGATACTTTATAAATAGTTACATATAATCAGTGGGTGATGATTCACGATGCCTTTTTCCCCCTCTTTAGTATTGTAACATTGTTCCCGACAAGTGTCTAGCACCACTTTACTTCGGAGACAGTAGCCACTGCCACTCTTATCAGATACAGCACTTGGCATACTTCTGACACTAGGCCAAGCTAGGATAGGAGTGGGGAGAGCAACTTCATACACAGGAAACAGGATAAGGAGTCCGTTACCTGAGTCTCTCAATCGGGCAAGTTCCTGACGTCGTTTCTTTCGTTTCTCCTTCTTCAGGGCCGCCCTGTATTTTTTGTGGCTGGAAAAAGGAGACAAGTACACTCCAGCGTAAGTGACAGCGCCTGCAGCGTCCCCTCTCATCAGTGTCAGTGCACAGTGACAGGAAAGCGCTCGGGTGCCCGGGACTGAAACCGTGCTTTCGTGTTTTGATTACAAAACACGCATTTACCATCCCTCGCCCTTCCAAGCCCGAACGGCAGGTCTCGATCCGGCCACCTGTTCCCCTCCTCGACTCCCCGAGCCCATTGACGTTCAGGACAGTTCGCACCGCGCCCCGGGAGGGGATGGAGCTGCCGCGGCGGCTCGCTTGGGTGGCCTGGCTCCCTTTAACTTCCTGCTTTCACAGCCTCCACATTCAGGATCAACCTGCTCAGTCCCCTCTTCTGGCCTGCCCACCACCCTCACCTCGATTTACCTTGGTTTCTCCGGAAGTATCAACGCTTCGGGCGCCGCCATCTTGCCAGCGCTGCCACGCCCACAAGAGCTGCCGGAAAAGGCGGGCTTAAGAGAGAGAGGGAGTGACAGACAGAGTGACAGAAGAGGAACAGAGAGAAGGTGGCAGGGACGGATAGAGAGCGAGCCAGCGAGGGTGCAGCCGCGCGCAGGCGCAGGTCCGCGTGGTCGCTCCTAGGCCGAGCGAGAGTACCTCTCCCTAGGCAGACCCAAGACTCACAGCGAGAGATTTCCGTGAGTGACTCGTCCTCTGAGATCCTGCACAGATAAATGTCTCCGCAACAGTTTCTACCCCTCCCTGGAGGTATTTTTTTCCCTCCTAGCGCTTCCCCAGTACCTTAACCCCAGCCTCTCCCTACACCAAAGTGGAACGTCCCGTAGCCTGGAGGTTAAAGTCACACTCCTCCCTCTTTGCTCCTCACCCATTAATGACACCTCCCTCCACCTATAGCAGCTTGCCTTGCTTCGGCGTCCTACTCCCCCCCCCCGCCCCCCCCCGCTCTTCCTCCTGCCAAGATTCCACTTATCAGCGCCTCAGACAAAGCCCCAGACTCACCCCCTTCCATTCACACCAACGGGTTCTTTGGATGAACTTAACTCCTTGGCCTGGCTTTGTTACTCTCTGCCCCAAATCAAAATTACTGAGCTACCCAATTACTAAACTGCCCCTGCGTCCCCTAGTACCTCCTAGGAATCATTCAACAGGAGCCCAAACTCTGCCTAAAGCCTGGCCTTACACCCTCTTACAGAACCACTTGGAGTAACACACCTGCAAACTGATTTTGTTCAGCTCAGTGCATCAGTAACTAGAGACTTAAGGCTTTGGACTTGAATGGACTAGGAAACTCAAGCCTTGGCTCTCCGATCTTGAATAAATTCCTCAATATCTAATCCCGTTTTCTCTTCTGTAAAAATCAAGGTAGTAATAATACTTCCAAAGGTATGCTGTGTGTTGGCATAGTGCCTGGCTATAGTTACTGTCCCTGACACATTCGTTGTTATATCATCATCAGAACTTCCAGCATAGGTATTTCACCTTTCATAACACTTATCACACACACTATATTGCACTTTGTTGCTTTCAAAAGTCTGCTTCTTGCACTAAATCCCTTAAAGATAGAGACTTCAAAGTTATATTCCCAAACTAGAGAATGCCCTGAGTGGCACAGAATGTAGGCTGTGCAAATCACCAATTTTGCTATTTCCTGTGCCCAGGACTTAGGTTGAGAATCACTGCCATTCTGAAAACATCTGTAACACTTCTTATAAACTGCACCAAACTTGCAGGTAATAACAATAAGAAAGAATGTCTTCCAGGAAGGTACTCCTAATTGAAAAAGCCAATTCCATTTCCAAACTATAGTTATCATCATCTGAATTGCTAGATCATGAGATAAAAGTAATGTAAAAATTTAATGCAAAGAAGCATTCCGCTACGATAGTCCAATAAATAGAACAAGGTGATCTTATAGCATATATTTCCTATTTTTCCTTGGTGCTTGAAATACATATACTTATTCTCATGTGTATATTTCAGTTTATGCCCCTTCTATGCGAAAATGCCTAAATTTTTACCTTATATTGTCAGTATAAAATAGCTATTATCTTAAAAAGCAAATATTTTACTCATATAAATAATGTAGTAGATGATGCTACTACTAAATAGTCTTACTTATTATAAAGTGACCAAAGAATAATCCATAAATGTATTTTTGTTTACTGTAAGCATAACAGGATAGCAATAAAAAAAATGTCTACTTTCTGAATGCCAGGCTCGGGCTCTTTCAATTAGATTTCTTGCTCTAGTAGGACAATGGTTATAGGATTCACTCAATGGTCAATGCAGAAATCCTCAGGAAAGAAAATTTCATTCCTGCCCTGGCTGGTGTGGCTCAGTGGATTGAGTGCCAGCCTAAGAACTGAAAGGTTGCTGGTTCAATTCCCAGTCAGGGCACCTGCCTGGATTGGGGGGATGTGAGAGGCAATTGATTCAATCACAGTGATATTTCTCTCTCTCTCTCTTTCTCCCTCCTTCCCCCTTTCTCTGGAAATAAATAAATAAAATTTCATTCCTTATCTATGATTAATTTCAGTATTATATTTATTCAAAGGCATGTAATGGAGCCTTAAGTCTCTCCAACCCTCATTGCTGTGCCAGGGGCCTTACGTATTTTTCCAGATTATGTTATAACTTAAAAATAGCAAGATAAAAGTACTTATGAATGCATATTAATATGAAAAATGTTGATTTGTAAAAACTGATGACAAGTTTTCTTTGGAGGAAAAAACTATCCAGTGACACTTCTTATTACTTGATTCTTTTGTGTACTGGTAAGTTCAAAGCAACACAACTGCTGTCAGTTTGAGAGTGAGTGCTGGCAGAGCTGATAACGCCCACCAGGAACCCAAACCAAATCACTCCATTTCTGAAGACTGGTTGCATTTAAAAAACAGGAATAAAAGTGCACCTATACTGACAACATCTTAGTCAGTTCTGGCTGCCATAACAATATACCGAAGACGGGTGGTTTGTAAATAACCACAATTTATTTCTCACTGTTCTAGCTGGGAAGCCTGAGATCAAGTTGCCAACAGATACGGTGCCTGCTAAGTGCCTCCTTACTGATTCATAGACGGCTATCTTCTTGCTCTGTCCTTACATCATGCAAGGAGTGAGAAAGCTCTTTGGGGTCTCCTTTAACCGGGCATTAACCTCGTCATAAGGTCTCCACCCTCATGATCTAATTACCCCCCAAATGCTCTAAATCCTATAATCTAATACCATTATCACCTTAGGGGAGGTGGTGCACAAACACTAAGTCCATAAATACAAGAGTGCATTACTATTTATCTGTAACATAGCTGGTATGTTTATATGTACTAATTATATGATAAAATGAGAGCATATTCACTTAAGAACTATGTTCATTTTGGTCAATAAGATCTCACATGAAAAAACTTAACCAACAGGCCCTGGCCTGGTGTACCTCAGTGGATCGAGCACAGGCCTGTGAACCAGAGGATCACGGTTCCATTCCCAGTCAGGGCACATGCCTGGGTTGCAGGCCAGTTCCCAGCAGGGGACGCACGAGAGGCAACCATACATTGATGTTTCTCTCCCTCTCTCCTTCCCCTCTAAAGATAAATAGATAAATAAAATCTTAAAAAAAAACTTAGCCAACAAAGTTGAATTAAAAGGAGTAAAACAGTAAGTACAATAGGTATCAAGTAAATAATGTTGATTTTTCCAGTGACACAGGAAAATACCTAAAGTGATTATAATACTGTATTTTTCCTGGTATCGTGCCAAAGAATGCGTCTCCCAGAAAGACAGCTTCCTAAACTTTTTTTCAGGTGGATGCCTGGTTTTACAATAGCCAACATTACTCTGGACCAGGTAGCCCTGGGAAAGGAGAAATGAGCTGGCGGCTTGCCCTCCTGGTATATCAGCAGACCGAGCCCTGGCTTCACAGAACAAGGTAAGCTGAGGAGGAGCAGGTGGCTATTTCCTTTCCTGCTTCTCTAGTGAATTCCTAATGAGTTTTGTAGTCACTTTCTGATCTACATGTTAAAGGATGTCTCACTAATTTTGCAGATATCTTCCATACTCAAAACAAATAATAGTAAGAAAAAGTCATTAAATAAATATGAATATGATAAGGGGATTGTTTTAATTCATCTAGTATTATTCAATAAAGATGAGCAGCAATTTAAATACGAAATTCTTTCTCAAGCTCTTTGACCGATCTCAAGCCCATTTTCCCCCTCCAGGTCTAGGAAGGTATAAGTAAAACACTTTTGGAGGCATAAAACACATAAAAAGTTTCCTGCTAGGGTGTATTAGTAGCCAGGAAATCTATATTATCTCTTTGGGGGGCAGATGACATGAAACCACACACCCCCAAGGAAGTTTCCATATTCTCTGCAGGGAAGGTGACCAAGAATTTATCATGCAAACCAGGACATGGTTGAGAGTGCAAGAGGGTGCTATTAATAATTACACCAGAATATGAGGTGTAAGTAAATCAGAAGTGGCAAACTGAGAAACACCCTATAAATACAGGTGGGACAAAAGTAGTTTTACAGTTGTGAGTCCATAAAATACAGAGTTTATTCTTGTATTATTATTTATTTATTATTGTATTATTTTTCCTGTGAACAATTGTAAACCTACTTTTGCCCCATCCCGAACAGCTAACCTTTCAACAATGCAGGGGTTGGGGCACCGACATCCTGCACAGTCAAAAATCTGTGTGTAACTTTTGGCTCCCCCAAAACTTAACTACTAATAGCCTACTGTTGACTGGAAGCCTTGATTATATAAACACTTGATTAATGCATATTTTGTATATTATATATGTATTCTTACTATAACGTAAGCTAGAGAAAATAAAATATTAAGAAAATCATAAAGAAGGTGGATAAAAGACTTAAATGTAAGTTGCAACACTATAAAAGTCCTAGAGGAGAACATAGGGAGGAAAATCTCAGATATTCCACACAGCAATATTTTCACTGATATGTCCCCTAGAGCAAGGGACATAAAGGAAAGAATAAACACATGGGATCTCATCAAAATAAAAAGCTTCTGCATGGGTAAAGAAAACAGCATTAAAATGAAAAGAGAACCAACCATATGGGAAAACATATTTGGCATTGATACCTCAGACAAGGGTTTAATCTCCAAAATATACAAAGAACTTACACAACTCCACTCCAGGACAAACAACCCAATTAAAAAATGGGCAAAGGACCTGAACAGACACTTCTCCAAGGAGGACATACAGAGGGCCCAGAAACATATGAAAAGATGCTCAGCATCACTAACCATCAGAAAGATGCAAATTCAAACCACAATCAGATACCACTTCACACTAGTCAGAATGGCCATCATAAACAAACCAACAAACAACAAGTGTTGGGGAGGTTGTGAAGAAAAGGGCACCCTAGTGCACTGTTGGTGGGAATGCAGACTGGTGCAGCCACTGTGGAAAACAGAATGTAATTTCCTCAGAAAAACTAAAAATGAAACTGCCTTTCGGCCCAGCAATTCCACTGCTGGGACTATACCCTAGGAACCCTGAAACACCAATCCAAAACAACCTATGCACCCCAATGTTCCTACCAGCACAATTTACAATAGCCAAGTGCTGGAAGCAACCTAAGCACCCATTGGTAAATGAATGGATCAAAAAACTATGGTCCATTTTCTTGATGGAATGCTATGCAACAGAAACAAAGGAGCTCTTATCCTTTTGTGACAGCATGGATGGATCCGGAGACCATTATGCTGAGTGAAATAAGCCAAGTGGTGAAAGACAAATAGCATATAATCTTACCTATAAGTGGAACCTAATCAACAACAAAAAAATCAAGCAAGCAAAATATAACCAGAGACATTGAAATTAAAAACAAAATGACTGTAACCACTGGGGAGGTGCGAGGGAATAACGGGAAAAGGGACAAGGGATTTCAGGAGCATTGTATAAAGGACACATGGACAAAACCAAAGGAGGGTAGGATCAAGGGTGGGAGGTGGGGATGGCTGGGGTGGGGAGGAGTGGTGGGGGGAATGGAGACAACTGTACTTGAACAACAATAAAAATGTGAAAAAAATAAAAAGAAAATCATAAGAGAAAACATATTTACAGTGCTGTAAGTATTTATTTTTTTAAAAAATCATGTATAAGTGGACCCACACATTTCAAACCATGTTGCTCAAGGATCAGCTGTACACCCTTTGTATCTCTAACATATAAGGGTAAGTTAGGTGTTCTGTCAATTGCTTCTCATTGCATTTTGGAAACTCACTGCAATAGAATTTTGTATTAAGAGTTTGCAAGAGGCCTAGGACAGAAACCTGTGTCAGAAAAATAATGCATATCTTGTATGTCTACCCTTTTAAGATAACTGTGGTTTGAAACAGATCATTTAGCTAACACAAACTGTTTCCCCACAGTCATCTTTTTATAAAAGATAGTATTTATTTATTTTTAGAGAAACAGGGAAAGAAACATCAGTGTGTGGTTGCCTCTTGCATGCCCCCTACTGGGGACCTGGACCGCAACCCAGGCATGTGCTCTGACTGGGGATCGATCCCGTGGCCCCTTGGTTCACAGGCTGGTGCTCAACCCACTGAGCCACATCAACCAGGGCCCCACATTTGTCTTTTTAAGGATTGTATTCAGCCCTGGCCAGTGTGGTTGGGCATAGTCCCACAACACAAAGGGTTGAGGGTTCAGCTCTAGTCAGAGCGCATCTCTCTCCTGTCCATCTTTTCCTCCCTGTTTTCTCCCTCTCTTCCCCCCTCTTTGTAAAGATAAATAAATAAAACATTTTTAAAAAATCATATTCATTTCCCAGTGTATACTTGCTTTCCCTTTCCCAGAAAAGGCACGTACCCTAGAAGCAAATGCCTTTATCCCCCTTCTAAACTCCTTTAGAGCAGAGATATCCCCTTAAATTTATACATACAACTCCAACTCTTTTATTCCTACTGAATTATTATTTATTTTTAATGGTGGTAAAATACATATAACAAAAACTTACCATCTTAACCTTGTTCAGTGTATGGTTCAGTAGTGTTAATACAACGTATTTATCCAACTCTATCTTGTAGATGAGAGGATTAGCATATTAATTAAAGAAATACTATTGGTTAATGCAATATTGGGCTTGAACACAGGCTTATTGGCAATTAGCAACATTCCAAGTTATCTACAAAAAAGGTCAATAGAGGCATGGGTTCTACACAGTATGTAGAATTATCTAGATTTTAGCCTGCCTGACAAGTTTCTCCTCCTACTACTGTACCAAAAGTCTTCTAAGCCACTGTGTAAATTGGGATATTTATTCTGATCATAGAACTGCACTAATGAAATAAAATACAGTTTAGACACTTTTCAAGGGAAGCCAAAATAGTTCTGTCATTGTGAAAAATATTATCATAGTCTATGAAACAATGTAAAAATAATGCAGAATGGTAATATAAACTATAGATTATTATATTTTAGTCATTTGAAAAATACTTCTGTAGACATATTATAACAGAATTCTAAATTCTAGGCACTTTAAGCATTATCGTTAAAATGTTTTACACTGCAAATGCTTTCTATTTGAGCAAGTGTTTAAGTAAGACACCTGATCCTCAGATATCAGTAAATCCTTGTTTTCCTAGGATTGCAAAATCTTTGTTCTATATCATAAACTGATAATAATTAAGGAAGCATAACAGGTACTGGTAAGATAACTAAAGATCAGGGCAAATATGCTCATTGAGGAGGCCTTATAAAAGAAAACTCATCCATGTTTTGAAATAAAACGTACCTAAAACCATAGCCAATGTTCAGCCAAGAAGTACCAGAATGGGCCCTCTGGCTATTTCTGAAAGGCCTGCATTTTGGATGGTCAAGTGTCTGTGACTTACCAGCTCAAAAATGTCAGACAGGTTGCTCGAAGACAAACTTGTGCCTCTTGCTGCTATCTCAGTGCTAAACATCATTATCAATAAAAGACTGAAGGATCACTGCCATAACCAAGAAATGCACATTTATAATTAGCATTAAATGCAGGTGTTTAGAATAGTCTTAGTTAAGTTTTTAAAAGCTAGTATGTATTAACGCAAAACACCACCTAGAAATGGGCACTTAGGGGCTCGCTTGGCTGGTCGTAGGCTTGGGTGTCACTTGTATATTGAGCACATAATCGTGACGGAAGGATGAGCGGACAGTGCGATTCATGAGAGGCTGAAGGGGACGGAAGTTGTCCACCATTCTTTTCTCCTTCTCCCCCTTGGAAGTGAAAAGGAGGGTCCGAAATTGTTCCAGCTAGAAATAGAAACAGAAAACAGAAATTATTTCAATGGAAAAAACAGCCTCGATGCATGAAAAAATTACTTTCATTTTTACAACTCAAACATTCCTCTAAAACTGGACACAGAAGAACTTATTTTCGGACAGGGATGCCTTCACCACTGGACAAGGAGGAAGATTCCCTTGTGTGGTGAAGAGAGCACCAGGAGGTGGTGAAACCAGCTGGGCACTTGGGACCCAAGAACTGGGGGTCAAAGGCCCTGTCCCACACATAATTAGCCATTTGCCAAGAATGAGTTACTTCATCTTTGATCCCAGGAACTTCATCCTGAAATGGGCAAAACGGCAGCCCAGACAATGGAAAAGGAAAGGCCTGGTGTAACAGCACCAAAAATGTTTTGTTTTTTTCACATTTTAACTGAACTCTTTAAAAAAAATACATTTGATTGATTATGCTATTACATCTGTCCCAATTTTCCCCACTTTGGCCACCCTACACGCAGTACCCCCATTCTCTTTGGCAATTCCCCCCTCTTAGTTCATGTCCACGGGTCGTGCATGTAAGTTCTTTGGCTTCTTCAGTGCCCATACTATCCTTAAACTCCCCCTGTCTGTTTTGTACCTGCCATTTATGCTTCTTATTCCTTGTACCTTTTCCCTCATTCTCCCCCTCCCCCTGCTAGCTGATAACCCTCGATGTGATCTCCATTTCTGTGATTCTGTTTCTGCTCTTTTTTCCGATTCTGTTTTTGTCAAATATGGAAGTAAAAAGCTTGTTTCATATGTTTTAACTTCTCTCTCTGGTTAACCGAAGCATTTCCTGCTTCGTACCCAAATTAGACAGGAAGTTAGCATGTTTTAGTACAAATGTATAAGCATTATAATATGCTAAAAACTGATCCCAAAGTCAGAGACCAGCGTGGTTCTAAAGGGGCAGACTAGAATTTCCTTACACAGAAACGTGGAAAGAACGCACCTGATCATGATCAACCTCTACAGGCTGCTTCTTAATGATCCAGGTGACAGACTCAGAGAGTGGTGGGGTCGTCAGGGATCCCGAGTAGGTCCAGTAATCCGGGCAGGCAGGCATCAGGCAGGCAGGGTCAAATGACCCAAATTCTACCAGGGCATCCTGGCCAAGAGAAGGGGGTCATGGGGCTATCACGTCATAGTGAAAACCACCGGGAAGCAGATGATGAGGCAATGGTGCTAGCAGTGTCTGGGGGCCAGCAGTGGTCCACAGGGGCTCCTTGGGCCCTCTGGGCATCTTAGGGCCAAATCAGGGCCAGGCCTTGTTCCTGCGATTAACTGTGCATTTGTGACACTCCTCAGTGGGAACACAGCAGAGCCCGTATCCTCCCTCCATTCCAGTGAGTTTCCAGTGGGTGGTCGGGAGGCATTACGTGGTGGCTGGTGCATGAATAAGGTGGCTCCTTTTCCAAGAGTCTGGTAGAGTCCTCTCCCTTTGTAAAATGCAATGCGAGTTAGAAGGAGCCAGGATCCTGGACTCCAAAGGGAGGGACGGAGAGGGAAGGAAAAAGGAAGATGAAGGGGAAGAGGACTTCCAGGGAGCAGCCCCTTTGGCATTCAGAATATTGAACAGTGGATCTGGGGGCTGGACAAAGGCACCCATCGTGAAGCATACAGGTGAGTGTTCTTTCAAGGTGGACAAGCCAAGTTTCAGTCCAACTTTTCTCTGCTTTGTGCCTGAGGGAGGGTAGCTAGAGTTGAGGAGGCTGTTCTGAGGGTCTCCAGGAGGACTGAGAAGGAGCAGGTGTGAGGAGCAGAGGAGGGGACCCCATTATGTTCCCGAGTCCCAGAGTGCTCAGTGATACGGCAGCAAAACCAGAATGGCCAGTGCCCACCAGCGGAATCCGCTGAGGTGAATAACATCTCCCAACACAAAGGGCCTCGCTAGTATCCCTAGTGGCCAGTGCCCACCAATGGAAATCCTTCTGCCCCCTGAAAGGTGTCCCAGGTACAGGGGCATCCTCAACACACAGCATCATAAATGGCAGATTGTCATCTAGGGAACTTTCAAAGAGAACCTCATTACACCGACACTAATTACATTTCTGAATTCAAAGGGCCTTGTTAGCATTTCCACTCTGAAATTGAAACATAAAATGCACTTCAAGTGATGCTGGAAAAAAATATTACCTTATGCTTAATCGATGGCAATGTATCCACCAATTTCTGTAGCTCTTTATGATGTTCCCCTAACTAAAGAAGAAGCAATGAGAAAATATTGAAAACAATTGACACCTCACTTTTAAAACTATAACAGAATGTTATAGTTAAAATTAACCACCTGGTTATTACATAAAAACAAAACAACCATACTACTTAATCTACACTTAAACTGGTAATGTAGAATGTTATAAACATCATTGAATGGAACTAGACAGAGAACAAATGAGCAGGCTGCTTGCTGACAGGTTCAGCATGCCTGCAGGGAACAGTGCCCCTCCATTTAGCCATCAGTTCTTAAATTGAAATTGAAATTCATTGCAATTAAAAATTGTTCCACAGCTGAAGTAACCATACTTCAAATGCTCAGTTGTCACATGTGGCTTGTGACTATGCTATTGGACTGTGCATTTTTATAACATTTAAAATATTTTCATAACAATCTTACATTTATTATTTTTATTATTTTTATTATTTTTTAATTAATTTATTTTTAAAAATTTATTTAATTATTGTTCAAGTACAGTTTTCTGTTTTTTACTCCCATCTCAACCCACCCCCCCAGTGCTCCCCACCTCCCTCCCATTTCCACCCCCCTTAGTTGTTGTCCATGTGTCCTTTATACTAGTTCCTGTAAATCCTTCCTTTTTTCCCCCTGAAATTAAAACAAAGACACTGAAATAGAGAACAGGGGGACAGTGACCAGAGGGGAGAGGGGAGGGAGGGAATAATCTTGCATTTTAACTAGCACTTATTTTTATCCCAATACTCTTAGAACTTAGCATTGCAATGTTGTATCCTTTCCTCCTAGAATACTACATGCCATTTAAAGTTAGTAACTTTTTTTACCTTTAAAAATACTCCTATCACAGCCAGACCATTTTCTTCCAGTGCTGCATCCTCAAAGCTTTCAAATTTGACTGCATTCCAATGCACCAGGTGCAGCTGAAACATCATTAAAAGATGGGTTAATACATGACCACACAGGATGGCTCCAAAGCAGACAGCCCCATGTTAAAAATATTTTAACATGTTTCCTCACCCAAGGTAAAGCCACTGGGAAAAGCATACAACAGCATGGTACAAAATGAGATAGAACTAAAGAACAAGAAGAAGTGCATGCAGCAGTGAAAATTAATGTTACTTTCGAATAGAGACATTTATTTGGGGAGAAAAATAAATTATATATTGCGGAGGGCAGAACATTTTAGTGAGGGACCAACGTCTGTCCATTCCCATCCTGATTTGCATGAAACATTCATGCCCCAAACTATTTGCATATAAAGGAGAGATATTTATCATGAGAGAAATTGATTCTCCCTATTCAAATTAGACAGGAGTTGAAGACACATTTCTTTGAGGGAGAGCCAGTTAAAACATGTTTATTTTTAAGGTAACACCTAAGACTAAGTTAGGGGGAAAGTTGTTAGAAGAAATTCTCTGTGCCTATGTGCTTCCTATATTTAACTACAAATTATTTCTCATCTATAATTTGTGAATGCTTCATTAGCCAGCCTCCCAAGTAAGACCCTCAAGGTCATAGTTTTATTCCTCTCCTTTCTTCTCCTCTCCTGAAGAGGACCCTGATTCAAGTCCTGTTGCTCTTATTTGAGAAACACTTGCTAAATCTTGCTCTTTTTTGCTATTTCTATTGTCCCAGCCTTCATTTACTGGTAGGTGCCCATCATCGATTACTTGAATTAATCGGACCTCGTGGCCCTGCACTATTGCTTGGGTTTTTACTCTAACCTATGATTTGAATTTATCTTAGAATTCTGAAAGAATTCCATTTTGGAAATGTAAGGTTCATTTCTGCTATAATATTTGAGATGAGGGCAGTTATCTTTTCATGTTTAATAACTGGGAATGATAGCCCCCGAGAGAGCTATTTAGATTTATAGGCATCCCCTGGTCCTTCCTGAGAATTTCATTGAACTCGTAACTCAGAACTATCCCCACTTCTCCACAGTTGTCCCAGTTCCCACACTTCTCAACCTACCTCTGCTGGGTAGCATTTGTTGTCCACGGTATGCTCGGAGCCCCAGGCATCAATGGCCCCCCAGTGAAAATGGAACTGCTTCAATCGGTAGTTGTGTTCCAGAGGTCCTCCCTTGATCACTGAAATGGCACATTCAACAATTTAGGGGACAGTTTTTGATGCCACGGGAGATGCAGGGGAAAGGCCGAATCTGTGTGTGAACCTTCTATATGAACTGTCTTAAATGGAACACACTGTATTATATTCAAGTATTTATTCACTCGAGTTCCACACAGGTCATACATGTGTAAGGGGGAGATCTGCACTCTCAATGAGACTGAGACCTAACTATACTCCAAGCTACATACAATTGCTAAAGGCCAATTCTTGAGTTATTTTTATATTCTGCATTTACTGTGACCAGTTTTTTGCGGGTACAATAAAATGCATATTTCTCTCAGCATATTTATCCAATGCAATCTCATAGAACTAAAATATGGAGACAAAAGATATTGTTTATTTTTTGTGGACCGATACTTTGCTTTTCAATTTTCCTAGATACTACAGTTTCTTTCCCTTTCATTGAAGTGGAATAGGATATTTGCAAGTTAAAACGATCACATATCTCCCTTTGGACACAGTGAATAATTGAATTATACACACACTTCACCACTAGCTTCACTGCATTAGACAATAAATACCTTTTGTTCAGACTAAAGTTTTCTGAAACCAGTGAAATCAATATAGTACAGTATAGGAAAAATATTTGGATATGAGTTTCTCAAGTCACCCTTCTTCAGGCTTGGGGTGGTGCTGATTTCTTTTGCTTGAATTTGCTAAAGCATATGAGTTCCTCATTTCTTCCAACTAATCAGCCCCTGGTGATGTGTGTCCATGGCTAAACCAATATAACAACACAAAAACCATGCATGTCATCTATCTTAATGATCTTTAGAGTTCATCACATCATTTGTTGAATTTTATGTACATGAATGATGGAGTTCAGGGTTCCCGAGGACCAAATACACTGGATATATCATATAATGGTCTTCTATGTATTGTACTGGCTTTTGAAAATATCTTAGCTAACTTCCTCTTTAAAAAGAAGGCGTTTTGTAAGAAGTGAGCAAGACTACTTTTCTTTGGGGGACAGGAAAGGGGCAGAGAGAGCATAATCCCACATCGCTTCACTAAATTAATAGGAGGATGATATTAAAGTGTTGATATAAAAATAAAACATCTCACCAAAATCCTTATTTTTCTGTGCCAACTCCATATTGTAAGCACAGGTTTGGCAAATATTCAATCTGATCTATTGAATTAAGTTGAAGTTCTTATCTCAAGTTAAGTGACCATGGCAGAGGAGAGGGCCACCTTTTCTATCCTAGTCCCAGAAACAAACTGGCCACACAATTCCTGGACACTTACTGTGTGTCTCCTTCAAAGATAATGAGCAAGACAGAGAGGAGATGTCACCAATAGGTACTTTCAAGGGCAGGGATCAGAACTGGTCTTCAGGTGTATTTGGATTCACCCACACAATACTAAAGACAATTTTACATTCATTGCCAACATTTAAATGTGGATGATTTCACATAAAAATCCATACTTCCAACTTACGTTGAGGATGAGACACCGTGACCATGTTGGGCACGCACTCCCACTGGGTGACAATAGGTTGGACAGGAGAGGTGGTGCCACCAGCTCTGTCTCCCCACCACATTGTAAGTTCTTTAAACGCAAAACCATCCCTTCTTCCTCTTTCTATTCTGAGCACCTGGCATAGCGCCTGCCATTTAGAAAATCCTTGATGAAACCAGGCACTAAAGAAAGAGATTGTAAAGTGTCTGTTGGGTTGGTTAGTAGAAACATCACTGGTAACCTCACCAAGAGCAAGGAAAAGGGCAAGGTCAGCCAAGGAAGATGCATGGATGAGAGGGGCAAGTACAGTTGGCAAGAAACAGGGCAGAGAAGGGACACAAAAGATAGTGAATTGGAAAGCAGAGCAGTCATAAGATATGGCAAATAATTATATACTTATTTATTTGAGGTTGTTGATGTTTTGTTCTTTTTGTGCTCTAACATGAGAGGAGATTAAACTTGTAAAAGACATATGCAACAAATATAAAACACCTAACGCAGCGTCAAGTAAGCAGCCCATGTTATGTTTGTTCCCTTCTTTTGCTTTTAATGTGGAAGTGAGGGAGCTGGCAGAGAAAGGGATGGTGAAGGAAAAGGTAGTACACAAGCCTCATACAAATAAAAGGAAATGCAGGAATGGGCGTGAGACTTTTAGGGATGATGGAAATGCTCTGAAATGGGATATACTCATGGTTGCAGCACTCTGTAAATTTACTAAAAAAATTACATTGTTTTGTTCCAAAAAAGTAGAGGTAGGGCTGAAAATAGGGAAGGAGAACTTAAAATGTTTGTGAAAGCATTCTTAGTAGGTTCTTTGGTAATGCCCCTAAAAGTGTGAAGTAAGGGAAGCCAGATGGGGCAGGAAGGATCCTTAAGAGAACAACAGGTGTGGTTCTTAATGACTGTGAGTTTGCTGTCCTTTCACTGTTCATCTTTTTTATCTTCTTTTTCTTCGATAAGTCCCTTTAACATTTCATATAATAAGGGCTTGGTGATGATGAACTCCTTGAATTTGATCTTATCTGAGAAGCACTTTATCTGTCCTTCCATTCTAAATGAAAGATAGGGGGGCAAGAATAGTATGGGAAATATAGAATCTAAAGAACTTGAGACACATGGTCATAAACTAAAGGGGGGGAATGGTGGGGGGGTGCAGGGTGGATGGGAATGAAGGGGGGAAAAGAACAACTGTAATGGCATAATCAATAAAATTAAAAAAAATTTAAAAAGAGAGAACAACAGGACCCGTCACTCCTTCTCTTTAATGCCTGGTGATACTGCTGATGGGAATAATTTCAGAGGAGGTGATCATTTACAGGAATCATCCATGGGACTCAGCCCAGGCATAAGTCAGTGTATGCACTTAGAATCAATAACTGTGTTCTATTTGGGGGAGCCAAGTAACAAAACAATGCCCAGCAAAGGGCAGAGGTATGAGATGCTCACTTGCCTTCTCTTATCCTTTTAATTTCTGTAGGGCTGGTCGTGATGTCCCTCTGTTTTCTGCTTTTTCTATTCTCTATTTGGGTCTTCTCTTATTTTTCCCTTTGCTCTACCTAGCTAAAGGTTTGTCAATTTTGTTGATCTTTAGAAAAACCAACTTTTTATTTCACTGATTTCGGCTCTTTATTAAGACCTTCTTTCTGTTTGCTTTGGGTTTAGTTTGCTTTTCTCTTTCTGGTTTCTTAAAGTAGAAGGCATGGTTATTGATTTCAGAAATTTCTTCCCCAATATGGGCATTTTCGTCTATCAGTTTCCCTCGAAGCACTGCTTTTGCTGCATCTCATAAGATTTGGCATGCTTTGTTTTTGGCACATACCTTAACCAGCTCCTTCCTTTGCACACTTTATTCTCAGTTCTTTGTAAAGCACACTGTAGCAGCATTTCCTACTTTTTGGAGGGAAATTTATAGACACTGATATTTATTAAATCCTTTCTTTTCTAGAATTAAACTTGTTTCTTGCCTTTCTTTCTCTCTAGGATGCCTTTGCTTTCTTTTATTTTTCTTTATTTTTTATGTTCATTCATTCTTTCTTCCTCTTTAAATGCTATTGGTTATTCTGAAACAGCATGGAGAAATAGCAGTGAAGAATAAGCAGGAGATAGGAGGCAGTCACTGAAATATGGAAAAAGAAAGAGGTAGAAAGTTAGGTACTTATTAAAGGTTAACGGTATCTTAAAAATAACGATTAAAGCATAATGAAAAGCATTTATCTTTTTTGGTCCTTACTGGTAAAAGAAGTGGAGAATCAGCAATCTCTCTACAATTTTTCTTGCATTTTGTAAAAAGAGTGTGACACTAACTCACCTAGGGAAGGTAAGATTAAGGATTGACTTAGTTTGTTGTGTCTGGAGGTATCTAGAGAGCTATTATGAAGAAAATGACGGTCACTTGCTTTTCCATAAGAGATTGCCTATGCAAGTGGGTGGATAAGAATTCTTGGATCTAAAAAAAAATTCTTGGGCCCTGGCTGGTGTAGCTCAGTGGATTGAGCGCGGGCCTGAGAAACATAGTATTGCAGTTCAATTCCCAGTCAGGGCACAAGCCTGGGTTGCAGGCCAGTTCTCAGCAGGGGACTCATGAGAGGCAACCACACATTGATGTTTCTCTCCCTCTCTCCTTCCCTTCCCCTCGAAAGATAAATAAATAAAATCTTTTTTAAAAATTTAAAAAAATAAAAAAATTCTTGGATCTATTGCTCAAATGAGAAAAAATATGACTAAAAAATAAAACAAAAAGCTATTTGCCTTGAACTGTCTTGGGATTAACTTACTTGATTAAGAAACTCATTAAGCAACTTCCTAAGCTTTCTGTCTCCATGAAGCAATAGTATATTGGCAACAGTCCCTAGACTGTCAAGGTCATTAGAAGACTGACCACCATTTAGGATCCTCAGAAGAAAGAAGGTTGCTAAGGACCTAATTCACATTGAGACTAATTAATTGAGAGGATTGCTATGCATCCAGAGTGAACATATGAGAGCTGGTATTCTGTACATTGAGTCCGTCCATTAGTCTCCCTCTGGCAGGAGTAATGGTAGACCTTCATGGAAGACAGTAGAGCTCACCATAGTGCAAAATGGTCACCTGGAACACAGGACTTTAGCTTGCTGTTATGAAGATTCCTGGAATCCTTACACAAAATGTAATATTATAGGTTTCCAGTTAAGATGGGGCAAACTCTACAGTTTACAAAAATTATGAAAGATACTGATGAATTTGGAGAAAAGGAGTAATTTCTAGTTTGAGAAATATAAATAAGATGTTTAGAGTTTGGGGGTCAGGTACTACTGTGGAGGAGAAAGAAGAAAATGCATGACAACATAGAGATACCTAAGCTCTTAAGGACAGACTTGAATATCCCCGAATCACAGCAGAGAAGTATGGCAGAGGGAAGAGAAACAGAGAGAGATGAATCCCATCCAAAGATCAGTCTGTTTGCAGTTGGGCCAGAGGGCCATGTGTAGGTCTCAGAGCATCACTATGAAAATACAAGGAAAACCAAGGTGTGGTTGAGAATCCTAGAGCCACGATAAACACAGGAGTGAACATCTCTATGCTTTAATTTATACTTTTGCTTCATTCATGAACACTTTCATGGACTCATTTCTTCATACTCATAAGAGGAAATTAATTTCCTTTAGGTCAGGGTTTGACCTTTAGGTCAATCTCAGCTCTAATGATATTTGAGGCTAGATAACTTCATGAATGCTGCCCTGTCTATTGTAGGATCTTTAGCCGCATTCCTGGCCTTGATCCACTAGGTGTCAGTCACATCACTGCCAGTTATGGCAGTCACATCACATCCAGTTATGACAACTGAAATGCCTACAGACACTGCCAAGTGTCCCCAGTCCCTGGGAAAGAAGAGGCGCCAAAATTGCCGCTGGTTGAACTCTTCTCTTTAAGGCTTCAGATACACTATTTCAACTAATAATCATTTTAATCTACTTAGGACTATTTGATGCCATCAAATTTGACTGGAAAAAAGAAATCTGCACAGAATTCATCACATTCTCAAGTTTCAGGTAAACTTTGAAATTGTTCAGATTACTTTAGATCTGGCTTGAAGGAAAAAAAGATTCAAAAGCAATATAATGTTTGAATTTAAAAATCTTTTAAAATTGTTTCCTTTACACCACCACCACCACCAACACCAACCACCCACACTACCCCATGCCACACACCACCACCCCCACACCAAAAAAAAAAAAAAAAGAACAAAAGAAGTAAAATTGTTCCTTTTAAACTAGGTAACATTGTTTAGTTAACAAAATTATCAGAAGGTGAGTTTCCATGTGTCTAATATGCCAGCAGTCTTAACTACTTGTTAAGACTATAACCTCACCCTGACCAGTGTGGCTCAGTTAGTTGGGCATTTTCCCCACAAAGTAAAAGGTCACTGGTTCAATTCCCTTTTAAGGCATATATCCTGGTGGTGGGTTTGGTCCCTGGTCGGGGCATGTATGAGAGGCAACCAATTGATGTTTCTCTCCCTCTATTTCTCTCTCCCTTCCCCTCTGTCTCTAAAAAAAAAAAAAAAAGACTATAACCGCATGCACACACGAATATTCTTTTCACCATTTCAAACGTACTGAAATCTGATCCATTAAATCTGATTAAAAGTATTGTTATTTAACATAAAAGTGTACTCTGGTTTCTCTTCCAATCGTATAAATCTTTTGCCTTTTAACATAAAAGTGTCTTGCAAAGCACACAGAAAATTAGCACACATTCATAAACAGTGCAAAACAAATTTTGGACATAGCTTTAATTTCACACCCTATCTTCTATATCAGTTATGAATTGATACTAGAAGACAATGTGCATAAAACTAAGAGGGACTATTTTCATACATTGAAAATATAAGTCCAATGTGTGTCATCATTGCTAACAACAGAGGTCCATGCTCCCATGGAAACAGTGCCATGTGGCCTGTGCCAATGTGAAACTGTGCCTTTAACTCCAGAGGAGACTACCAGTCTGGCTCTCACCTGATTTATCTGTAGAATCTTCAAATTCCACAAGGAAGGAGTATCCATTATTCCAGATATGGAGACAGGTGGTCGGGTCATAAGAGATGGTGAGCGGTGTTAAGTCAGGATCATAGACACTGTCCCTCCACCGGATATTGATGGGTGACTGGCGCTCACCTCCCGGGACCAGGTCTGTCCTCTCCCAGAGCGGGTGCACTAGGAGAAAGCACATCAGGACAGTCATCAGGATGTCCCTTACCTGGGGTTACATACCACGCAGTCGTATTTCAGAAGAAAGAGGAAGATGGGGGACATGACACACTTAAGCCCTTAAGTACAGACTCAAATACTTCTTGAATCACAGCAGAGAAGTATGTCAGAGAGAAGAGAACAAGAAACAGATGAATCCCATTGGGGGAAGGATATGGTTCTGTTTAAGTGTGCACGTGGAACTCACCTTTTGTGTAAGCAAGCTTTGAGGATTAGGTATTCTGCAAAACCCGGGTAGAATATTATCACTGCTAAGGTTCCTAGAGTTCTGTTTATAAAATGAATAGCTATGGACATTATATATTAAAGTGTATATACACAGTTTGTCCTACATGGGCACCGATGACACCATTGATGCTGATTTTTCTACCAAAGATTCAAGCACCAGGTATTGTAACCAGACAGGAACTTCATTTCTTTAATATGACTTTTTCCTTAATTCATGCTGGCTCTGTCCAGTCTAATAGCACCATAACATACTGCACACCCCCTCCCTTAATGGGTGTTCTAACCTGGTGAGTAAGGGAGTGGGTGTGCAATATATCATGGTACAAGGCCTTAGAACACCAGGTTCTGGTTAGCATCAAATGGTTTTGGGAATAAAACCGTAGGTCCGCTGATTAGGGAACAGTTTGAAACTAAAGATAATATCTTAATCCCATTGTGCTTCAGCTCCAGGCCCATAAAAGCAGATGGTACCCACCCACCACACCTTCACAAAGCTGGACAAAATGACCCTGCGGCTGACCTCAGGACCCAATACAATGATCACTCACTACTCCCTCTCTGACCCCAACCAATCAGTAAGGCCCACGACCCCAACTCCCTTAGTCACTATGATTAATCATTTGTCCCATATATACTCAGTCCTAATGCAAGCCATGAGTGAGTCAGGTCTTTGAAAATGACTCACCTGTGTCTCTGGTCTTGGTGCCATTTCCTTAAATAAACTTTTACTTCCCTCCCTGCAAACTCCTGTTTGTGTTTGATGCATGCAGGCAAAGAACCCCTGCTGTTTGGTAACTGTCTTTTGTGGCAAGTCCCTGATAAATCTCAGCAGACTTCTTCGTAACACAGAAAGATCTGTTCAGTTATCCATGCATGATGGATTGAACCCGCATATATGATTTGGGGTGTTAGAGTTCTCTGCCCTTTAGAGTATCATGGGTGGGTAGAACTAAAATCAACAGGAGAACCAGAAGACATATGAATTGAGAGAAATCATTACTGATGACCCTTTGCACCTCACCCCACTGCTAAGAATGAGTTTAAGGATTTGAGAAAGTTTAAGGATTTGAGAAACAACGCAGCTGCTATTCAGTCAAATCTCCTTGTGTATGGCAGGGTCCCTGGTACTCCTGTTTTCATTCAAAAACATTGCCCTGGCTTGTGTAGCTCAGTGGATTGAGCGCTGGCCTCTGAACCAAAGGATCATGGTTCAATTCCCAGTCAGGGCACATGCCTGGGTTGCGGGCCAGTTCCCAGCAGGGGATGCACGGGAGGCAACCGTACACTGATATTTCTCTCCCTCTCTCCCTTCCTTCTCCTCTAAAGATAAATAAATAAAAATCTTTAAAAAATAAAATAAAAACAACAACAACAATATGGAAACTTGCCTCTGGTTTAGTCTTATAGAGGAAACATTCTTCTCTCTGAAGTAGTTACCCAAAGCTGGAAGTGTAAGATCTTAACCTTGTCTTTTTAGGAAAAAGTGCCCCAGCAGTATAGACTTAAAGCTCCCCAGGAAGTTTTCTAGACCAGCGGTTCTCAACAGAGGGATTATACCCCCAGGGGACATTCAACATTGTCTAGAGACATTTTTGGTTGTTATAACTGGAAGAAGATGCTACTGACATCTAGTGGGTGGGGGCCAGGGATACAGCTAAACATCCCCATAATGCACAGATTCTCTGGCCCCAGATGTTAACAATGCCAAAGTGGAAAAATCTTGGTCTAGACCTAAAAGCAGAGGCAAACTCAGAGTATTCACTTTTTTATTTCTCTTTTTTAATATAATGCAGTACTCTCATCTCTAGAGAGGTCTGAAACTAATGTATTGGGTTTTCTCTCTTAGTATGAAAGAACTTGTGAAGAACAAGAACTGTTTCAGAAATCTAAACCAAAATGTATATGAATTGGGACAATATACTCATATTATAATTGCATGAGATTGCAAATTCCTTGCAGACAGGAGCCATATCTTCCTCCTGTTTCGTTGTCTTGTGGTGCCGTATTTGATACACGTCCTTTAATTTTAGTATTGAACTGCTATTGTTGGGATAAAAAGTAAAAAGTCGTATTGGATTTTGTGATATTTTTAAACACCTAGAACAGCCCTGATTCAATTTTAAATATGCCTGGAGCAAAGAGTCTTTACATCTTCCCCTCTGAGATATTCAGACTTGTGGCTAAGGACTTGAGAATTCACACTTATGTATCAGTTTGATATGATTTAAAATCTACTTGTTTATTATAAAAATTGAAGTTGTTTTTAAGAGTGAAGTTGTTTTGGTCTAAGAATGAATTTGTTTTTATAATTTGTTTTCATATGAGTGACATAAACTTTGTCAGGATGTCATCTCATCTGTTCTCATTGATGCGCACTCAGCAGCTAAGCTGCTGAGGGGCCTCACAGTGGATTATCCCTAAGAGCATATAAAGAAACAACTATGGAAAAGGGACATTTAGACTATAAATACCCTGAGTTTGGGAGGACTACTGAGAGGGTCTGGTCTGAACAAGGCGGTGGCTTGCATCGTTTTGAGGAGTTACTCAATTTCCCTGGGTCTCTGCCACTCCTACGTATACAGGAGGTATCCGTGGGTTTTTATTAAGAAATTACTTTTCACCTGGCTGGTGTAGCTCAGTGGATTGAGCGCGGGCCTGTGAACCAGAGTATCACGGTTCGATTCCCAGTCAGGGCACATGCCTGGGTTGCAGGCCAGTTCCCAGCAGGGGACTCACAGAGGCAACCACACATTGATATTTCTCTCCCTCTCTCCTTCCCTTCCTCGCTAAAGATAAATAAATAAATAAATAAATAAGAAATTACTTTTCAATATTTATCCTTTCTTTGCATTAATAATATAATCAACAATCACAGAATTCTTTTTTCCGATGCCATGGGCTGCATTACAAATGAAGCTGGTATTGCTGCTTATCAAAATAAACAAGACGGTTGATGTTTTATATAAAACCATTTTATATGTTAACTTGTTCCCAAAACATTTTTTCTCTTTCTTTCTTGGCCTGGTATCCATGTTATGAAAATTGTGTTTGCTTTTCTTTGATTGGTCTGTCTTGGGAGCTCCATCAAGAATTCAGAAGGGTAGAATGAAAGTAATTTGTCCTATGCTACACACATGTGTAATTATCTGCCTCCCCGGCTGATCTGCAAGCCAGAACTGAGCTGCCTTTGAATCATTTGTGGATTGAATGAAAATGATTAAGAACATCACTGGGAAGATTTCCTTCTCCTTTCATCTTTATTTCATATTACCCAGCTGACCATGTTATTTTTTCTTTAAAAATCTTCCAGCTCTAACTCTCCCTTGCCCTGCCCACAACTTCATACCATGCCTCTTGGTTGCTCTGCCTTCTTTCTCACTCCCCTCTACTCCATCTTCCCAAACTCTGGCCTTGACATTTTCTCCAACCACTATGACCTTTCCTTCTACTGAACTCACACTGCCTGGGGCGCTTTTTCTACAGGCCGGGGGCTGAACTTAGTACCAGGCACAAAGGAGGCACTTAATGCTTATTTTACTAACAGAAAAAACCAAACAAGTTGACACTACAGCTCTCTAATCTTACCTCTCACCCATAGTTTCTGAACTAGGCAAGCAGGGATACCCCAAAACACCTCCTGCATTCACATGATCACACCTGCCTATTTCTCCCCCACTTCTGAAAACCCTACCAGGCTTGCAAGGTCAGTTCAACCCCCTTCCCTGACAACCCCACAATACATTAAGTGTCTCTTCATTGGTTGTTATTCCTGGGCAAGTGCTCTCTGTACCTGCACTGTCTACATGGTCTCCACTCACCTAGTGTGACTAGTTTAAATTGAGATGTGCCGTAAATGTAGAACACCCAGGGACCTTGAAGACTTAGTAAAAAACAAAATAAAATATTTCATTTATAATTCTTATAGTCATCTAATTTTAAAGTGATAATATTTTGGATATATTGGGTAAAATAAAATATATTAGTAAACTTAGTTTCACCTATATACTATGTTTCACCTACATATTTTCTTTTTAAAAAATATCGGGTTTTTTTTTAAAGATTTTATTTATTTATTTTAGAGAAAGAGGAAGGGAGGGAGAAAGAGAGGGAGAGAAACATCCATGTGTGGTTGCCTCTCACGTGGCCCCCACTAGGGACCTGGCCCACAACCCAGGCATGTACCCTGACTGGGAATCGAACCCGTGACTCTTTGCTTTGTAGGTCAGCACTCAGTCCACTGAGCCACGCCAGCCAGGGCTAGTGGCTACATTTTATACAGTGCCATTCTATTCAAGGTTGTCATGAAAACAAATGTTTCCCTTTTTTCTTAAAGGAAAGAGATCATGACATAAGAATCATTGGAATAAAACAAATCTAAACCATTTCCATTCTAGATGATAGTCTTCGTAGTTCATTAAATTAAGAATCAGCCTAATTAAATTGATTTTCTCATGGCCTAAGATCTGATGCCTAAATTTCTTTCCTGTGACAATGCCACTAACTTTTATGGGATGGTAGACTAATTGAAACTGCTTTTATTTTCTTCTTGGATATAGGTGCAAGGCTTTTATCTGTATTTTATCATGTTACCAGTGTGCACAGTTAGGACTGTCAACATTTACTGTCTGCCACCGGAGGTACCAGCAAACAGCAATTGGAGTTTACAGCCAGGAATTGCCTGGGTGGAGGGTGGGCAGGGAAGTAAAGCAGGGAGCCCAGGGCTGTAGTGCGATGCCGCTTTCTGAATTTGCCCGATCCTCCTCCCTCACTGACAGCCTCATCTGCTTCAGCCCGTGTTAAATATGGTCCCACTCGAGGGAGACACCAAGCCTATGATGATGAGAAAGACGGGGATGAGGATGACCGTCCCAGGACCAGCACAGCCGCCAGGAGGCCTTTCCAGCTATCTTTGCTAACCCTCCACACTCTTGGGTCATTCTTGGTCACAAGTCAGCAAACACAGGGCCACCTACTGGGGTACTAAGTTGCCAGAAACAATGAATATTGGTTTTATGCCAGGACATCAGAAAAAGACCTGCCCACTGGCCCAGGGAGTAGAGACCATACTACTGTCCTGGGGGAAAACAGGGAGAGAGAGCGTCATATGACAAAAGCCAAATCGAATAGTGACTGTTGCCTGTGCTTCTTAGCAACTTACCAAGAAGGACATCTGATGTGGGAATTTAATCAAGGGACTTTCCCAAGGCACCACTATATTTTTTTTGGTCAGCAAAACAGAAGCAAAATTATCCTAAAAACATGAGCATATTGGATTTTAGAGTTATATCTTCCTACTTTTTGTTTAAAAAGTAACTCTATTAACTAGATAATATGAGTATTTTTTTCCACTTTCTGCTTCAAACCGCCAGTGTTGAAAATAAGCCAGTCTGGTTTAGGATGTGGGCCTGCTGGTAGGAAGCCACACCCAACAACCAGAAGTATATTTTAACTCTGGCCAGTTCTTTTTATTTATTTTAATCTTTTTTTGTTTGTTTTCAAGTTTTATTTTAACTGTTGTACAGTTTTCTGTCTTTTGCTGCTATCCCAGGCCACCCCCCATTTCCACCCCCCTTGTTATTGTCCATGTGTGCTTTATACTTGTTCCTGTAAACCTTTCCCCTTTTCTCCTGAAATTCCCTCCCCTATCCCTTGTTCCAATCTTTTAAGTATATTTTATTGATTAATGGCTAGTCCTTTTTAATGAGAACATAGTCAGCATGGAAGGAAACAAAATACACTATCAATAAAAATATATTCATGGAACAGTTTCAAGTCCTTGGATTTAGCTAGATTATCATTCCTAATGTACAAGCATTCTTTTCTTACATATTTTTTGTTGTGTGCATAGGAGGTCAAGAGAGACTAAACCCAAAGAGAAAAAGTAGAGAAACCCAGTCCTAGAAGAAAACTAACATTTGCAAACTCAGAGTCAACCCCTTTAAAATAATGGAAAATATAAAAAAATTCCTCTTCAATGATATACTTATCTATTTCATCTCTCCATAAACTCGAACCCATCTCTCCACAAATACACAGGGTATCCTCTGCTATTGTCTCAATGGTTCTTAACCAAGGGCAGTTTCGTCCCCCAGAGCTCACTTGGTAATGTGTGCAGACCTTTTCTGTTGTTACCACTGGGCAGGGGCTGTTGCTGGCGTGTAGTGGGTAGAGGCCAGGGATGCCATCCACCGTCCTACAGCGCACAAGACAGACCCCACCTACACAGAACCACCTACCCATGTCAGTGGTGCCACAAGAGAGAATCCCTGGCTCATAGAGACGTGTACGTAACTGGTATTTCTGCAGGGGATGAGACGCTAGAGGTTTCAGTGAAGACCAACTGCTGTGTTTACAGCAGAACACACATTTGACAAGTTGGTCAGCTAGAAGTAACTGCAATTGCTAACTCAGGAAAGAATACTCCAAAGTGTGCAGCTACTGTTCTGAACTGCGAATGAGCATGAATACGCCTTTTCTAGAAAGTTCAGGTCCACAGAAATCACTCACAGTCAGTGGATCAACCTTAATAAATAGACAATGCTAATAAGAAACAATATAGAACAGGTTCCAAAATACTTGGAACTGGGATATCTCCCTTGTCCTATTTCTGTGTGATACCATTTAAAAATGTTAAAACTGGTCCTGACTGGTGCGGCTCAGTGGATGGAGCACTGGCCTGCAAACCAAAGAATCACCAGTTCGATTCCCAGTCAGAGCACATGCCTGGGTTGTGGGCAAGGTCCCCAGTACGTATGAGAGGCAACCACACATGGACGTTTCTTTCCCTCTCTTTCTCCCTCCCTTCCCCTCTGTCTAAAAACAAATAAGTAAAACCTTTAAAAATATATTAAAACTGGTCAAGAAAAGCACTTCCCAACTCTTACTGTGGTCATCATTTTGCAACATACAAGCGCATGAAATCACTATGCAGCACACCTCAGACTTATACACATTATATGTCAATACAAACCCACTCTGGAATGCCAGTGACATCCTATGTACAAATCCTTGACACGTGATTGTTAGGAAACGGCAAGCCTCCTGCTTGCTTGGAGGCAGCAGTGTACTCACAGGCTCGGTTCCGGGTTTTGTAAGTGCAGGTGTACAGGCTGCAGGGCCTCACAGGCGTGGACCTCGGAATCTGGAACTTTCTCCACAGTGTTTTGCATGGAGAAGCTTGAAGAATGATTCTCAGGTTGCTCATCACCACCATCTTTGCCTTGAGGTCTTGGTCAGATTGCAGAGAACTTGCAGGAACCTAATAACCCGGAGGAGGGAAAGCTGTAAGTAGTAGAGACTGCGGATCATGTGGAAACCTCTAAGTAGGACGACCACACTCACATTATCTGCACACATGATGGGGATGCAGGAGGCCCAAACGAGAGTCAAGAGTTTAGCCACTCTTGTTCCTGAAACTCACTAGTCACCCCAGCACAACACGCCCTTGCTGTCCGTCATGTCCACTTTCTGCCTCTGCCTGCACACTGGCCGTGTGGACTTCAGTTCTTCCAACACCCGAGGTGCCTTCTTCCCTGGTTAATCTACGCTTTGATAATCACACCCAACGTCACTTCCTTGACCACGCCTCTCTTCATGATCCCAATGTACTCTTATTCTTGGTCATAGAGCTCATCACGATTGAATTAAATACCTCATCCGGATTGTAATTTACGACGTCATCTCCCCAGTATCTAAGCCCCACGGTGGTAGAGACTCTCTTAGTCACAGCTGCATCTCTTAGGGACACAGTGCCTGGCACATGATGGCTATTTGATGAGTAGGTGGAGAAGACCTTGGTGATAGGGAAGACCTTGATCCTAATTTCAAGAACTGAGAATAATGAAGTGACTACTAGTATGTTCTCAGTATTAAGGTATTTTCCTTTGTCTACATGTCACCATCACCCATTTGTGGGTTTATTTGTACATTGGAAACATTTTTAAATGCTTGTGTTTAGCCCTGGCTGGTGTGGCTCAGTGGACTGAATATCGGCCTGTGAACCAAAAGGTTGCTGGTTTGATTGCTGGGTTGCGGGCCAGGTTGCCAGTTGAGGGTGTCGGAGAGACAACTGAGCAATGTTTTCTCCCTCTCTAAAAATAAATAAATAAAATCTTTTTAAAAAATTTAAAAAATGCCTGTGTTTTAACAGCGGGGTCTCATATCTCTATCTATAAGATCTGAAGGACCCCCAAAGTTCTGCCTGATCTGAAAGAGAAACCTACCCAAATATGAACCTAACCTGGACTTACAGGGATGGGAATTCTGCCAGTATTCATTTTCATTCAAACATTTATTGTCATTTCCTTTGCTCTGGGCAGTGTATTGGGTGCTGGAATGAAAGACCAACAAGGTCATAAAAAGAAATTAAGTCTTGATGCATGTTACAATGTGAATGAATCTCAAAGACCTGATGCCAAGTGAAAGACGCCAGACAAAAAAGGCCACACATATGGTATGATTCCATTCATATGAAATACTTAGAAAAGGGAAATCTAGAGATAGAAAGCAGTTTGGTGGTTGCCAAGACTTGGGGAAGGGTGAAACGGGGAGCAATTGATTCATGGGTATGGGGTTATATTTGGGGGTGATATATAATTGTTTTAGAACTAGACAGAGGTGGTGTTTGAACAACATTATGAATGTACTAAGTATTCCGGAATTATATACTTTAAAATGGCTATCTTTATGTTATGTGAATAATAAAATAATGCAAATGCTATGGGGTAGGGAAACATACACCAATCCAGTTCTCAGTAGGCATTAGAGCTTCCTCAAATTCTGCCTAAGGCTTATTAGAGGCCTCTCAACAGTTTGGCAATGCCAGGAGAGGACAGGTGCCAAATAGCAGAGAAAGAGAAATTGAGAGGTCACTAAAGACAGTATGTACTTACGGACTTGAATTTTACTGTTTGTACCTTCTTTCCAAGAAGAGTGTAAGATATAAAAAAGCACATTAGGATCCTTCACAGTGCAGAGACAGGAAGCACCCAGTCTGATTTCACCCTCTACTTGCTTCATGTACTTCACTGCTATGAACTGGCCGTGAACTAGCTCTTCTACCCTGTACCACTGCCCTCAACTCTACCAGATCTGAGCTAGAGGGGAGAATGCTAGACCCAAGGGAAAGGTGCGGTGTGTCCAGCGACTACCCTGAAAAGAACGACTGAGGGCTCCAGGCAGAACTCTTTTTAATTAGCTATTAATCCAAGTGCCTGGACAAGTCCTGCAAAATGGGGTGTGACAAGGAGTCAGCTTCCAGCCTTGTGCTGTGCACTGTTGTCCGCAACACTTTGCTAATGAACACACAGACCTCGGGGAGTGGAGATGCAGGTCACCGCATGAAAGGGCACTGGTGGAAGTTCTTGAAGCCCACGGAGGCTCCTTACCTGCAGGCTTGACTCCCTTCCTGGGGTCTTTAAGGCAGTGACACCTAAAGTATGCCTTCACTGATGAAAGGGGTTGGAAATTTTCAAACCAAGTTAAAGTCACTTTTGTTCACAAGTTTTACGTGTGTGTTTGTATATATACATGTTTGGAGGGAGCAGGCATGTCAAAATGTTCATTAATTCTTCTTTCTATTGACTTCCATTCCCAAACTGAAACAATAATGAGCGACTATCTCATCCAAAGCAGTGTGCTAGGTAAAGATGAAAAGGTCATGTTTTCTTACTATTCTCACAAGCTTGTAACATACAAGGAAAAACTTTTTAAACTAACAACTTACGTTATTTTAGTTACCTTTTTTTAAATTGTGGTAAAATATACATAATATTGGTAATTTCTACTTTTTTTAAAGTGGCATTAAATACATTCACATGTTATATACCCATAACCAGTATCTATACCCAAAACTTTTTCATCATTTCCTCTATAAACTCTACCCTCCTTCCAACTTCACAGTTGGCAGTCTGGGTAACTGATCCTTGCTCTAGCTTCAGAGCCATCAGGAAAGCCCTAAGGCAAGGCTTAGCTGGCACAGAAGGCTAGAGCTGAATTACAAGGCAGTGTTCATGCCTTGGGGACTACTTTGCATTCTGCAATCACGCTGTCTGTGCACAATGCCAAGGGTGGTGGCTGATGAAAACTCACCCATAGTAAGTGTCTCTCGTCCACTTCCAGACTGGCTCTCTAGGACTAGGAGGGCACAAGAGCTCCAAAGGTTCAGATGTCAATCAACCTCACCTTCTAGGTTGTTCTCCTCCACAAAGCCCACCCAGTAGTGGACTACACATAGTGGTCTGGAAGACTGAACTTCTGTTTGTCTCCTAAGAATATTGCTGATCTTACTGTAGGAGACATTGACTCTGAAGATTACCTTGTGCTTTGTGACAAAAACAAAAATTAAATCCTGTAAAATTCTATTTTTTGTAATAAAGCAAAATGTATCTAAAGATCCCATAATTCCAAGTCTGTTAAGGTGTTGACCAAGCAGATGCCCAGGGGACACATTGAAAAGTTGGGATGGTTGGGGATTTGAGATTAATTTGTAGAATATGAATTTCCAAGGGACCAGAAAGTTTTAGATATTATTCTATGGGTATAAGAGGAAGCACAGATGGTTTCTGATGGTTTCTGATCAGCACAGTGCATGATGGATGGGAGTGGGCAAACAATGGAGCCAGGGAAGCCAGTGATGAGGTGATTTCTTGAACCATCTTTCATTCAATCCCATCACTCTTTTATTCTTTCATTCACCAAGATACCAATCAAACATCTATTAAATGCCAGATATCATTCTAGGTTCATTGGAGAACAAAACAAAGTCTCTACCCTTGTCGAACTTACATTCCAGTAGGAAAAAATAGATAATAAACAACTGAATACATAGGTTAGTTGTAGAGACAATTATAGTATGTTCAGTAAAAAGTAGAGCAGAATAAGGTGAATTTAGAGTGCCATTGGGAAGGGGTGTTGGCTCTTTAAACAAATTGTTCAGGGGACGCATTATTGAGAAGGTGAAAATTGAGCAAAGGATTGAAGGAGGCAAAGGAATTCATTACACGGTTATCACGAAGAAGGGTATTCCAAGCAGAGGGAATTGCCTGTGAAAACATCCTGAGGCAGAAGTGTGTCTGCCACATACAAGGGAGGGTAAGGAAGTCAATAGGGCCGGAGTAGAATCAAACAGAAAGAGGGTAGGAGGAGATGAGGTTGACAGATAACAGACAGCAGATTGAGGAGATGTCCAGGCCATTGTAAAGGTTCTTTCTCCAACTCAGGTTTCTGTTTTGTGTGTGTGCATATGTGGGGGGCAATCTGTACATTGTAGGACATTTAGCAGCATCCCTGGTCTCTACCCACTAGATGCCAGTGGTACCCTCCTTCCAACTGTGACAATCAAAACCATCTTTGATTTGCTAGTTCTAAGATAGTTTTTTTTAGCCAGCTATAACCTTTTTATTAAAAAATTCACTGAAAACAGAAGTACATCAAATGTCTGAGAGTAAAATAATTAGAAAAGCTATATAAGGCAAGTAAATTTTTCTAGCAGAGAAATGAAAAACTACAAAAAAAAACACAAAACCATCTCCAGACATGGCAGATGGCCCTTGGAGAACAGGGATCACCTACAATTCAGAACTACAGCTCTAAGTGAAATGGGGACACAATGAAGTTTTTGTAGCAGAGGGGAGACATAATCTGATTTATATTTTTAAGAGATCATTCAGGGTGCTCTACTGAAAGTCGACTGGGATGGGAGGCAGAAAAGGAGCAGATACACCATTCAGGATAATCCAGGGGCTGGAACTAAGGACACTGCGGTGAAGGTGGGGAGAAGTGGTTGGGTGTTGGCTACACCTTGGGAATACAGCCCCTAAAATGTGCAAGAGAGGATTCAAGGATGACTGGAAGATTCTTGGCCTAGGTATCTGGAAGAATGGAGTTGTCATGAGTCGAGATGAGGACAGTAGTGTGTGGAACAGGTTTTGGGTGGAAAATTAGTAGCTCAGAGTTCGGCATGTGGAGTTTGAAATGAAATCCCAATAATGCAAGTGGAGAATATGAAGCACTGAACTGCACAAAAGTAGAGATGGACCAGGCACTTTGCATTCAAGAGATCACCATTTTGGTAAAAACAAAACAAAACAAAATACCCATAAGTTTTGCATTGGATTGAAAAGGGAAAAAGTTGAAGGTGGCTTTGTGATTTTACAGCTGGATGGTGCTGGTGGTAGAATGAGAATACATCCTTGATCAGAGAAATAGAACCTGGCATGAGGTGAGAAGGGAAAGATGACGGTCCTCATTTAATTATAGATTGGATTTCAGGTCCAAGGTAGGGCTGAGAGGAAAGGTGCAGGAGAGTTGGCAGTACAATTCTGGTGCTCAGGAGAGGCTATAAGACTAGAGAGAGAAGAAACACTCCTTCCCTCCAGGAGTAACAGATGGAGAGAGGAATACAGGGGAAAAATGGATGAAGGTTGCCAAGAGATGGAGAAGGAACAGTCAAAGGCGGTCAAGAAAGGAACGGCGCATGGAAGGCCAGAGGCAAGGAGGGTTCCAGGAAAATCTGTACAAACAGACGGTATAGCTAATGCCGGGCTACAATATCTCTAATAATACATGAGATTATTTATACTCAAGCCTAAAGCCAATCCTCTGTTACATTAAAAGTTATAGAGATGGTTATTGAAACTTACCCAGGATCTTATAAAATGCAATCTTGTGAAACCACAAATAACGTTTAATTATCAAACATAATACATAACAATAAACTACTACAACATTACTGGATTTCACAGAAAACTTGTCCTAAGTCTATCCTTGAAGGTGGATGCTTTAACCTAAAAATAAAAGGTTAAAGTGAGAGGCAACAAAGTATTTATTTGAGATTTGAAAGAATAGCATTCAGGAAGCACTGACTCAGGCAGAAACCCAAAGAGTGTTCTGATGAGGTGGTGAAGGCAAGGGGTTTTTATGAGAAAGGAAAGGAGAATAAGTGCAAGAATAGAAGGAATTTCTGTGGGTGTTAATAAGCGAAGGAAGGAATTTCTATAGCTATATGTAAGCGAACAGAGTGATGCTAAGTTTAAAGAATGTCTTTCATTTTCTGCTACATAGTCATGTCTACTTTCCTATTAGCATTGCAGTTGTTTGGTGTACAATGCCATAGGCCCAGTCTGAAGGCTATGGGCCCAGGTTTAACCATTCAAAAGTTTGAGGAGTAAGAAGAGCAAGGCAGTTCCTTTGGGAGGACAGCCCTAATTCCATTTTGAAGTAACCCCATTTATATGAATTTTTAGAGAACCATAGACTGAATGGGTCTCAGGAATGCTAAGTTTTCTATACTACATGACTTTGCTATCACTAATTATTCATGTATATCTTTGGATTTTACTAACACATCTCTTATCTGCTGTTTTTGCAAACTTAGATCTGTGTGGAAAAGTGAAAATTCTGAAAGCTTTGAAGGAAGTCATTGATAAGTCATGTATTTATTAAATGACAAATAGTTTGAACTCTGCCTGACTAAGCCAATTATACTTATGAAAAAGAGACAGCAAAGATGTACCAACCAAAGGTTATGATTACGCTAAAAAATCTCTTCATCCTTATCAGATTGGCCCTTAATTTTCTCACCTCCTGATTTAGGAAGGAAGTCAGCCTCTTGCCATTCTCTGAATTAGACATTGTTTCCATGTCTTGACTGAGAAAGTGCAGCTACCTCCTCTCACCCACTTTTTTTTTCTGAAAGTATGTTTCTAATCTGGGGTTGCCAAAGGTTTCAAAATACATTTTAGTAACTACTTACTGTGCTGCAACTAACTTCCCAAGTGTAGCCTATCCTCCTTCCATCACATTTCTAAAATATTCACTTCACTCCTTTGCTCACCATTCACTCAGTGGTCACTGCATTCAACTGAACCTTCACATCCTCTCCCCTGGCTCCAGGGAGGTGTGTACAGGCACAGAGAATGGTGCCCTTCCTGCTCTTGGCCTTGCGGTGAATTTCAGTCCTGGTCCTGACGCAAAAATCACCTGAGTAAAGGCAGAAGGCCCTGCATAGCTGAAATGTTTCCATTTCCAACATATCCAAGAACTGTGACTGTTCCGAGGGATGCACCGGGCCAGATAAGGGGTAGGGTCTGAGGCAGCTTCCCTCACAAGAGAAATCTGGCTACTCCTTTCCACATTCCAGCAAGACTTTAATAGCAGAGTAAAGATGACCAGATTTATCAGTAATGAAAGTGGGGGAAGCTGAAAGCATTTGGGGTTTTCAGTGGCTGGGAGAGTGCATTTTAATTCTATTCAAATTAAGGTGTACCCATTAACTTTTTGCACCTCTCCAACTTCCCCAGTTAAAGTTCATGGAAAAGGAGGGCACTTACGTGAATACTAAGGGTTCACCACCTGCCTCAAGGCAGGAGCATTTAACACCCAATGCCACAAAGACTCACTGCCATCAACATTTGTACTTCTCTGGTTTTCCTCCAATTCTGGGGCAGGGCACAAAATGAAAACGCAAGAAGGAATTGCAAAACCCAGAAGCCTGAGATTCGCCCCCTTGACAAAGCTGTAATGCTGATCCCCTGCCTTGGGGTGGGGCAGGGGGTGGCTGTGATTCCAAGCACAGCCCCTGGCATAGTCAGGGGAGGGAAGAAATACAATCCTGACCCAAGTCAGTCCCAGGTCTCCGTGCCTTGGCTAGTGGAACCGAAATCTCAGATTTGTAGTCCTTACCCCTGTGTCTGGCTATTTCACAGCTTCCCGAGTTATTAACAGCCAACCATCCTTAGCAAATTTCCCTCCTAAGGAACTGTCCTCACACCCCCTACAAATTCCCTGGGGCATCAGTTTCCCCGCAAGTGCAAATAACCCTAAAGGAAGTGTAGTCCTCTGGTTGGTGACTCCCATAGAAAAAGAGGGCTGCGGGGCAGGAGTGGGGAGGGGAGGCAGGGAGGGTAATGCCCCGCCGGGCAACCCACCGGGACCCTGGCAATACTCGCAAACAGCTGTCCTAGCTTCCGGACCCGCGGGGCGGCGCTGGGGTATGTGAGGAGTGTCCAGCTTTCCCCGAGTCGGCCAGCCCCTGTTGCAGCCCCGCTCCACTCTGCCACAACGCAGCGGGTCCTTACCTGAACGTTTTCCGAAGAGCTCGAATCTCACTCTGGAGACTGCAGCTTGCAAATTTAACCATCGTAGCCACGCCCCCTCGTCATGCCCCACTGCCTTGGTCACGCCCCCCACCTCTAGACCACGCCCCATGTGACTGGTCACTCCACCTCCACGTCCTTACTTGCTGCCCTGGCCACACCACTCCAGAAAGTGCCACTCTGCCTTTGGCTTTTCCAGCCCCATCTCTCCACAGTTACATCCCTCTCTGGGGCCTGCTCCTGTGCTACCCGAGGGCCCACCACACCTTGGTTATGCCTCTCCGCTCCTCTCCGGCTCCGCCCTTCCTATCCCGCCCCCGCCTAGCTCATGGCCCTCCCTCTTCCCTGGCGGGACTTGGTCGCAGAAATTCGATGTCGCGTGGGCACCCCCCCCCCAAAACTTGTCTCTAGAGAAAATCTCCTGCCCGAGTGCTGGCGTCATTTTGTCCAACAAAGTCAAACTGCAGGCTTACAGGCGGTGAAAGATGAATACCATATGATGTCACCTATAAGTGGAACCTAATCAACAAAATAAACAAGCCAGCAAACTAGAACCAGAGATACTGAAACTAAGAACAAACTGACAGTGACCAGAGGGGAGGTGGGAGCGGATAATGGGGGGACAAGGGAGAAGGGTTGTCAAGGGGTATGTATAAAGGACCCATGGACAGAGCCAAAGTGGGTAGGTTGAGGGTGGGAAGTGGGAAATGGCTGGGGGCGGGGCATCGTGGGGGGAGAAGGGAGACAACTGTACTTGAACAACAATTAAAAAAAAAAACCCTACAAGCTTAAGAGCCTAGTCTAAAAAAATGACTTTCCTCGGGTTTTTACCATTTCCAAACATCAATGTGCTATACTAAGAGTAGGTGGTTCAGGAGGGAAGCGCAGATACTGGACAGGTCACCAGCTGTGCTCCTTCCCACTAGTTTTCATGTCCACTTCACCCGAGTTTCCTCAAGCCAGTTTTCATATCCTCTGAACTTTTTTCTAGTCCCTCAGGCGGATGAGAGGAGGAAAGAAAACTCCTGTATTTCCTGATATCTCCTCCAAATGAACTCTCCTAGGCATTCAGTGAGCGCTTCCTGTCTAGGGCCTGTTGAGACAACACACTTAGACTGAAACTCTGGTTGCAGCCCAGCCAGAGCTCAGAGATCACTCAGCTCGCCTTCCTCTCTCTATTTACCAAGACAAGAAAGTGATGAAGATCTAACCAGCTTTTTTACCCCTATACAAAAATATGTTTCATGTATTCAAATCACATTTGTTGAGTACATGCTCCCCTGACAAACAAGACGAGCCTCAAGGAGCCTACAGTCTGAAGTTGTCCAAGTTTGGGTTTGGATGCAACAATTATGACAAGAACATTAAAGATAATGTGACAAGTGGTTGACAAGTGGAAAAGAATTTGATAGTCACAGGTCTCCTTCAGTTGATTAGTAGGGATGCTTTTGGGTGCAAACAGGAAACCACTCTTATAGGACTGAGTACACTTTTTAAAATAATAAATTTCAGTAAATCTTCATAGAACATTTGCCCTTTTCACATGTGTAGAAAGTTAACATTTTCCCACTTCCTAGCAGTAATATTTGCTACTTTTATTTACTCATGTCATCAATAAAACTTTTATGATAGTTTATTTAGTTTTTTTCTTCCCACCTTCCATTGCATTTCTGGCTTGAAGACAGTGGAAATATTCAAAGTGTTACACTAGAAGGAACACAGAGAAAAGAATAAGTTTCAATAGAACACCATGACCCTGAGAACCCTGATTCATTTATAAAATATTTCAACTGTGATTCATTTTTGCCTAAAATTTAACTTAGAAATTGATCCAAATACAGCCTATATAAATTACTGAGTGGATTTTCATACAGTTAGTTCTACCCCTTCTTCTTCCACCAATGATTTGAGGCAGCTTACTAAAATATAGACATTACTAGATAAAAGCAATAATTGAAGGAGCCAAGGAAAGGGGGACTAAATGGATGGAGAATAATAAAGCCAATGAGAGTAATAAAGCCAATGAGAATTTTAGCATTGTTACTATGATTGCCATCAGATCCAAAACAGTTGTTCAAAGTAGGCCAGAGATTTTTAAAATAATTAAACATTTTCAGTGACAGTTGACATACAATATTATATTAGTTCCGGGTGTACAACATAGTGATTTGACATTTATATATAATTTATGAAGTGATCACCCTAATAAGTCTAGTACCCATGTGACCCTTGTTCCCTCCATTTACAACTCTGAGTCCAGAAAGAAAAAAGAATTCAAGAGGTTATAACCAGATTTCTTTCTTGTCCAGAAATCTCTAAATGGGCACTTCTAGGGGAAGGGCTCTGTCCATTAGCCATTCAGTCACTCATTCATTCAAATGATCGTTATCAAGTACTATACTTCAGTGATAAATAAGACAAACCTCAAGGAGCTTACAGACTGAAATTGCCTCAACTTTGGTTTTGATACAAGAAATGACTAGAAAGGAACATATGTTAAGGGGATTGATAGATGGAAAAGGACTTGGTAATGGTGAAGTTAATTTGTATTCTTGGGACCCACAAAATGGAAGCCACCCCAGTGGCCCAGCCCACGTCGCCCATCTAAACCTAAGTCATCCTGAACTTACGGGACACGCCTGTCAAGGAAACCTAACACACACCAATCACAATTGTCCGAGTCGGCTTCCGCTAGCTTACCTTACCCTAGACAATAGGACCCGCGTGCCCTGTAAAGGAATCTCTGACCTCCTAGCCCATCCCGCCGCGTTTCCATGTCGCCTCTTCTAATATTCTACAAACCTCGCCCTTACCCAGAATCCCTCGGGAAGAGGGCTCCTCTGATTGTGAGGCACTGGACTCCCTCAACCCATGGACTGCATTCCCTTGAATAAAGGACATCAAAGCAGTTAGGAAATTGTTTGTTTTGTCATTGGACAGTAACCACAGGTCTTCTTGATCTGATTAGTAGGAATATCTTTGACCACACACATAGGAAGCCAATTTTAGAGTACTTACTACAGCCCCTTACACAATATACCGCCAATAAATCTTCATTGAATGCATGTCCCTTTAACTTGTGTAGAGAGCTATATTTTCTCTCCATAGTAGCAAGATTGACTACATAAAATTCTTTATATGCCAGCAATAAAGATTTTAAGATCACATATTAGTTCCCTTCTCTTCCATTCTCACCCTCCATTCTATTTTTGCCTTGAAGACAGTGGGAACTTTCACTAATGTTGCAGTACAAAGAACACAGAGAAAGAACAACTTTTCAGTAGAACGCTTTCATTAGGCTCACTCTGACCCTGAGAACTCTGCTTCATTTACATAAAATGTTTCAAATGGCATTCATTTGTTGCATTAAGAAATAACAGGAAGTGAGGCCAGATACATGTTAAGTTACTGTGTTAATATTTGTGTAGTTAACAATAGCTTACTTCTTCACAAATGGCTTGATGCAACTTACAAAAATATAGGCAATATTGGATTAAAGCTATAGTTGAAAGAATCAAGAAAAGGGGAACTTAACAGAAAGAATAATTCAGCCAATGATAAGATAAACAAGTAGGCAATCCACTGGATCCTTTGTCCTTGTGAGCATGGAGGAAAATGTCCTTGTTGAAGTGGGCCATAGATTTGACTGTAAACTTCGGAATGCCCATAGACAGAATGACAATATTTTAAAGGTTTTCCTATGTTCATAAGATATAAAAGCTGGGTTTTTGTTTGATTTATCTGGAGCACAGTTTTTCTTGATTTTTAGTACCAAGAGAAATCCTGATTCCTCGTAAAGGTGATGTGAGCTCTGTGGAAAATGAGTGTCATAAGGAATTACACAGTTCCCCTCAGTGGAAACCATTGCTACAATGACAAAGCACAGTGCTTTAAATCCATGCTGTGAACTATCCAAACTTTCCTGTTCAGTTGAGTCAAGTACACAAGTCGTGAATGGTGTGGCTGAATCCAGGGTAGCATTTACACGATTGTAACCCAGGATGGCAAGTAAATTTCAACTCACATTTCAATTCCAATTCATTCTCGGAAGCTGCCTGCATAACTGCGCTGGGAAGTTCTGTGGCTGAGTCCACACTCAGAATGAAAAAGTTTGGGGATTAACGGTGCAGGATGGGTGAGTGGCTGCTGTCAGCAACAACCTATCTAGCATCTCTGATTTGTAGGAATCAAGGCCTTGCATGCAGGTCTCCCAAAGCAACATTTCTCATTATAGGGTGTTGAGAATTATCCTATGTAGTACAGAGTACAAGGTCATTGATTGTCACTGGTCAAAACTTCAGAGCAGAAAATTTGAGATATGCTCCGGCCCGCGGAGCAATCAACTGGGGCTCGACCACCTACCTAGAACAAATGAGTTGGGGGGACAAGAGGCGCGAAGAATGGCAGCAAGACAAAAGATTCTGATCAAGCTGCAAACTTTATTTTTCCGAACTGGGTATATATATAGGGGGGAGGGAGAGGAAGGAGATTAGGTTGCTTGCTAATTGGCTAGCTTGAGACAAAGAAGGGCCCGCTTATTGATTACTTGGGTGCAACTGGTACTCGTGGACACCTCATGTGCCTGTAGCCGATTGGCTTGGGGAGCGCATGCACACCTCATTTACCTGTAGCCGATTGGCTTTGTGGAGCGCACAGGTTCCTGTAATCAATGCAATGTTTTTAGCTAGAAGCCAGGTGTAAGGTTCCCAACAGAGATATTGGTCCATTTATATGCTTTGAGGAGGAAGGTAGTTTAAAGTTATGTTATGAAAACAAGAGCATCTAACAAAAGTGGTCCAATGCCCCAATGCCTTGTCACCTGTTTATAAAGGGTGGTAGACAAAGTATACATAGGCAAGGCTACACACCTTTGGGCAAACTACAACAGGCAGCCTATTAGGTGATTAAAGATCAAAAAATTCTACTAGATTTTTCTAGCTGCACAGATTTTAGCTTAGAAAAATAAGCACTGTGTGCCAATACCATGGAAAACTTTCAGTGTAACATCCAAGAAGCAGTTAGTGTAAATATTTAAACATCTATGTGGCAATACCAGAAGACTTGTTGTGAGTCTTGGTTTTACTACATGGGAGTCATTATGATTTATTGGTCTTCATTCACAGGGTGAAACAGACAGACAGGCACACATACATCTCATTTAAGTGTTAGAAATATAACGCTGGCAAAATTACACTTAATCAGTTTGTGTAATTTTTGTCTCTAAGTGATAGTGATTAACTTTCACTGAAGTAAAAACATGTTACCCTGTAAAATATAAGCCAAAGTTCC